CTGCAAAATGTGGCAACAATGAGCTGTGTCATGTTGGAATTATTTTTTACATCATTAGTGAAATTGTACCAATTACGGGCCTTTTCTTTGTCATTATATTTTTTAATATTAGCTTAACAACAGGATTGGCTTATAATTTTTTAATCATGATGCAGTTGCAACAAAGTATGGCTGTATCAGTTAATGGTGGAGTTGACTTTAAACCTTCATTCATACGTGACATCTATTCTTTACTCTACAACATATTGAATCTTGATTTTTTTCACTTTGATGAGCTCTCTTTTTGTCTTTGGAAGGGAGCAAGTACACTAGACTTGATAATTATGAAGTATGTATCTGTTTTTTATGCAATTCTTCTCATTATAGTATTTGTCTACCTTTTTAAGCATTGTAAATGTGGGAAGAATGGCTGCTGTCACAAGAAGATTATAACAAAATATTCTCTAGTTCAAGGACTAACAGCTTTTATTGTCATTTCATACTTTCAATGCTCATGGGTAACATTTATGCTTCTCAATAGACAATTACCACAAGGCATTGGAGGAACTCATTACAAGGATGTTGTCTTCTGGAATGGATCTCTTCAGTACTTTAGTACCCAGCACATCTTTTATGCTATACCAGCTCTGCTGTGTTTAATATTTTTTGTAATTCCATTTCCACTGATACTTTCTTTTGATGGGCTGCTCTTAAAAGTTGAGGGCAAGCTAGCAGATCATTTTGATTTCATTAGAAAATTGAGGCCATGGACTGCAATTCATTATAGATCAAAACCACTTCTTGATTCATTTCAAGGGACTTTCAAGGATCAGTACCGTTTCTTCGCAGGTTTATATTTTAGCTATCGTTTGTTAATACTCGCTTTATTGGTGATGGTCTCAAATGTTCTTCAGTACTATTTCTTACTGGAAGTGGCACTTACTCTTATTATAGTGATACAGGCTATTATTCAGCCATTTCAAGAGAAAAATCATAATGTTTGTGCTCTCCTTATTTTCACAAACATGGCCTTAATTAATACATTGACTATACGCATATTTTACCTAGTGTCAACTGATGGGTATACAACTGAGACAATATTAATGCAATGGATACAAGTGGTACTGATATATATTCCATTGATAGCTGGGATTGTATGGGGTTTTTGGAAGCTTTGTAAAACGTGCCATTCTAAATACAATGCATCTGCTACAAATCCTTTGGCTAGTAGTGTGGATGCATATAGCGATGGATACATTGCATATGATAATGATTTTCCAGTAGAAATTTTCAACCGAAGTGAAAGTGAAAATGACATACTAAAAACCTAAAGTAAAGGTTTTTTTGTATCTATGTATTTTGGTGTCTAAGTACATTTTTAACTTTTATTGTGCTGATTAGTTTTGTTTATCATCTTAATTGTTGTTTTATATCAAAAACTATTGTTGTTTTTTAACCAATTTATTGTGAGAAAAGTAGCAAAAAAATACTGCCCCATTGATATCAGTTGATTTTTTGATTTGAAAAATGAGACTGAGCAAATAAATTTAAAATTATTTTGGCTAATTGACACCTTTATTTCCAGCGAGACCATTAGGGTGTCAAAATTAATCACAACAAATTATTTTTTATTCATAAAATGCCAGCTAAATCTGGACCCAGCCTGACTTATAGGATTGCATAATACTCCGGGCTGTGTATTTTAATTCTATTATTAGTGGATGTTTGGTGTAGCATTATAATGTGTGTGGCCAAAACCCATTATTTTTAAAAATGAAAAATCTATTACATGGATTATTATAGCAATGCCTTAGTTTTTCTTCTGCTGTATTTTGCCCTCAAGCACTACATGTACAACATGATGACATGCATGACCAATATCTCATGTTCCTGTTTGAATCATTAATGCAACAAACACTTCATTTGAATTTTCTGCTCCATTTACTCCTGAAGTGAACAGTGCATGAGGCTTGGGGGTTAGGGGAGCTGATACTGCCCCCAGAATCAAAATTACTTATGATATTTTTCATTGATTGGTTCTACAGAGATTCAGGTTATGGTGATCTTTGAGTTATTACAAATTTTATTGTGCTAAATTACAAACTCATAACAAAGAGCTGGAGTGGGGGCAACATTCACACTCTGCTAAGTGCTAACTCCTCTATAAAATTGAAAAAATGATACAGTCCCATTCACAAGTTTTAATGATTGCTGGGCATGAATTTTATACCATAATCTAGATCCCAAGGCCGAGGTTGAGGGTGTTACCTGAACGAAAACCAAAGAAACAATAACATTAATACAGCATAGGCAGCAACAAAAAAGAGATTATGATGATTTTATGAGTAGTTTATTTGGAGCTAATTCATCTGCTTCTGTCTTCCTATACTTGTCAACAGCAAATATTATGTGAGGGAGAGGTTAATTGTCAGCAAAAGCCTCACTACAAATTTTTTAGCATAATGGGCAGGGCACCACATTGATGTCAAAATATATAGTTCATTTACTTTTGCATGCATTATTGTTAAGATTAATCTAAGCAACTTTTTGATCTGTCCAGCTCAATATGTTTTATTTTTTAAAAGAAAAGGGTATTAGAGATAAAAACAAAAAATGAAAAAATATATTTAAAAAAATTGCATGGGCCAGTTTATTTGTAAAATACTGTTTCTTTTTCAGAAAAGTTATACATACTTGTTGTCACATGCAAAGCCAATTTTGTTTTTACATCCAAGTCATAGAAACTTATTCATAACTTAAATAGTAGATTCTTTCTTTTTATTGAGCCACAGTCCAGGAACATTAAGCTTTGGGCTTTCAGAAGCACTATCAATGAAGATCATAATAAATGTCAAATCAATACAAAAGGTAATACAATGTATGAATAATCCCTGCAAAGCAAAGTAACCAAGAGTATCAATAGTTACACCAGTGACATATGCCAGTAATGAAAAGGAAGCGTTAAAAGAACTCTTTTGAATACCATAAGCTGTAGTGATAAATTCCTTATTGACTATAAAAGCTGGTAGAGCTGTGAGTGATGGCCCAATAATAGAATACGAGAGAGAAAACAACATTCCTGCTATGAATGGAATGTAACTGTCTCCATTGCTGAACATAAATAATAATAAAGCTGGGAGATTTGTTATTACAAGTGATGACAGCAACCAATACAATCGAAAGCCAATCTTAGTTGTAAAAAACCCAACAATTGGTATGAATATGATTGCTCCACCAAACAACATGCTATTACCTAAATTTGCTATATCAATTGATAGGCCATATTTTTGCGTAAGAAAGTCTTGACCATTTCCTACGAATGAATACAACACTGCAAAGTAGACCATATTGATAGCTGTAGTCAACCAAAATAGTATAGAAAACTGTTTCATATTTTTTAGAATACTGACTTTATGAACTGCTGGTTTTGGTGGTCTTTCAATTACCTTTTCTCTGTTGTAGTCCATACAAAACACTATAAAAGTGAATATTAGCCCAATTATCATTGATACGGCAGCAGTGAGTAGTGTGATTCCTAGTCTAAAAGTTGGGCGATGAAATATTGAGAGATTGTCATATATTAACTGAGGAAGAAGTATGGCTAAAGTTCCTCCTATTCTGCTGCATGCAACATCAATTGAAATGGCAAGTGGTAGGTTGTCCTTGAACCAGATTGCTTTAAAACCATTAGAAATAACTACAACTAACTCATACCCAGCTCCAATAAAGAATCGTCCAGCAATCATAGTGAAGTAATTATCACAGAGTCCTCCAACACCCCATAGTATCTGACCCAATAAGACACAACTGACAACAATGAGCAGCCCCAATCTCAATCCCACCAACTTGTCAATTAGTATCCCTCCAACTATGCAAAGGAATATATTTGGCCATGATGAAACAGAGAAAAGCAGATCATATTCAGCAGTAGTGACTCCCATCACTTTAATAATGGTATCTTCTATTCCATTGGGCATTAAATCGCAATATACAGACAAAAGACGTATAGAAGAAAGAAATAAAAGAAATAGATACTTGCCTGTCCAGTTATTGCCATACCAAGCCATTTTAATGCCGGTGAAGTAAGAAGATTGGATTTTACACATCAAACTGCTGCACTATAGATATTACAAACACGCATAATTATTTGCTTTTCTACCATGCCTAGTTGTAATTGACCAATCGAATTGCTTGATTTCAGGTTCATAAAATAATAATTTACATACCACCAATTTCCCTGTTGTACCATAGATATTAGAGTTATAAAAGTACATAATGTTCATATTAAATGACAAAATATTTTAAAGATAATAAAAAAGATACAATGTTGAACAAAATAGCATGTATAATAAAAAATACAACGTTACCACACATGTGTACATTTAGATTCCATTACAAATAAAAAGATTATTGAACTATTTTGTAGGAAAATATTTTAACATCAAAGTATAATAAGCTTCTTCATCTCTAGTATTCCTTGTTACAAATATTATTCTTTCAATTTCACTAGCATTTTGTATTAACCAGTTCCTCACTGTATTACATGCCACATTAGCAGCTTCTACGCTTGGATAACAGTACTGTCCTGTCGATATACAGGGAAACGCTATGGACTTGAAATTGTTCTTCAAACATAAGTCCAGGCAACTTCTATAACAATTCCTAGTTGGCGTGAAAATGAAATAATTAAATTTGCAAATGTAAATGTACACATACATACATTTTAAGTTATTTTAATTATTTTGTAGTTTGCAGAAAAATAAAAAAATGGTGAAACCTTCATTTTTGTATTACAAGGCAAAAAGTAGCACAACAACAGTACCACAAGGCCACAAGCCATCAACACAAATTACAACTAAATTGTTGTTTCTAAAATTTTAAAAGCACTACACTTGGACTCAATTAATAAAACCCACTAATAATAATGCCTGGGAGGATTAGGCTTGCATAATATTGAGATTCATACATGTATAAATAAATTCTGGCAATATATACTACATTAATGTGTGCATATGTTGTGTCAGATTTTATATATGAAGTCAATTACAAAACCTCAATTACAATTACACATTCCATTACAATCCCTTTGTAAAATTAGACTCTGCTAAAAGTGATTTCAATTTTTAAAATATTTTTGCATGAAACAGAAATATGGCTAACGGCAGTTTATACATTATAGAAGTAATAACATATTGTCAACAGGGTTTCTAAACAATACACTAAATGACCTTACAAGCAATGCACTACTTTTAAAGTAATTTTAAAACTCATAACAATTTAATTTTGATTGGAATCAGCTCAAACTAGATATACAACATCAGAAGGTGTATAAGTGACAGCAAAAACACAAAATTATAAAAATTCTCTCCTAGTCAATTTTGACATAATTTGGCTTGAGACAGTGTATTATAGTACATGCTTTCAGGCCAGATGTTTAGCAACATTAAAAATTCAATATTGATTGGAATCAGCTCAAATTAAAATTAACACGTATATGTATCAGAAATAATTCTTATAGCTTTTTGACAAAATACCATAGATCAGGGTTTTCTATAAAGCTTTACTGAGCGAGCTAAACGGCACATGCCATGAGCTGGCAAGAAGCTGAACACTATAGAGAAACTCTGATCGTCACACTTCCATTTACACATGAACAGTACATGTACATATGATTGTGTAATATTAAGTTGCTATTGAGGTAGATTGAGAGCATTCCTTGTGTCCGTATTGATAGAACATATAAATATTAATTACAATGTACTGAATTAGGCCTGAGTTACAATTATAATTATGTAGCTGTAATTGAATCTCTAATTTTGTACAATGTATTAGTAACGCGGTAGCGTTACTAAGTAGGATTCACCCCCAAACATAATCCCCAGGTCTCGTGTCTGTTGTGACAAAAATAACTTCCACTTGTCTATTATTTGTACAGCATGCAGTGGTTAAAGTTGTATGGACATATTTGTAAGTTAACATCAATGTATAAGATTACAGAATACTGTTTAATAATGACACAACCATGAGTATTGTGGACGCATAATACATGTACATGTAACTAAGCAAAGCAAAAAGCTAAATTGAGTGGGATAACCCACTCAGGCATTACTGTGTAAAAGCATGCGCAAACTAAATTTAAATGGTGCCTTTTTACACATACTTAGTACAGTTTATGAATGTGTTCAGTGTTCACCATAAAACTAATGCAAATGGTCAAACACGTAAAAAAGTGTTATCATACAAAAAATTAGCTAGGTGTGCACACATATTGCAGATCAAATGACTTGAATCTTACTCCTGATAGCAAAAAAAGGTAAAAGTTACAATGACTACATGGCTTAAATTTTATTGCAACATACCATACAGTGTTTTAACAATACCTTAGTTTTTCCTCTCTGTCTACATCTTTACCCTCAGGTCCTACAGTATGTATGACATTTCTTGCTGGCAAGTTGTATCCACTAGTTAGTTTTGCGTCACCAACTTCACATCTTCCTATTCGAATGCATTCCTCCAACAAACACTCACCAGCTCCGGAATGTAATGCTCCATTTACTCCTAGTGACAATATACATGTAACACATCATAAACTTCTAGGATACATATCTTTTAAAACAAAAATTTAAAAGAGCTTCACTAATGGTCAGATACTAATAAAAACAACTTTAAAAATCACATATGCATGTGCTAAACTTGAAGTACAGGTATGCTTCAATGAACACACATAATTTTATCTTCAAAATTTACACAATAACAAATTCAAAATGTCATATCAAATACCTTTTCCAGTAGTTAACCAGTGGTTAGATGCATTCACAACAGCATCAACTTCAACATGAGCTAGATTACCACCAGCTAAAAGAGATACTTTCTCATGAAGAGTTGGAGTAGCAGCAACTTCAACACTCTCAGCTAACTCTAAAAGCTCAAATCGTTCTACGCTAGACAAAATAATCATGACTGAAATTATTTGTGAAGTGAAGTATCATTACTTTGTATTACAGTGCATATACTAAATACAATGTATAGCTGATATTTTTTTGGCCTAGAAGTTTTGCAAATCAGCCTAAAAATTAATATTGCACATTTTAAAGTGTAACTGCAGTGATTTTTTAGGGTATTTATTTTATGGTCTTAATATGATTGCCTGATCATAATAATGATGTGTTCCAACTTCTATTGTCTAAAAAAATTTATTCACTGAGATATGAGCCTTCAAAAATGCACTTTTTGCTTCCTTTCAATTTACTTCCTGTCGGTGGGTGTGGCTAAACGTGACGTCATAGGAGGCATAGATGCAGATAACTCCATTCCTTTATAGGGGGAAATAATGCTTTATTCTCATGCCTTGTAATGTAATAGCACTAATTAAAAGATTGGGATCATTAGCTTTCATTATCCTAAGCATGCAACTGTAAGAAAAAAACTCAAAAGAAGCAAGCAAGCAGATTTACCAGTGTGGTGAGGTAAGAGGCTTTGGTGGCTGTAGAGGTCCAACTCAGCTTAGGCATTTATAATTAAAAGGATGTGGTAAAAAGGATTCATAAGCTTATAATAGCATTGTTTCTGCTTCAAAAGTAATTTTTAGCCTAGGCAATGACTCCCAATGCCTAATTAGGCCTGCAGCCACCTATGGTAAGAAGATTCACCAAAGTGTTTTTTTCTTGCAGTTGCATGCTTAGGATAATGAAAGCTAATGATCCCAATCTTTAAATTAGTGCTATTACATTACAAGGCATGAGAATAAAGCATTATTTCCCCCTATAAAGGAATGGAGTTATCTGCATCTATGCCTCCTATGACGTCACGTTTAGCCACACCCACCGACAGGAAGTAAATTGAAAGGAAGCAAAAAGTGCATTTTTGAAGGCTCATATCTCAGTGAATAAATTTTTTTAGACAATAGAAGTTGGAACACATCATTATTATGGTCAGGCAATTATATTAAGACCATAAAATAAATACCCTAAAAAATCACTGCAGTTACACTTTAAATCAACCCAGACAATTTATGCATTTTTCATCTTTTCTGCTATTTGTACTGTATTTAATAGATTTTCTGAAATTTTAATTTTTGAATTTTCAAAAAATGCAATTGTGCCAAAGTTTCTTGCCATAATATAATATACATTAACTTTACTGTGCCAAAAGGACACAAAATTATAAAAATCAACGTCATTAGAATGATTATAGATGTACAAATCAGTTGTACACATACATAGTAGATATGACTGAGGCACTGACACACATAAATTAAGGAGGTGTCACTTGCGTAATAGTCTGTACTAATGTTTGCAACAGGATGATCAAGCAGATATGGCTTAATTTTATACAATTGGAAAATTAAAAATAGGCTAATAACAAAGACAAATGAAAATGAGAAAGCACAGAAAGGTACAGGGCATCGAGACTCGAGAGTACCTTGGTTCTCTCTTCCACAACAACTTTTGATGTCTTGTCTAATCTGATGGTCTTGATCAATTGACAAGCATGAATACAAGGAAATGTCAAAATTATGTCACTACTATTATATATACATAATTTATGTCAAAATTATAGTTTAGTAATAACAATCACCAAACCTTTCAGAGTTAAACATAGATGACCAGTCTCAAATCTTTTCCCCAGTTCTGGAAAGTGTTGTACTACTTCATATTCTTGGGCAGTTTCAGTCCAAGAAGGAATGGGCTGGCCACAATGACTTATCCGGGACTGCACTTTAGATCCTACAATCGATGCCATGAACTTAATAAAGTTTAACTTCAAAACTCCGCCCCAGTGCCAACAAATCTAATTTTTACAAAAATTAATTATCAAAATGCTGCACTAAAAATAATTTAAATGAACCATTTTGCACGTTAGTTAGTACAAGGACATACAATATAATAGCATTTTTATTAATTTAAAATTAATTTCAGTGAACTGTTATATCTGAAGAAGCTTCATATTGTGAGGCAAGGAACCAGTTAGTTTAGCAGTATCATTTACAGGACTGATTGAGGAACCATAGATTCCTTGTGGCGGTGGTGGAGAAGCATGAGCACTGTCATTGCTATTATCATGGCATCTATCAAACAACAATAAAAATTATTGATAAATAATAAATTTATTCGTAGTGATCTACTAACTACTACAGTAACAGTAACAATAATATAAAATATTACTCCAAATTAGATTCCTGTGGAAGTGGATGATCCAACAAATGAGTGTGATGCTCAATTTCATTTCCAGTCAGACTATCAAAGAACATGAAATATTTGAGATGCTAAAAATTATCTTACATAAAAGACTGAACAGAGGTTTTCGTAAAGAAATTTTGAATAATCTCGAGACAGTTCTTTGTAATATCATTATTCATTAACCTGTACATTTGACACAAACTTTCGTAATCATCACAAAGTGATGACCGAACTTACTTCACATGCCTGACTGTCTTGCATACCATAAGTGTATCTAATAGCATGCTTAAGGAATCTTTCCCAATGTCATTATTAGGCAGACTAAAATGATAAGAATGACAGTAATATCATAGTGCTATATTTTATGTCTCATGCTTAATTAGAGTCAAGGCTAATGACTGTATAAACTAAGCAGCACACCCACAGATGCACCTGAATTCTTATCACAATGAATGGCTCGTTACATTACCTCAATTCTTCTATAGTCTGCTTTTTTCTAAGTTCTCGACATAATAATGACATCATTTCAAGATCTCCAAGTCCACTAGATGATATTCTACCAAAAGATAATGAATGATGTACAACAAAAAAGTACAATATTACTCTAGTTTCTTTATGGGAACCTCAGAGGTTGATATTTCAGAGAACAATGCTATTAGTCCAGCTCGATTCAACCTCTTTACACGCCATACATCTAGTAAAATAACAACATTAAAAAACAATAAATACAGCATTAACGTACCTCCATCAAACATTTGAATTGTGTGCTGATTACGTGAAGGCAAGCTAGAATAATGAGGTTGATTCCTGTGATCAGCAGAAAGTGGAGGAGCAGCTCTAAAAGCAGAGCGATTAAGAGAATTTGACTGAAATTGCTGTGAATTGAGTGGAAAATGCCCTTGTGAATGATGAGGGTATCCACTACCAGAAGGCACAGAAGTCTCATATGCTAAACCTCTGTGTATTCTGGGTAATCGATGGTCATAGGAATGAGGAAAGGGATTGCCATGCATAGGAGAGTGTAGAGAAGGAGGGGTAGAAGGATGACTTCTATTAGCAGATAGTTGCGGCTTTCCATATGAGAAACTTTGTGTCCTTTGCATTCCATTGTTAATAGGAGGGGGAGAATACATACCATGATGTCGCTCCCCTTCGCTTACTGAGCTTGACCTCTGGATAGCTATTGGTCGTTGCTCATCACTAAAAGCAACACGCTTTACCAATGGCTTTGGAGATGTCTGGTTTGAACTATCAGGAGGCATATTGATGATCTGTACTGTTCTATACGGATTGATTCGTGAAGGTCCTGGTCTTTTGTACTCTTCTTCTCTGAACTGATTAGAAACTTCATTGTTTGCTGTGTGCTCTGACCAAACACGCTGTGGTATGAAGTCTAATCAGAATTAATAAAACTTTCAAAGAGAATCAAATAAAGAGACACATTGGCAGTCAGTAGCTATGAATACGATTAAACTTACTACAGAGGAATGCACTACCTACATATGACACTATGTCCAATATGCCATTTTAGCCAGTGCACTTTACATACAAAGTTACCTTGTGATTTCAATGCCTGTATCTCCTTTCTCGCTTCAAGGAGTTCCCTTTCTGTGTCTTCTAGCTTCGCTGCTACTTTGTAATAAAGCTGTGCATAATGATCTCGCCTTTGGTAGGCATGTTGGAGCTTTTCACCCAGTCTCTGCAGCTCAGCACTTTGGCTAGTATCTAATGATAACAAAGGGAATCTAAAACACTGCACGTACAGATGCGTTGCCAGAATAAAAATAAGCGTATTAGCCTACCTTTGTTGAAAGTTGGAGATTTACTTTCGCCTTTGCTCTGCATTTTGCTCAAGTGTAACAACGTAGCTCATTGATAGATGTCATTAAAGAAAGGGTGGTCCTTAAACTAATATTGATGTAATTTCCTGTATAAACCATCTATATTACATAACACTAATTATGCAAACAATAATAATTATTTATTCTTCTTTTTTCTCTTGCCTTGACCTGTATAAAGGTAGTCAAATATGAATCAAACTTCAATAAATTCAAAACACTAAACCTTTTTTAGGTGTCACTTTCCCCCTAGCAATCCGATGCTCACGCAATTTCTCAGCTAAATTCTAATAAGTACACAAAAGGTGATCCCAAAAGGTAATGGATCATCGAAAATAATAAAATAAAACTTACTAAATGTTCATCTCTAAAAAGACCTAAGTTACGCAGTCTATGCAAAAGAGTATTGAACTTGTCAATTGGTGGATACCATTTTGGTAGGTCCTTCAAAATTGGTTTCTCAGCAAAATGTGACACAACTTTATATTGCCTATAAAGTAAAAATGTCATAACAGCACATTCAGAAATGTATAAACAATAAACAAGATACCATCCACTACACTTCAAATGAACAGCACTCGATAGGAGGCATAATATGTATACGCTACACCATTCAAATATGTCAAAACACAGATTACTACTACAAGTTATCCAAACTTTATGGAGTGAATAATTAGCGTGCTGAAATTGTTTATCGTATGATAATATACAACAAATTATTGATGGTAGAAAATATTTATAAAAGTGTAGCTTTGGCGTTATAATAAAATTTGTGGTAAAAGTACATGTACGTGTAGGATGTAAAAAATTTTAGATTGGCTTTGGTAGTTTGGTAGTATTAATTAGTAGTGCTAAAATATTTGGTATTACAAAAGGCACTTTAATGCCACTTCTTTTATTGACTACTTTCACCACTGCGAAGTAAACCAATCATTACAAAGAAATTACACTATATACTACAAATATTACAGCCTAGTGTCATATTACAAGCTCCTGAAAGGGCAAATGCCTTGAAGACATCAAAAGGCAAAACAAAATGTTAGTCTCAATTAATGAATAATCAATAATTAAAGTTAAGAGTACGATAGTGTGGCGTGACCAGTGACTACTCAGGATAACTGATAAATTAGCTTACCACTAACTACAGGGTTCATTTTTACATTGTCTTTATTGACAATCAGGACCTCTAATATTGCACAGAAGCAAACATTGGCACACGATTACTTTTATCGAAATGTTTCTGTGGTATCATACATGTACATGTAGCTTGCTTCCTATTATTCTGTGTATCAATATGCACATCCAATATAACCTTGCAATGGTTACTGGAAACAAAAATCTGTAGAAAGTAAATGTATGCTGATTCATTAGTATACAAACACTGACTGTAGCACAACTCAATTGGTTTCAATTAAAAAACTTATAGGATGAGCCGATTCTGTTAATATTTCTTGATTTTGTCATAATTGTTATGAATTGCGTCCAAAAATTAAGAATGAAATCTCTTTTAGAAAACATTACAAAATTCCTTTTAAAATGGAAATGCTCCAACCTACATGTACATGTACATTAGAAAAACTATGTGTGTAACTAATTATAAAAAATGGTATATACAGGAACTTTTTTAGCTATAGTTATTAACTAAAAAGGCTGAAAACTGGCTATGTGCACTGTGGAGCCTCAAAACAATTAAAAAATTCTTTTTACAGAAGAATAAATAGCCATAATGGAATCTAGATAATCAACTATGCCTGATCATCTCCTATCAGTACTTCATTTTCATTTGTATATGCGGCTAAAAATAGTCAAAAAGGTTAGCTATACTCATCTTTTCCTGTATTCTAGTTACATCTCATACCATGCCTTATTCCTGCTAATATCCTCTTTTTCTTGGAGGTCCATGTAGTGTACACTGTACAAGTGGTCAAAGTATTAAGTACTTCTTGCAAGTAAATTAAAGCATACCGTATAGTGCTTTAATTTAGTGGAGTTTTATTTTGGCAATTGGCAATTTGCAAGCAGAATCGCCAATACTAGAACTGCCAATTACAATTTTACAGCAAGATCGCCAAAATAATGCACTGCCAAAATAAAGCGCTGTACGGCATTAACAAAAAAAAGTAGTGACTCATACAGAAGGACAAAACCTCCCAAACATGTTTCACATAGTTTTCTGAAAAAAAGATTTTGATGCTTCTAAAAGGGCAGTGTGGTTCTTTTTTTGTATGATACACATGTAAATTATTATAGACCAGTTGGGGCTAAGTTATTCTTAAAATTCTATGAATATACTTAGCGTCAACTGGTCTATTGGTATTCAGCAGCAAAAACAAAATTTTTACCAGTTTCTATATGAGTCTAGGCCCTCTATTACAGTACAGATCAATAACCCATTACATCACTACAACTGAATTTATAGGGAAGCATTAAGACATTATTTTATGTCAATTGAATTCGCTACACAGAAACCAGATGCTCTCATGGATCTTACATGTACATGTACATGTAGCTAAGACACCCTTCAGGTGTTAGGATATCGGGTTTAATGGTACTTTAGCTGTAAAATGTTTGAGGCTGATTGGCAATGAGTAATTACTTATCTTAGTACATGCTATATAAATCCCCTAGGCATTAAGGCTATGTTGATAACAATGATATTCACAAAATAATTTCTTGACAGACAGTATCAACCCACGTATTAAATTATAGGCCTCAAGCCAGCAACACCACCTTGACATTTTCTGAGTGCTACAAGGTACTACAGACTCACAAGCAGCATTTATGGCAAGTATGGAGGACAGACTAAATCATACAGACCTGCTCCAGCACAGTTTTCTTGCTATGCTTTATTTAGGCACCTTTTACTTTGATCAGCCTTTGATGTGGACCGTCAGTAATACTGTATGTCATTGGTGGACACCATTAACGAGACTGTAAATGATTCATTCAGAAGTCATAGCACTTAAGGGGTCTATATACTATAGACGAGGCCACAGATCAAATTATAAGCCCAGCCCATGTACTTCTAACTGCTATTGCTTATGTTTTAGATTAAATGGACTTCACAATAACTCACTTAGCATTAGTTGTTCTGACAACTTCACCAAATATGCGAGCTCTCAGTCTAGCAAATCTTCTAGCATAGTTAGTAGCAGAACTCATTTGGACCCTGACAGCAGAGCTACGGTGTATCTTGTTGCTCAGCCTAGTCACAGCCTCCGACTCTGAGTACCACCATAAACCTGCACGTGCGCGTGTGAGCCACACCTGTGGGCGGTGTTTTCAACTTTTCATAAAAATGGAGCTTGATGATGACAGTGATTTCATGGACAGTGCTTCGTTTGACGCTCTGTCACAAAATGGCACCACATCGATAATATTATCTAGTGATGAAGAAGATACTCTACCCGTCCTGTTAAAGAAGAAAAGATCGAATGATAGTCTTAAAACTTCGTCCGAGGGACTAGAGGGAGGCGGAGCAGCCTCTTCACAAAATCTGGAGAGTTTGGCTCGAGGTTTAGCAAGCAGAATAGATCAGATATCTAAGCTACATGAATTTGATGACAAGTGTTCGTCTATATTAGGAAAGGGAACAGTCCTTGATCACACACAAAACGTCATTCTGAAACACGAAGTGATAGATGAAACTATCGTATCAGCTGAGCAATCGCCAGAGACATTGAATCATGTGAATGTTGAAGTCACTGTGTCAAGTTTAAAGTTGCCACATGGAACACGATTCTTCGTAAAAGCTGTTGATTTTGTAGACACATTAGGTATTCCTGATACTTTGAGGGGTATGTCATCTGACGCTCGATTTGTTGGCAAAGTTCCTCCAGATGTAATATTTTGGCTTTTAGAACTAAGTTGTCTTTCACGTAATCACCTAACTCGTCAATCGGCTTTTACCATTTTAATGCAGAATCTTCAACAAAACAAAACCTGCATGCCATCACTCATTATGTGCTATTCTCATGTTGCAGAGTTACTTGTGAAATTGGGGGCAAAAGTTGATGATTTAACTACGTTTTCTCAATTTGAACCAACTGACTTTGTGCACAGTGAAGAAGAAGTGGAAGTACTGCTGAGCTCTATTAAGCACATAGCGTCTTTCCTTAAATTTGTTTGTCTGTCATTGCCTCGTGATAAATTGTTTAAGTTAAGAAATTACCTAACCGTTTTGATTACGATTGCATTAGACAAGACTGTCTCCAAAGCAGTGTCACATATTAGGAGCTGCCTGGAAGTACTACTCTCAGTAGCATCAGATGAGGAGGCAAGAGAAGTATTTTGTGATGCTGTATCTGTCCATTGGAACTTAGGTAAACATGGTAACTGTGTTTTTCTACTGAGATTATTGCCAGTTACAACGCTAGAGTTACGTTCACTGAAGCGTCAAATAGTCAAACAATTTTTATTGTTAGTGACTGAGAGTATAGGTAATGATGTCAAAGATCATGACCTATCACTCTCCATTTTGCAGCATTATATTCAAAAAGAAAGTAATGATATTGACTATTATGAGATGCATTCTGTGCTGACAGTACTTGGTATCTTTGTGAAGCAACCTGATATGAAATGGGACTTATTGAAGAACAAGTCACTGTTTCTAGACAACCTTTCTTACCTTGCAACTAAAAAAATAAAGGAGAACGTGAACCAAGTTGGTGAACAAGGGCCTGTGAAGGATCTTATTATTTATCTGAAGCTTGATCTTGAGCGAGAAAATGGAAAGGAATCAATGCAGACTAATCTTTTTGATTACTTCATGGAACCACAAGACTAGTACAGTGTTAATAATATTACTGATTGCCTTAGTGTATTAATTTCAAACATTAGCACAAGTATCAATTATTATTAAAAATATAAAATAATTAGTTTTGTCTTTCATAATGAGGTGTGTTTGCTAATACTGAGTCCATTAAGGTACCTCCATTAATAATATTTGTTGTTCCAATTATATAATCTGTCACAGCTAAAAAAAGTCAATTAAAAAGTAAAAATCTATTTTCGTTACGAGTATTACCTTCTTCACGTCCAGCTAGGTATCTTAGTGCAGCTATCTCAGCATAAGAGCAGCCTCCAATGAAAAAAACTAAAACAACTTGTGGTTGGTCTGGAGTTGGTTTCTCTGTAAAATGTGAATTATGATAATGGCGAACATGAATCTCATTGAGGCATCAAAATGCCTAGTTTTAGGGCTAGGCAAATTGTGTTTCAATTTTTGCTTATTATGCTTTTAGGCACTGCACCAAATTCCATCTTATCATGCTTTGAAATAAATCCACTTATGCTCATTATTGTGCTCATATTTTAAGCTTTACTCAAATTTTGACTATAATAGCTATCAAGTTGCATGTACATGTACATGCATCTCTTATAATTCTAGTAAAAATGATATTGAATTAATGCCAGAATGTGAAAATGTTTCCAGTGACTTTGAGTCTAAATAGTTTGGTTGTTGTACTAGTGCTTGTACTATTTAATTGAAATCATGTGGCCACAGGTATCCGGCCAGAAATTTTTGACCTATTATGCTCTAATTATGCCAGCATAATACATATACATGTAACTTGCTGCTCCAAATTATGCTGGCATAATTTGCCTAGCCCTATGCACTTTTATTAATATTATTTTATTATTTCATTACTTTTTCTCTCATGTCCCTTATGAACTTTCTGTTCACGCATGATGGTTGGGCCTGGAATCAGCCTCAAAATCTAAAATGAAATGCTATCAACTCAAGAACAAAAACAGTGATAAATTACATCTTCAATTTGCTGCCATCCATTTGGTCTATCCAAATATTCAACAAGTCTAACTGTAGCAGGAGCATAACCAGAAAAAACATAAGCACTGTCTTTAGGAGCCTGTGCATAAAACACATCAAATATTATATTGACATTAAGAGTACTTGTATAAAAAGCTTACAAATTCATCAACTTTTTCAACAATAAGTCTCAATGATCGTTTCACTACAGCAAAGCTCTTACTCTCTTGAACTTTTATAAGACCAGCTTTCTCAAGGTTGTGAAGTGAAATTAAATGTTGTGTTCCATAACACTAAAACAGAAACAAATGACATGATGCACCATAGCAATATATTTAAACAAACTTGTATAATTCCCATCTTATATCGCTCGAGTAATTTGGGCTTCAGCCCACTGTTTGCAAGAGACTGCAGACAAATCAAACGAAGTACCTTGAAGAAAACATAACAATTAATATCTTCCCTATAGCCCTTACTTTTTCAATTGGCTCTTGTTTGCCCATACATTGCTCAATATAACTATCAGCCCCATCACTGTTATCCTCTTCACGCAAGGCTGTAGTAATAATAACAATAATTAATGATAACAAATATTATTCATTACCCTGCTCAGCATATATGACCTCTAGAAATTCAGGCATATCTGTTCTTTGTTTGATCAATTCAGCAATTGTAGTATCTATAGGATTAAATAGTAGAATACTATTTTTGACAGCATCTTATACTTACGTCTACTCAAAGATATTTTATCTTGCTGCATGTGAGGTAGCTTTTGTACAAATTGCTTTAGTTGTTGGACAGTCTTAGCATCATGCCTTTCCTGTATGGACAGACAAATATTGCATATCATAATACAAGTACATAAATAATGTATACATGTACAGTGTATATAATGAAACACTGAATCGTACAGTTAATACATGTACATGGATAATAAGTGGACCATGTCAAATGCGCATTAATTAGTATCAAGGATAGCTAATGAGATATCCATAGGTAATCACCATAACTGATTTCTGGCTGACAATACAAATTTGAAAAACAAATTTAACCGTAAACAAGTTACAGACATTACGCTGTGTATGCATGAGCTCAAAAATTAATATTTATGGCTCACTTCAAAAGCTGCACTGATCTCTCTTGCTTTCTTACTGAGTATTTTACCAATGGAACGGAAATTACTATCCCTCATGTTAGAATACATGTTCTCCTCAGACGTTAGTGTTACAGAGAGTGGTGTAATAGGGGGAGGAGCATTTTTAGGTACTTGTTGCACATCTTCAGAGAACTGATCTCTCGGAAACTTAGCAGAATCTAAAAATATACCAAAAAATTATCAATAAAATAGATTCCATGATTCTGTATTAACTGTATCTGATGCCAAAAAACTCATCAATGAGTCCTTCATAAGTTAACTGAGTGGAAAGGGCAGCAACTAAGTCAACAGAACGATCAAGTAGTATGACAGCATCAATTTGTGGAATAGTATCTTTAGCTGTTGATTCTCCACCTCTCATTAACTCCTGACGTGTTCTTTCCATCATATTTGCAACTATCTACAAGTAAAATGTACTATAATTATTATACAGTATACATGTACATCTAAATTGGTATACTAGTCTGGTACATGGTTGCACATGCACATGTACATGTATGATGTACCTCTGCATTTCTTCCTTTGCCATAGATACGTGGTATTACTCCAAACAAGGCCTGCAACCTACCAATGCTTCGTACGGTTTGATCAAGTGGAGTTGGGTCCATATCTAAATACAAGTCCTACAAAAAATAATCAAAATAATATTATTCTTATTTGCATGCAAATATAATACAATTCCTTACAGTAAAAGCACTATTGATATCTAATGATATTACATCTTGATCTAAAGGAAGCATGTCAAGTCGAAACTCTTTGATGCTAAAAGAAAAAGGAGTTGTTTGTCCATCTTTTAGCCGATTTTCCTAACAAAGGTGATAACATTAACAATATCATTAATATAATAATAACAGTTAGTAATTTTATTTCACATACCTCTAATTTTTTGATACAATGAATTGATTTACGTGGTACAAAAACAACAACAAATGACTTCGATTTTGCAGGTCGTCTAGTTAAAAAACATTTAGTACTATTGTGAGACATATTACAAAAGAACCTACGCTATTGCTTTGATTATGTCATCTATAATACTGAGCTGTGGTCTAACAAGGAATATGAATTCAGAGACATCTCGATATCCATCCATATCAGTGATGTTCTCAGCAGGAAGACGAATCATTTTATAAACACCAAGTTGAAGAAGGAAGGGAACCTCAGCCACTAACCCAACTGATCCAATCAATGTGTCGTCCCAAACAATTACCTACATGTAGTGCATGATAGAAAAACCCTTCTAAATGCACAAATAGAAACATGTACAAAATATACATGTACAAACTATACATGTACAAGTACATAGTGTTATTACAAAATGATAATGTAGCTGAACCCTCTTTGCTGTAATTATGCATAAAAGGCTTACTTTTTTCTGAGAAGGATTACCAAGAATGTCTTTCAGTTCTATACGAGCCGACTCTCTGACTAACATCAAATTAATGCGTCCACCAAACAAGTGAGAACCTGTAGCTGTCATCTTCTATCTATACCAATAATCAAGCAATAATTCAAGAATAAAAATATTAAGTACATGTACATGTACATGTACAATAGAAACAATTACAACACTTTCAGACTATTAGATTATACCGTATAGCTTAAAAATTTGGTAGAGTAAAACTTTGGTGAATTGGCGAATTGAAGTCCATTTGCCAAATTTTAGTCTCCAATCTGATAAGGCTCCATAGAAACAAACACACAGTTAAAATTTCGTCAAAATTTTAACTTCCAAACTTCTTTTAGAGTCAATTCGCCAAATTTTAGCACTCCAAATTTTCTAGCTATATGGTATAATGTGAAACTGCAGGGTTTCCCAGAAAGCATACTAATGAAGTGATGCTTCATGAGCTGACAAGCACTACAATACAATACATGCATTTTGAAAACCTTAAAAATTTATAAAAGTCCAAATTTGAAATTTGATTGGAATTAGCTACACAACGTAACTTTGAACATCTACAATTTATATGCATCAGAAAAAATATAAAACGAACAATCCTTTCTTAGTCATTCTGACAATATTTAGACAAAGACGAAAAGCTACATGTACATGTATATAGTCTTTGATTGTAATTGGCCTAACTTTTGAGCAACTTCAACCATTTGTAAGAACTTGACATGATTGAAATCAGTTCAAAGGTGATACACAAGTCAAAATAAGGGCATGTACAAACGTATATGCATTGAAGAAGTATAAAAATAAAAAATTCTCTCCTTAATTTTTTTTATCTACAATGTAAATACCTTGTACTACATGTACATTGTGTAAGGGTCATAGGCCGAATTTTTGAGCAACTTGACAATCCACTGACAAGGAGCTGCATTACCAAAATCCTATGGGGAAACCCTGTCTGACCGTTACACAAAAATGGTAAATCAAATTAAACTATGTTCAGACACAATGTTTGAATGTAATTTCAGGGTCTATACTGCAGTGACTATTTGAAATTAAATTTAATAATAATGACAACTTCTTCATAAAACCACCATACAGTTGGCAATATTAAATCTCACCAATAAATCATTTTGCACAGTAGTTCAAGGCTTCAAGCTGAATAGTCTGACACATGATATGCATAATTGGTCCTTAATCATGGTTAATCAGTACTTTTACTCATAAAGAAAGTGAAAATGATTTTCAATATCATATCAGTCAAACTACAAAATGACACAATAATACCTATGGTCAACAATTGCTTACTATCAGATTGTATATATTTGTATCTTCAATGAGAATAAACTTTTTACATTTAGCAAAAAAACATTTCATATTTTAAGAAACATGCAAAATACACACTTGGCTTGGTGATCCTTAAGAGTACATATGTACGTTTATTTGTGTGTGTGATATACATGTAATTATGACTAAAAATCTTTTCTTATACTTGTGTATTAATACACATGTACAAATCAGTGAACATGCCTATCATAATTAAGTAAGGCAAGAAATACATGTACATGAGCATGACATTTCAAGGGGGTCACAAAATATTTTACCAGGGGTAGCAAAATGTTCCCTACCTCAATGGGAATACACCAACCTGTCTACCCTCTGCTAAACATTAGTGAACATAAACAATTTTTATTCAAAAATTATTATAAGTTTCATAAGCCACTCCCACTTTAAGTATGGCTTCAAAATACCAGTTTAAAGAATAAAAACTAGCTATACACAACTCCAAATTGATGCCTTACCTACCCTCTCTATGAAGGTGTCAGTAAAGTCACTCTGTAATAAGGTCAATAGACAAACCAGAAGACAAAGCTAGCTAGAAGAGCCACTCCCTCCTTTCTAGTAAGGACCACGCCCTTTTGATTTCTAAATAAAGCCCAAACCCACGTGTGACTGTGTGTTTAAGCAGAGGTAGGCCTATAGCAATGAAAGTAAAGCGTTGTAAACATGCGAAAAAAGTAGTATCTTTCTACAAGAACAACTTTGGCTTTCGTGAACCATTTCAGATTATTGGTAAGATAAAAGAATACTATAAAATCAAGTGATTTTAACTTGTTTTTATTTTATTTAAGTCGATGGGACTTTTTGTCAAGCAGCTCTGAAGGGCAAGATAAACATTAAGGAACAAATGCCGAAATATCTCTGCTGTGCAGTACAGTTGGGTAAGCTCCTATCTTTTAAAAATTTATTATTTTGTTTGGGGTTGGTAAATACAGAGCTGGCCTTGATTTGGGTGGTGAATGGCAAAGTGTCTGGTATATGCCATATAATGTATAATGTAGTATTAATAGTTCTTGCCAAATCAGCAAATTGTTCTACGCAATGTTAACATCAGAGATCACACACTGATGTGTTGCAGTTACCACATGGCCACATTTGTTTGAGAAATGGGGCATATTATTAGTGTTTCCTTCACTAAGGTTATGTTCGCAGAGCAACAAAAATGATGCACTTTGTATTGCTTTGTTCCTGTTTTATGTTGCCAAACATTACCAACAATAAAGATAGATCTAAGCAAATATCATGTATGACAGCAAGTGGAATAGAAAGGTATGATTTTTGTTATCCTTCCTATGGGTTTTGGTAAGACAGCCTGCTTTAAGAAAAAGATTTTGGGAACAATGTTATCATTATTGTCGTTAGTCTCACTACACCCCTTCGCTACCTGTGGATCCCATGAGGAAGGGTCTGGGGACACTGCTATCTAAAACTTGTGCAAAAAAGAACACGTGATTGGCTCTATGTCATGTGATAGAGGAGACCAGATCAGTCAAGATAGCTGGAATAGATGCTTTGCAGCTAAGGAAAGATGAAGATAGAGTATCTGCAAATTTGAGGGCAGCAACTCTTCACAGAGCACCATAGTATTTACTTATTATCAATGACGTTTTATTATAAACACGTGACAGTATTATTACGTCATAAGTGTGATGGCGTTGTTGTAGTAAGCAGCACAGTAATGCTGCTCTTAAACCTTGAGAAAGAAGTCCAGGGTGCAATACAGGCTCCCTCCTTTCTTTATTTTGTCCTCATTCTTCCTCTTTTGTCATAAACAGAGCTCTTCGGTAACATGACTGCTTGTCCTACACGTGGTTCGAGCAATCTGATTGGGACGCCAGATTCTCTGGCATGAAGCACACATTTTAGATAGCAGTGTCCCCAGACCCTTCCTCTGCAGGTAGCGAAGGGGCGTGATGAGACTATATTGTCGTCAGTCCTTTGACAGACCTTAATTAAATCAAGTTGAAGATCTTTTGAGTCACAATGTATTTGCTGGTTTAATTAGTTCAGGAATTAGTTGCTCAAGGAAATTGTAGCATTCTGTTTATGGTTTTGGAGTTATTTTATTTTTATGTTTATTATACGTTTGGAGTTGTTGGTTTAATTATTAATGATGCTTTTTGTGTTGTTAAATAGTAATTAAGTCAATATTTTTTTTACCTTTCTTCTTGGTTCTTTTGCTTGAAGACAATGATGGATGTGGTATTATCAGTGCTTCTAGTAGCCATTCCAATGACTCACTTGGAATTAAAACATATGGTAGTGAATTTAAAAGTATTACTTTTACATTAGCGTCATAAATCAGCCAAGCCTTTAGCTCTCAGTCTTAATTTTTGAATCTTAAATTTTGGTGAGGCCTTTTGTTTTACAACATTGTATTTTTTAATAATTTTTATGTTATTAATTTATTTTATTTCCGATTTTAATTTTAGTTACAACTAAATGTGTGCTAGCTGAACTCTCATCCCATGCTGCACTACATGGAGCTAATGCTATAGCGAAGTGCTTTAAGACTCATAATTGTTCACATTCAACATTTTTACCTCCAGCAGACTGCTTGGACAGTTTTATAGGTAAGAGGTTGATTAATAGCACTTGGTATTACTGGTTTACAGGACCTACAAACAGCAAACACTATTGTGTTGCAACTCAAGATTGTGATCTTCGTCATAAATTTCAAGAACGGGGAGGTAGGTTTTTAATTATTGTAGATTTGATATTATTTTGTATTTAAGGTATTCCCTTATTTCATATCATTAGGAACACTATAGTATTAGAAAAACCCACTGAATCGTCTCAACTGTTAATGAATGAGGTACAATAGCAAGTTATTGTTATGGCATTTTGTTTTTCTGATTTTGTTGTTTGGGGGTGTACCATGTAATGAAAAGCCACGAATTTCTAACTAAACACACACTATACAGTATATAATTTGTAATGAGCATTATGATGCTCATTATGCTTTGTGTGTGACATGTCATCCCCTGTTCATTATGTGAAATGGGATTTGCCAATAAAATTTTCACATTTTTCTAATAATGCCCACCTGTTTAATTTTTTGATGTAAATACAAGCTTCCTTGTTGAATTAGCATCGTAATCATTGCTTTTGAATTGCTTTCAGTAAAACTATAAGTTTTATGTGTTGTCGTTTTTTTTTGTAAAGCATATTTTATTATTCCATTTTATAGATTTCTTTGGGAAAAGTCTCTCCAACTCTTCCTGAACAAATGGAGATAACATTAGATAATAACCAACCATCCAGTGATACTAAACGGAAAAGAAGGAGGCCACTTGGACCAAATCCATTATCAGTTAAAAAGAAAAGACTTAAAAAATCTGTTTCTGTTGCGAGTGGTGGAATATTGCAAAAGAACAAGGTGATTCAAATTTTGTTACTTGATATTGTGTTTGCAATTGTGCATCAATTCAGAATCCTCTATTGTTGTTATATAGTCAAATTTTGTGTTATCTCAATAGTTAATTTTATGTAACATTTGATGCCACAAGAAAGGCTAATTGGATTCTGATTGTATGCGGATTGACAAATAAAATATAGTGGAACCTTTTAACAGATGTGCCATTTGGGTACCGTATTAAATTGATTTTCACGGATTTTTTTTTTGCGAATCAGGAATGAATCTGCGAAATTTTTAAAATCTGATTTTTCTTTTGATGCAATACAAATAAAACCTCCGTACACTGGACTCTTGTTCTAGAGGACTGCCAACCATACACTGTTAAAAGAATTTACACATTAATTAACCATGATAAGTGGCAGTGGGTGTGGCTTGTAGCTATATGACATCATGCTGTGTAGCAACTGTTACAAAAGCTGCCATGTGGAGTTGCAAAAAGCATTGTGGCAGGAAATTTTTTATTCAAATACTTTAACTAGCTCGAGGAATAGATATCTAGACAAATTCCTCAGCATAAAAGTAGAAGAATCTTTACACTCTGAATTAGAACTCAGGACAGACACTGGTCTTGCAGTCCTTTAAAAAGAACAGGAAGGCATGCAAGCCTGGGTGTATGCCCTTTTTAGCTGAGTTAGCAATGTTCTGATGCAAGGAGTACTAGTATACCATCCAGCTAGTTGATAAAGCATTAATTATTGCAGGGAATTTTAATAATGCACTAATAAACTCCTCATAAAAACACCTTCAAATAAAGGACAAAACTGCTTGTCCCAAAGTGTCTGTTGTTTAGAGGTTCTACTGTGTACCATATAGCTGGAACTATTGTTTGGGAATTAATGTTTTCAGATTTGTGTTGTGGTAAGCAATTGCCAATAATAAGTCTACAATAAATTTAACAACTGCAAACATTTGTCAAATGTAACACTTGCCAATATTTCTGACTAGTTTCTGTTCATATTTGAAGTCACTGGAATGACTACATTTTGTTAGCTGAAAACTTTCGATGCTAATAACTTCTGCTGTTTTTGTGGTTTTGTCAGAATCACAAAATTAAAATCTGCAAAAAATCTAGATAATTAATACAGTACAAGATGTCAGAATGCTTTTGATTCTTGAAAGTAAAATTTATGAAAATGATTATTGGGTGGTTTCGTGAAAGTTTAATCCCTCAAAAGTTCCCAGCTATATGGTATATGTGTCTAGAAATTTTTAAGCTATTTTTAAATTTGTTATAACGTGATGCTCGTAATTTTTAGGGAAGACGGTTGAGATTAATCAGAAAAAAAGCTCTTCAGCAACTTGCTAATGATGTAATGACCGAAAAATAACATTATTATTATTATTATTATTAAATCAAATTTTTGGTACTGTATTTATTAGAGAAATTATGAGAAATTCTGTTGAGCCAACTACATTTGGCAACATTCATGTTACCTTTCTTGCTGAGAAGACATAATCAGGGCTTAAGTAGTAAAGAATGACTTTAAGCTTCGCAGTATAATAATCCAAGTTATAAGTACCCTTTTGCAAAACATGCTTAGTCTCTGCCATTCTACCAGGAGTTAATTGAATATTGCAATAGCCAACTGGTCAATTTCACTTTTGTTATGCAGATATTGAAAATTATTTTATGTTTGATAGATCTTGCATGAGCACACTCAGTGCATCATTGACATAAAGGAAGTTGTAATAGAATTAGCCTATTGCTATCATGTGATGACCATATTTGTAGCTAGCTTAGTCTATATTTAAATAGCACAACCCTTGTTTGAAGTTTGAACTTTAGCTTCATTGATATATTTACTTAACAGAAGATGATAAAGTACATAGTAGCATCTGTATTTGTTTTTTCTCTAATTCTTGGTGCAAAAGGGATCAACTACAAGAAATTATATTGCAATGACAGGGACTTCATTCCTAACCAGTATTATCCTCACCTTGACTGTAAGTCTAATGCTTTCACTCTGTCAGTCACTCGTGTGCACAAAATTAAATTCGTGAATGAATATGGACCTGATTGTTCTCTAGTTCATGAAGTTTTAAATGATCCTTCTCGTTTTAACAACATCAGAAAGATAAAAGCTGCTCTTGAAACATTTGAATGGACTGAATGTAACAAAGAAATGGATGAGAATGATGAACACATGCTAGAGCTTAATGAAGATGACGTTGAGAATGAAGATAGTGATGCACAGAATATAAAGTGTAATGGTGATATTAAAAACCCATGTCCAGATATTTGCAAATCAGAATGGGAATCTGATAAAAAGAAGCGTCCAAAAAGAAAAAGTCAACTGGAAGGGGCAAACTACAAGGAGCTATACTGCAACAACCAAGATTTTGTTCCAAATGAGTGCTTTCCTCGTCTTGATTGTAAACCAAATGATTTCACACTCTCAGTCACTTGTGCACACAAAATTAAATTTGTGAAAGAAAACAAGCCAGATTGTCTTCTAGTACATGAAGTTCTAAATGACCCATCACGTTTTAATAACATTAATAAAATAAAAGTTGCTCTTAAAGCATTTAAATTTTATGAGTGCCACAATGAAATAGGTGACAGTGAGAAATGCAAGCAAGAACATGCAGAAGAAACTGATAATAAGAAAAGTTCAAAGTGTACCCATATGAAGAATCGAAAGAAAAAGCAGTGCGAAGACAAGAAATAAACTTAATTTATCTCGTTGTCTTAATATTTTATTATCATTTTTTAATTACTTTATTAGTGCAATAGTTAGGATTTTTTAATGAAAAATTGCTATGCCATGGAAATGGTTGCACACTTGAATTTATAGTGTTAAAGACATTACTATTATTATACACTCCTTAAGTTTGCAATGGTTTTGTAGTTATGCAATATTTAGATTATATAGTGAAAATTAGAATGATAGCATGACATAGCAAAAGTAGAACTGTGAGAACAGACACCTGTTACAACAGTATTAATTTGTGACACTGCTTCAAGTGTGCCTGTGAACTGTATCTACAGCATGCAAGTACTGTAGTATGATGGAATCAGATCTAAAGATTAAAAGGGGACACATTTGATGTACAAAACAATATTTTTTTAAAATGTAATTCCTAAATACCTTTAACATTTTTTCTGTGGTGCTAATTTTAGGCTAGTAGAAATTAAAGCATAGTATTATGCCAGCAGAATTATAAAATATGGTGGAATATGTGTTATTTTTTTCTGGTTAAGATGTACTTAACAAAATTTGTCTTATGGTATTGAATTGCAGAAGCAAATTGGATTATTGCAAAAAAGAAGTGCTTATCATTACATTTAGATGATTAAAATAATGGCATATTTTTTAAAGGATTAATAAGCATTTCAAATGTATCATTGGTATCATTAAATAAAAACAATAGTATGGCATGATGAAGCAAAGGACATTAATAATATTATAATAGCAACCCTGATCCATCTTTGATATCTTTTGTATCAATGATATAGCCAGCATGACCCATAAACCCTGAATACAAAAGAAATAAAGTGAGCTATGAAATTAAGAACAAGCAAAGTGAGAAGGGGGAATTGAAGAGGAAAGAAAGTGAGATGGCGGAATAAAGAAGGAAAGAAAGTGATATTAGTTGCTCAAAGTCACTTCCTTTCCTCCTTTATTTCCCCATCCACTCTCTTTCCTCCTCAATTCCCCCTTCTCACTTTTCAATCCCGATGATTAGGAAAGGAAAGAAAGTGAGATGGGGGAATTAAGGGGGAAAGAAAGTGATATGTAGGAAAAATAGAGGAAAGAAAGTAAGATTTGGTCCCAATCTCACTATTTCCCCACACTATTTCGTGCTATTAGATCTATGTGAATTAGTGTATGCCAGCACCATTGCATATCAGTTCAGTAATAATTTTATGTACAGATATTTTGACTAATATTAAAGTTGCTGTTTCAAAGAGGTCAAATGGAATGAGATATATATTAAACCACAAGCATTATTTTTCATAAATCAATACCAGGTATTGCACTGCAAATTATTGATTGTTGAAGCTACACTTGCTACAAATTTTCATAATCATAATAGGTGGGGCATTATTTCCGTTATACTGCCAATTAAACAATTTACTTTATGCATTACTGTACTGTTGTTAATATATGGATAGGTGCTTCATGAAAATACCATACTTTATGAAGTTCAATGTGATTTTGGGGGAAATTAAAGTGTAACTTGCTTAGCCAATTGTAGAAGTTTATATAAAACAAACAAAATTAATTATGAAGTATGAAATCCAAACAAAAATAATTCTTAACAAGAAATATTACAATTTCCATTACTACCAGTTAAATAGCAGAAAAATAAACTAATAGTGTTTTAAGTACTTTAGATCTTAATTGTTACCATTTTATTTAATTATAAAATAGTTGGCATATATTATTTGGTGTTGTTATTATTATTATTATTTTTTAGTTTTCATCATTATTAGTTAGTGTCTGCATTTTACATGTCAACTTGTTAAGTATTTTTACTAACAAATTTTGAATCAGAGGAAGTTGTAATTAATCAATTATACAAATGCTCAAATTTCTGCTACTATATAAAGGAGAGGTTTTGGTTAAGTTTCTCTTAGTCACAGTATTAGAAAACATGAAGTTTCTAGTAGCACTTCTGCTCGGTCTATTCTTGATTTTCAATTCCAAGGCAAACTACGAGGAGTTATACAGTGATGATGAGAATGAAAATCCTGATTGTCTAAGTGGCAGTTATAAAACAGATTTAGATGACGAAGAAACTGATGATATTCATAGTCTAAAAGGTAGCAATCAGCAAGAATTTTATAAATGGAATCAAGATGAAAGCAATGATGAAAACAATGAGCAACAGTTAAATGACAATGATCAAGACGAAGACAAGAGTATATATACTCTTGACGAAGATGATGATGACAATCTAGGCCATGACAATGAACAAGAATTGGATGACATTGATCAAGATGAAAGTGATGACGATGATCAAGGCAATGACAATGAACAAGAATCAGATGACATTGGTCATGATGAAAGAGATGATGATGATCTAGGCAATGACAATGAGCAAGATACAGATGACATTGATCAAGACGACGAAAGTGATGACAACAATCTAGGCAATGACAATGTGCAAGATTCAGATGACATCAATCAAGACAAAAGTGATGATGACAATCTAGGCCATGACAATGAGCAAGAATCAGATGACATTGATCATGATGAAAGAGATGATGATGATCTAGGCAATGACAATGAGCAAGAATCAGATGACATTGATCATGACGAAAGAGATGATGATGATCTAGGCAATGACAATGAGCAAGATTCAGATGAAATTAATCAAGATAAAAGTGATGATGACAATCTAGGCCATGACAATGAGCAAGAATCAGATGAAATTGATCAAGATAAAAGTGAGGACAATGATCTAGGCAATGACAATGAACAGGAATCAGATGACATTGATCAAGACGAAAGTGATGATGATGATCTAGGCAATGATGATGTTCAAGAATCAGATGACATTGTTCATGATGAAAGAGATGATGATGATCTAGGCAATGACAATGAACAAGAATCAGATGACATTGATCAAGACGAAAGTGATGATGACAATCTAGGCAATGACAATGAGCAAGATTCAGATGATATTGAGCAAGATGAAAGAGATGATGATGATTTAGGCAATGACAATGACCAAGAATTAGGTGACATTGATCAAGATGAAAGTGATGACGACAATCTAGGCAATGACAATGAGCAAGATTCAGATGATATTGAGCAAAACAAAAAAGATGATGATGATTTAGGCAATGACAATGAACAAGAATCAGGTGACATTGATCAAGACGAAAGTGATGACGAAAATCTAGGCAATAAAAATAAGCAAGAATCAGATGACATTGATCATGACGAAAAAGATGATGATGATTTAGGCAATGACAATGAGCAAGAAGAATCAGATGACATTGATCAAGACGAAAGTGATGATGACAATCTAGGCAATGACAATGAGCAAGAATTAGGTGAAAGCAATCAAGGCGAAAGTGATGAAAATGAAGAGATAGATAGTGATAGTGTCCCGGACAAAAAACATAACGATGATAATTCGAGAGGCGGCAAGATGGGCAATGCTGGTCAAAAAATTGATAATGATATAGGTTGCAACCGGCAAATGTTATTAGACAATATGGAAGATGAAAGGGATGGTGAAAGAGACATTGAACAGGAATGTGGTGATAGTATTAAATTTTACCCAAGGAGTAACAAAAAAAGACCAACAAATTATAAGGAGCTATACTGCAAAGACAAAGATTTCATTCCAAATGAGAAATATCCCCATCTTGAATGTAGAGAAGATGCTATTGCACTTGCACTCAGTTGTGAAAAAAAAATTTCTTTTATCACAGAGAATGGACCAGATTGCCCATTACTTCATCATGTCACTGCCGACCCCTCACAATTTAAAAATAAAATTAAAATAAAGGATGCTTTGGAAAGATTCAAAATTCTTGCTTGTCATCAAGAAACAAACAATAGTGATATAGATCAATACATACAAGAATCAAAAGAAAGTGGGAGAAGTAAAGAAAATAAAAGTACAAAGAAAAAGTAACCAGGCAGAAAGATATAGTGTGCTTTGAATATGCATTTACAATTTAGCTTGGTTTATATTGATGACTTTCTATTCTATGCATACACATTACTTGCAGTAGTAAAAGCTATTAATAATTTGTTAATTTTTAAAGATGAGATTAACACTTTAAACTGTAAACAGCCACACTACAATGGCCATTCTGTAGCAATTGCAACTGAATTTCTCTCTAACTCTAATTTTAAATTTCATCATTTTCTTCCCTAATTATAAATATATATAGCTACTAGCATTCATCACATGATTAACTTCCTTATCACTTCCCTTATTACAAACAAGTATATATGATTTCTCTGTAGTGAAGATAAAGATAAAATTTCAGTCGTAGTATTAGGTATATCCCTACATCTACAAATATGTTCCAATAAACATAATGTGATAGCTATAGATGACATTGATCTTTGTGGTGTAACATAATCTCACTGCTTACACCATAGCTGGTAGGTTTGGTCTGGGTAGTGAGACTATAGTGTAGATGAAACCATTTATAGTATAAACACATGTCCCCATGATATGTAGTAATATAATTAAGGTCATTCAGGTTTACCGTTACCAAAATCCATAAAATACACAATTTTACTAAATGTCCTATGTATGAAAACAACTAGGTAAATTATTCCTGCAAAGTAAAGATTGTAATTTCTTATAGCTCTAATGCTAACAACAATATTTTCTTAAGACTACTATGACTTTTGGCATCATTTACATAGCTTGCTTGAGAAAATATGATATGCAAAGTTAAGTAAAAAGACCACAGTCATGAAATTATTTATAAAATTAATGTAAAAACAGAACTGCAGTAAGAAACATGCAATGCAATGAAAAAACAATTTATCTTGATCTGTATGCTTTGTTGAACCTGCTTATACTTCTAAGGCTGTAATCTAATAATTTACAAGGTTAAATTTATATATTTGGAATGAAGCTTACAAAAAGAGACAACACTGATTTTATTTAGACTTTACTACACACAAGAAATCTGATTACATGCATGTAAGGCAGGAATCAAAATACTGGAGTATAATTACTAGCAATACATTGTACTTGCCTCCAGTTATCTATCAGCACTGGATATGCCTACAGCTCTAGTAAGTTACTAGTACATTTTTATAATGTTCAAAATTCTGTTATTAGATATTTACATTGGCTTGTATTCTTTATTTGGTGCCTCTTGCTGCTCAATCAGAAGTTTATTATGTCAGTTCAGTTAGTAGTCAATGCAATTCTTATACAAGCTACAACAGCAAGTGTCATTCCATTTCGTACTATGCCAATAAAGATGTCTGGTCTCCTAATGTCACCTTGATCTTTCTACCTGGTGAACATGATCTCACAACTAGTTTCTCCACAAAAGGATTGGAAGATATATGGCTACTTGGACAGAATCAATTTCTGGTGACTCCATCAAAAACACATTCATTCTTAAGGCCAGTGATTAGATGTCACAAGATGAGTGAGTTTGCTATCAGTGGCATCACTTCATTAACCATAGGATGGTTAACCATCAAATGCTCAGTTTTGAAAGTCATAAATCTCAGGGAACTACATTTATCAGAAATTACTGGAAAATCGTTGAATGTAAGTAATATTCAGTCAGTAATGATACACAACTCTCGGTTTACTCACAAAAAACAAAGTAACACATTCAGTGGTGTTGCATCATTATCAATACATTCGACACATATATCAGGAATGAGTAATGGATTATATATTGATAGTGGTGACTTATTTTGTTACGTGTTACTTACTGACCTTATAATAGCCAACAGTAGCATGAATGGCATTACTATAAAGTGTCATCATAATGGTTTCATCTCACTAAATCAGGTAACAGTCAAAAACAGTGGTAGCTATGGATTATACTTACAGTGCAAACATTCTATGGGTACTAACTGTTCGATGTCATTAAGTGATATATTACTGGCAGGCTGTACTCTAGGATCTAATATATTATGCTATCAAGAGAAATGCACAGGTCATATTAATAATATAACAGTTTTTAATACAGCCAAGTCTGTTGGTCTTCTCATAGGGTGTCAGCAACAGTGTAAAATTGATATAAATGCTATGAACATTTTTAATAATAGTGCAGGTGGATTTCACCTTTTAAGTGCATTTCAAAGCTCATTCTTCATTAGAAATAGCATAATATCACAAAATGGTGGAGTTGGAATAATTGCAAATTGCTATAGTGTTGTGTTTATTGACTTTTCTAATGTTACAATATCAAGAAATAATGACACTGGACTATATCTCGGCACTTTTTGCATAGTGGGTTTCTTTTTTAATAGTAGCATAATATCAAACAACCACTCACCTACTAGTGGTGGAGGCATGTGGATATCAAATAATTGCTGTGTAAGTGGTAATGCTACTTTAAGTCTTATCAATAATACAGCACAAGAAATGGGAGGAGCCATCTATTCTCCAGAACATATAAATGTTAAGTCTCTGTGCACATTCTTTAGAATTTCTGTTATGTTTAAAAGCAACCGTGCAGCCCTTTCAGGCAATAACATATACAATGGGGCGTACTGGCAGTGCACATACATGTACAATTCAACAAATGGTCAATATATTTACTTGAGTGATAAAAACTTATTTACAATAGCTGTTGACTGCTCAAATAATCCATCGCTTTCCCTTTTTCCAAAGCCTCATTCATTATACATTACATCTATTCCCCTTGGAGTGTGCCTTTGTAAAAACAATGTCACTGATTGCAACACAAGATCTATTGATATAGTTATTTTTCCTGGCCAATCAATAACTGTCTCACTTGCAACTGTTGGAGTCTGTGGAGGATTTAGCCCCACAGTACTGAGGACTAACAATTTAGGCAGTGTAGGAATTTCTTTGGAAACTATTAATCAAGAAACCGAAAATAAATGCAAGGATTTTAAATATCTTTTAAGTCAATTGTATCCTCACCAAAAAGAGGGAGAAATAATTCTAGCAACACATATCAAAAGATATAAAGATTCATCATTTTCAATGAATGTAAATTTTTTGCCATGTCCGTTTGGTTTAAAACTTGTATCTGGTACTTGTCAATGTAATGCTGATATTAAAAATGACAATACACAGTGTAATATTGATTGGCTGCCTCATCCTATTAGAAGACATGGTAATAGTTGGTTGTACTATAGTCAACAGAGTAACTGCACAGTGGCTCATCATAACTGTCCATTTGATTATTGTGTCAGGTCTACAGTATATTTAAGTCTTAACGAGTCTGATCTTCAATGTTCAAGTGGTCGATCTGGTATTCTTTGTGGGAAATGCAATCCAGGACTTAGTCTTGTATTAGGTTCAAACAAGTGCCAAAGTTGTAGCAACAAGTACATATCAATTGTAATTGCTTTCATTGTAGCTGGTATATGCCTACTGTTGTTTCTATTGGTCTGTAACTTGACAGTGTCTGTGGGTAGCATCAATGGATTACTCTTTTTTGCTAACATTGTTAAGTTAAATGAAGTTGTTCTATTTCCTGATGGCGTCAGGATACCTGTACTGAGCCAATTCATAGCATGGCTTAATCTTGACCTTGGTGTTCAAATTTGCTTCTTCAGTGGGCTAGATGGCTACTGGAAAACATGGCTACAATTTGGGTTTTCTCTAATACTTATTGCAACAATACTGCTATGCTGCCGATTCTCATCAAAACTCTCTCGTTTATTTGGAACAAAAATAGTGTCTGTCCTTTCAACATTAATCTTAATGGCCCATTCAAAGCTCTTACTAGTAATAAGAAATGGGCTCATGTTAACTATTATAAAATGTGGAAAAGAAATATGGTACAGATGGAGCATTGATGGTAACATTGCTTACTTAAGTAGTACACATATACTGCTGTTTGTTTTCTCACTATTTATGTTGCTTGTGGGGCTAGTGTATACCCTGTCTATATTTTTCAGTCAATGGCTGATGATGTTTTGCGGTAAATATTTTCGAAGTTCAATGGATCCTTTTTATAGGTTCAAACCCTTCATTGATCCTTACACTGGACCATATAAAAATAGGTTTCGTTATTGGACAGGACTTCTTTTGATTGTTCGCCTTTTACTGACTACTATATTTTCATATACTACGGGTACCATACCTCAAGTCAATAACTATATCATTGGAATTACAGCCTTCATTACATTATTTCTCTCAAGAGGAGTGTACTTAGACAAAAGATTAAATCTATTAGAGTATTTCTATCTTCTCAATTTGGCATCTCTGAGTCTTATCAATGCTCTATTGCATCACATGGCCATAGGTCATCATGTAATTATTAAAGTCAATGCTGTTTCAATAAGTTTAGCATTGATTGTATTTATTGGTACAATTCTAATGCATATCTATGTTCTATTGAAGAGAAAATACTCGTGCTGTAATACTGTTCAAAATTCTGAAGAAGAGAAAACACTTTTAAAGGAAAATGAAGATCACTGTCATGAAGAAGAAATGTTTTCTCCTGCACTCATAATTAATCGTAGAGAGCCATTAATATTTGATTATTAAATGTCAGTGTGTCACTAAGTCCAATGCAAGATTAATAATGATTATTATTTTCATGATTCATACATTAAATTGCTATGCAAATATTATAGACAATGGTATATGTGTACTTTATACATTTCATTCTGAGTTCAGACTTACATCAATGATTAAAATTTAGAGTTGAACATACGCATAAATAGTATATAAATCCATAAGCATGATAATTCATTATGATATTAAGAGCAGTAAAAGCAGTGTAACACATAATGCATAAGTACAAACACAATGCACTTTTGTTTAATGCCATTGCCATCATACCCTACTATATGCATTTTATATAAGTCTTGTCCATAATTTTTATTATGAATTTTATACATGTGTAATTTCATGCCTACATACTGTAATACCTTAATTATACTTTAGTTCCAGCTCTAGCACACCCCACTTACTGTAGGTCTACATGTAGTATTGTAATTTTCAGGAGTAGACTACATGTATGAGGCCATTTATTGATACATCATTTGATTAGGAGGTACTGGTAAGTATATAAGGTTCAGAATGAAATTGAAGTCCTTGCTAAAGCAGTGCTAAATGAAAGTATTACAACTGTAAATTCATTCTTAAGTGTTTTTTCCATTAAGATCAATGTAAAACAGAAAATCCTCATGCATGATGCATGTAATTGTTTACTGATTTAGGCAAAATTTAGTCATGAATTGCTTAAGTGTTTCTTCCATTAAGATCAATGTAAGACAGAAAATCCTCATGCATGATGCATGTAATTGTTTACTGATTTAGGCAAAATTTAGTCATGAATTGCTTAGCTTAGGTAGTTGGGTTCTAGAGATAAGAATCTTTCCGCACATATATTATAGATAAGGAACATACAGTACAGTAGAAGCATTATGTATGCAAAGTAATGAAATTCTCACTAACAATGGCAAAATTTATTATCATACAAGGAGAATTAGTAGACATTGTTGGCATATTAAAGATACACGTACATGCATGGAATTGATCATTGATGTAAGTACAGTACTGTGCATGTGTTATGTGCAATATTAATGTTTAAGTGGTTACTTTTTGATGGTAATTCTTCTGCCTTTCATTTACAATGTCACTAAAATTGTTCTTGGCAGATATCAAAAAGATCCAGTCATTCCAGTGTAGCTCATCTCTCTATGGGAAAAGTTCAAGTAAAGAAATTAATGCTGTAGTAACTAGAATCTAAAATAAAATATAATAGTATTGACTAGTGATAGTCAATATTGCATTCACATTTAGAATAAAAGGAGAAAATTGATACAAAAGAGTATTTCTCTGTTTACAATTTTAAGAGCCATAAGTCATAAATGAATAAAGGCGTGGCCTACTGGCCTTTAGCATGGCTACGACAATTGGCGTCCTTGTGGCATTGACCTCCCTGTTATCTGTGCTATTAGGAGCCTTAGCTGATGGAATTGGAACAGATTGTTCTCTGAAAGGTTTTGGATCGAGCCTTCTGTGTAGTTCTTGTGATGAATTAAAGCGTTTTGAATTATCAGAATTGAGAGATGAATGCCTTAAGTGTTGTCAGAAGACTGGTAGCAACAATGAACAAGTTAGTGATGTTCACTCTGTAGGCATTGTGCGAGAGAATATATGATATATATAACCAATGATCATTTTAACTGTTTGGGTAGATCTATACATATACATATACATCATATACATATACATATACATACATATACATCGTCTGATAACAAAAACGAGGGGTCCGAAACGGCCTCCAAAAGTGTACCAGATTTAAAATCCACTCAAATTTTGACTGGATTTTTGGATTCTTGTTGGATTTTTTGGATTTTTTGATCATATAACATTAATAAGTAGTATCCACCATGTTATTAAAGTTAACTAACCACTAGTTATCTTAGTTAACTATTAATAATGGTTAGTTAACTATTAATAATGGTCAATTAACTATTAAAAACTACCAATCATTTAATAATAGCAGTTAATTAACTATTTTTAATGGTTAATTAATCATAGACAGTAAATCTTTGAATATTGTGACTGGATTTCCTTGGATTTTTTTGGATTACTGATTGGATTTTTGGATTATTGCAAGGATTTTCTGGATTACTGGTGGATTTCTGTGGATTATTGGATTTTTATTGGATTATTGGATTCTTTTACTGGATTTTTTGATTTTTTGGAAACTGTACCAGATTTTTTTTCGTTGCGGACCCCTCGAACAAAAATGATTGAGAGAGGATGACATAGGCAGCCCTCACGGTCCCACCCATAATTTTTACATTCTGGTTTTGATCTTGTGCCTACTTGGAAAGGGCTAATGGATTGTATGATTATAGCATTTTTTATGTCACACTTTGCATTGTGTTTCGTTGTTCTTAATGCTAAATCCATTTTTGAAAACATGTGGGCAAAATAGAATAACTGTGACCATAATTTTTTCTTGTTTCAGAAATTCAGTGGTGCTATTCTTGAAGTTTGTGGATGAAAGCTTGGGAGGTTTCCTCACATACAGGGTATGTTCATGAGTTGTCGGTACCAGTGTTTATGCTATATCTTAGGGTTTGTCAAAGGCAATGCACCATCTCAGTTTCCTAGCTTAAAAATTAAGGTTTGCCCCATGTTTCAACCAGTGTTTTTTGACACAACTGTTTCATTCTTTTTAGTATATGAGAGGGGCTGATCCTACTCTGAAACTTTTGGATGATAATCAAGCAGTTGTTGATACTTTGTCGTAAGTTTTATGTACACATGTCCATTATGTGGTTGTTTTTTACAGAATAGATAAGTGGGACTCAAACACACTTGAGGAATTCCTCAAGGAGAAGCTACAGTAATCTTTTGGTAGCATTTAATGTCATTTAGATTAAAACAGTGATAGCATAGCCTAAAACTGTGTAATGCAGTAGGCTATGGTTTGATGATCATTTAATCTGATGATGTTGAGTTGCTGCTTCTAAATATAGATATTTCAATTGTCAATTTATTATCATCAAAATTAATTACAACAATGCACATACTATTGTTCACCAGCCAGTGACTATAGATATGCATAATATAGAAACAATATAACACACAATAATGATAAAAGAAATAAATTACTATTATTAGCATTGCTTATTAAAGTGTGAAGATAGCAAACTTAAAAATTATTCCGTCGAAGAAAATTTGTGCCATTATAATAATATAATATAGTCAATCCTAACTGCGTACTTGGAATTTACCAGCTTTTGTGATATACTTTATTCCTTTGAACGGTTTATATTTCTGTTAAATTGTAAAGTTAAATATTAATAATAATGACTTACCTCTCCATACACGTCCAACCTACTGACTCTTAGACCAGAAATTGGTGTCTGTGGTAAACGAAACTCAACCTGTTCACAAATAAAGATTACTGTAAGTACACACATCTGTAACACTACCTCAATTGTTGGATTGCCATCTGGCACTTGCCCAGTTTGTAATGTAATCTATGTTGCGACTCAAGTATAAAAAATTAAAGTATTACTTACGTTTCCAGATATTTCCACTTTTCTATCAGTCAGCAATTTCCCCACCTATAGTACCACAGTAATAACAGTGAAATATACTATAATAAGAATAGAAACTTACTTGCCAAACAACGCTTTTAGTAACAGGATCATAATTTGGCATGCCCACTAGCAATATCAAAACAAACATGATGTTACAAGAGTGTAATCGTGCATGCATCCTTCCTTACATGTGCAAATAGGGTGTACATTATTGACACATTTGGGCATTGGGATAATAACCTTTACATCCTCCAACTGTATAATTTTACACAATAACAGAATCCATAGTAATTGCATGATTGCTTACAATTTTTCCTTGAGTTTGTTTGGGGCCAATTTTGACAGTAAACTTGCTTGAGCCCATCTAATAATAATTGATTTTAAAAGATATGCGTAATGTGTACAGCATATTCTTTAAAAAGAGTCTGAGGATTTATCTTTTAGGACATAAATTCACAACTCTTGTACTAGCACATATGAACACAATAACACTTAGTATGAATTAATAAATTGACATTTATTCAACTAAGGCTCTTATTTGAGAATAGACAATGCATTACTATATTTTTCTTTGGTTAATATGTACCTCTGAAAATATGAACTGTGGCTGCACATAAATGGGCAGGGAAAAAGAACTAAGAGAAAGAATGCATAAGAATTAAGGTAATTAGCACTGTACATGTAGTACCTTGTGCCTGTACTACCCATTGTGTATGACAGTAGTTGAAAGGATCCATCAGGTGGTACAAAAGATATAACACGTTCAGCCTATGAATAAAAAAAATTACTGTGACCAAAATAATTACTTGATGTGTACCTCCCATCTTTTGAATCTAACACATGGATGAAAGCTCACATCCTCTACTAATCTTGAATTAGTAAATGACAAAGTAAGATCTATACAAGTACATGTAATAGGAAAATAAAAATAGAAGAATATGTACCTGGCATTCCAGATAGCTTAGACAAAGCTTCTATCTATTTAAAGGAAAGCATAACACAATTTCTTTTACAGTACCTTACTTTGCCATGTATTTCAGCAACCACTGTGGTGCCCTGACAAATAAAGCAAATAAATGAGCCAGAGCATAATGATGAGACTTACTGTTTTGTCAATAATGGCATCAATTTCTTCAATTAGGTCAAGGAATATCTTTCAGTAGCATATCATGTAGTTTAATTCAAAAAAGGTGTAACTAACCTCATTAGTAGCATACTTAACTCCAGTTCTTCTCCAAGGTATATTGGAGAGCTGTCCAGTAGGTAATGTGGCACTGACCCTATACAAATGCAGTGTAAGCAAGAGACAATGCTAACTAACTGAGTTTTTCCTGTAACTGTGTTGACAACACTGTTAGGGAGTAATCCAGGAGGTCGAATCAACTCTTTTAAAATATTTGATTCAGTTGCAAGTGGAAAGCCATTATCAACCATTTCATCTAATAGCTAAAAGAAACGTCATTACTTAAGGAAGTAGCAGATGTGCTTCTACTGCATTACATTATTGGGGCTAAAACGTCAAGGACGAACAGATGCTACAATAATTCATTCATCAACAAAGAATGCACATCACAAAACAAACACTGAACTATATACAAAACATTCACATCATGTACATCTGTATTATATTAGTGCTTCACATAGTAAACGTAACATCACTAACATGCACATGTAGAACTATGAGGTATAGGTACACGTAAAATTATTGTTAGCTCATAGGGCAATAACCAACAACATTGCTCAGCCAAGCCCGCATTGAACTTTAGCAGCTTGATGCCAAAAATTTCTTAATCTATTGCATGTTTCTTTTCGTAGTTACTAAGTACACATATATACAAAAATGTTGTTGGAATTGTACAAATTTGCTTAATTATGAGAAAAACTCAATTAAACTTGAATGCTATTTTAATCATACAGGTGGCTAAAATGCTTAATGACATGGCAATGTAGAACAATACACAGTTGTACTATCATGGACTCTTGTTTCTACATGCATGTACAATCAAACACACAAGAACCACATGGTATCAAGGAATAGTACATGTACTATGTACATGCAATACATATATGTGCATATGTAGTTTAGTAGTACATGTACTATAATTGGCATACCTCATACACAATAACATAGTGTTCCTTAATCCTCTGCTCAGAGCAATCACCAAAATACTCAGTAAATATGTCAACCACACGGTGCAAAAACTCAATAATGAACAAAGGTGGTACTAATGACATAATAGAGACAAATTGAATGTAATAAACACAATATAAAATCAGAATACCTTCATTTTGTACAACAGCTACATAGTAAATGGAAGACCGATACACAGTAATGAGGTAGTAATGGGGAGTGGTAATAACTGGAGGAATATCCTGTGGACCATTTGCCTAAAAATGCAGAAACAATTAAAGTCAGGCCCACATACACAAATTCTGATGTCAGACTGAGCAAACAGACATTTTGACGAACTGCATGTAGGACATACATGTATGTAGCTGATTATGTAAAAGGAAACTTTCTGCAAAAATGTGAACTACATGTACATGTAGTTTGCAAATTAATATACATGTTCATGTAACTATGACAATTATACTGTACACTGTAGAGTGGATAATCAGCAAGAAATTAAATATGGCAAGTTGGCAAAATAATCTCATATTAATTCTTGCCAATTATTATTCTGCTATCATGTGGTATGAGATGATTAGGTAAAAAAAATTAGCCAACCAACCTACCAATTTGCTAAAATTTCCCATCACCAATAAATCTCACTATACAAATGGAGATGCATAATTACAGCCTCAAATTACATTTCAAACAATGTTCCGACAATGAGTCTGCATATCAATTGCTTAATCTGATCTGTCATTTTTATGAAACAGTTAGACAGGTTTTACCTAAGTATTTCAGCATAGTGCTCATGTGCCTTTTTTGACAAGTGGCTCAAAAATTGGGCCTAAGACTAGTATAAGGTATTTTGGCAAAATTCTTGAGTTTTTATAATTTTTCTGATACATATACATGCTCTAACATTGTGTATTAATTTTGAGCTGATTCCAAACAAGTTTAGACTTCTTATGAATTTATTAAATTTCCTCAAAAATCAGGCAAACAATCAAAGGGTATATAGCCTTCGGTCCTTAGCCAAACTGCATAACAAATGGCTGAGAGAGGATTCTCCATTTTTATAATCTTTTAATACATTATACATGTTCCTATGTTGTGCATAAACTTTGAGCTCATTCTGGTCAAATTTGGATTCTTCATGAATTTCAAAAGTTACTTCAAATGTCATGCACTGTATTGCAGTGTTTGTCAGCTCTGAAGCATGCTGTTTAGCTTACATGTACTTAGTATGCTTTGTGGGAAACCCTCCTGTAAGAAATGATAATTGGTTATTATGCTGAATTGCTTTAAACACATTGTAATTAGTCTAACCCTGAATAAAGCTTGAAATAATTACAGGCATGACCAAAATCTAAAGGTCTCATAGGCCTAAAATTGTACTTTCATAGATAGCTGCTACCGTTTTTCATTCTTTTTTCAAAGAAACAAAACTACATGTACATGTAGTCATGTACCTAAAATGCCTTGGGAGATGCGATGTGTAAATGCACACAAAAACCTGTTCTCAAGGCTACACCACACTTAATACACCTGATCAGTCAATTCTAGTTGAAAGGTATTTAAATTGCTAATAAAAATGCCGCCATTTACAAGTGCATGATGTAATGTACATGTACCTATTCCACACACATCCGGACATGATCAGAGAACCCAGGTATAATACCAAGTACATGTATGCAGTACATATACCTATACAACGATGTACAAGGATCTGCAGCATTTATCGAATAAAATTTGCTCAAATGAATATTTGCATCTAAAATTTCAATCAATTTAGTCAATAGACCCTCCTATAAAATTCATGACTTCAAAGCCATTGGTCTCACAAGCTGAAACTCCAGGAATTTGCTCTATAAGAATCAAGACACTGGTACATGTAGACGGCTAGATGCAGCACAACTGATCAATATACAATATATGCAGTGTATTTGTAACTACAAGCCTTCAATAATTTAATATACTAGTAATTTATAATACATAGTTATAGCTAGGGCATGAAAAAGTTACAAGTGGGTGTGCCCAACATGACAGTACCTTTCCCTGTGCTTCAAAGAAGTAATCACATACAGATCGACTGACAACAGTCTTCCAATGTTTTTCCATAAAAATCTCCCTAAAATTCATCATATAAAATAAAAATACTAGACACAAAGACTGACCCAGAGGAGTTTATCATGAAGAGAGAGTTGAGCATAATTGCTTTTCTAAATAATGCCCAGAGAAGACAGAAGACTATGACTATCACGTGACTCATGTACCAACCCACGAGGGGAATCTTCGACTTCGAGACATTATCCCTCCATTCCTGACTCCTTTCTTGTTCACTTCGAGAGACTTCGGCTCCTTCTTTTTAAGCAGAAGCTGGTTAACTTTACTCAGCTTTCCAACATGGTTGATTATAGCAAGTGGAAGAATATTGAAGTTAGTGACGACGAAGACGACACTCATCCAAATATTGACACACCATCTCTATTCCGATGGAGACATCAGGCTCGAGTAGAAAGGACTGAGAAAGAGATAGAAGAGAAGCAACAGTTTCTTGCAAAGCAGAAAGAGAACAGAACCAAGCTGAGAGAAGCCCAAGACAAGATGAAGAAAGCGAAAGGTAACCAGGAAGAGATGTCTGCTCTCAAAAAACAAATTGATTCATTAAAAAAAGAAGAAGAAAAACTCAGAAAACAAGAGGAGGAATTAGCAAAGAAAGAGAGATTGACACCATGGAATGTGGACACATTGTCAAAAGATGGATTTTCTCATTCATACATCAATAAGTCCCAACCGAAAAAAGAATTAACAGATGAAGAGAAACATGAACAATTGCAGAGTTTTGTGGAGCGACATGAAAAGGATATGAAGCATTATGGCATGCTAAATGACTACGAAGACAGCAATGATTACCTTCGTGATAATCCTCACTTGGTTTGTGAAGAAACAGCCAGTTTTTTGACACTTTGGTGTGTTACACTTGAAGTTGAAGAAAAGACAGCTTTAATGTGCCGTGTAGCTCACCAAACCATTGTAATGCAGTATATACTTCAATTAGCAAAACAATTAGAACGAGACCCTCGTTCATGTGTTCCTGGATTCTTTCAGAGAATGAAAACAGCAGAAAAGCAATACACAGACGCCTTTCGAGACGAGCTTCAATCTTTCATAGAACGTGTTAAAGCTCGTGCCAAAATTCGTATTGAAGAGGCGGTTAAAAAAGTTGAAGAGGAAGAAAGGCAGAAACGTTTAGGTCCTGGTGGTCTTGATCCAGTTGAAGTGATGGATTCTCTTCCTCCTGAACTCAGGAGTTGTTTTGAAGAACGCAATATCCCAAAATTACAGGACGTTATTTCTAAATTGCCAAAGGAAGAGGCTGCGTATCACATGAAGCGTTGCGTTGATTCTGGTTTGTGGGTAGCTGATGCAAAGTCGGCTGGACTGACTCCTGCAAGTGAAGAACTAAAGAAACACAATATAGAGGTTGATGATGAATCAAGTGATGAACATTATGAAGATATCAATAATGAAGACAAGGATGAGCTAGGACTGGATTGATAGTGGTGTTCGTTGTTATTAATCAATGGTGTGTGTGCTGTTTATTATTATTATTATTATTAAATACTTGATACCACAATAAAATAATCAATACACAAGTTAACTATGATACACGAATGAGTAACTAGTTCACAATAATGATAATGCTTGATATTTTGCTATTTGTAATTTTGTATAAGTCAAGGATTGTCAATTTTTGATAAAAGTGCATCTAAAACAATGTTGAATCTTCGATACCTTTCAAGAGGGTCATCAGAAGATGTTCCCATATTCTGTAAATGCATTCGAGCGCAATCTTGCATTAAAAAGTCAAACAGTACTGGTTCATATGTGTAGGACCCAAGCTTTCTTTTAGCATTAAGTGACAGATCAGCAGTGTGAGCAACAATACTGTGTAGACCATCAAGTCCCACAGTACGGGTTGTAAAATCTTCCAAAATGAGGCGCATGTCTTGCTGAGAGTTTGAGTCTTCAGTATAGAGCTTACGAAGATGCTGTATGGCTGGTATGACAAGCTGCTCTATGTCATAAATGCTAGCTCCTTCTGACAAGGCAGATATCATTCCCTTTAATGTGTCTTGATAGGTTGTATGAGTGTCAGTGTAGTGAGTCTTAAGAACACCCCATGTTCTCTTCATATCAATAACCTAACAAATAATAATAATGCTACATTAGGCAATTAACGGCACACAACATACCTGGGTGGACTCCAGACCTTTCATTATTGCCATAAATGAAAATAAGTTCCCACACTTTCCACTTTGTAAGAGCTCAGCTATTTCTATCCATCGTTTCAGCATCTTAGCCCTCTCAATCACATCACTAGTATGCAACAGATTGACTATTACAAGCTGGGAAAGTCCAAGATGTCTAATAATGGTGTTAGTTATTTACAGTTAGATGAGTTTATTATTTACCTATAGAAGAGCTTCTTCCACAATTTCTCACCAGACTGGGATGCTAAAACTTCAAGTCCGACAAAAACACCATCAGTGTTGAGTTCTTGCACTCTATTAATAGAACAGTTGTTATGACATGAAAACAAAATTGTAAGTTTTAATTACCTATTCATCCAGAGATCATAATCCTCTCCTGGTCGAGGAGCAAGTAGAAAACACACTGCATCTGCCTGGGTTAAATGCATGGCAACTTCATCGTTTGAAAACTCTTTTAGAAAGGAAGGTATTTCTGCTATTGCTTGAGGAGGTTTGATATTCTTCCCTGAAATTATACTCGTTGGACGAGACGAATATGGTGATTCTGAAGAGGGACGAGAGCCATGAGACCTTCTTGAGTGCTTTGTTGAAGAAGGTGTACTAGAGGGTGACAACCTTGTATTTTTTGAAGAGGAAAGTGAGGAAAAAGACAACTGGGAGTATGTGGAGAAAGGATGAGGTGGAGGGGTTTTACAGGGAGTAGGTATATTCTCCTGCACAATACGTGGTGTAGCATATGTCACTGTTTGTGCTCTTGCTCTTTCCAAAACATCAGCATGAGCAGCACTGCTCATAGAACGTTTAAATGTAATCTCTGCATACTTAACTCCAGCATTTTTACCCAGAACTGGGACACTGCGCTCATGCCGAAGTGATTTTGGAGTGACAGTGCTATAGTGGATGTCTAAAGATGGTGATTTGCTTCTATGATTTGCTGAGCGTGCCAAATTAGGCGAAGGGGGTAATGTGCTACGAATTGAGACACTCTCCATAACCTCATAATCTTCCTGATCATACTTTTCACGAGAAGATGTATGAGATGAAGGTGATTGCTGCATTTCCATAGCTTTCTTGCTAGGAACAGGTATGTCATACGTACTGTATGGATCAATCGTTCTTGGTCTTACCACATCAGGAATATGTGACGAAGCTTTTCCATCAACTTCATTGTAAATGGTGGCCGGTGATGAGGGGGCATCTCTATAAAGAGATGCCATTGCCATATCACTCATTTCATCTTCATCTACCATGTCTCCCAGTAGGTTAGAGCTGGAATAACTGGTCTGATTAAGTAGGCTAGCTTTAGGAGTGCTAATTGTGTCACGAACCGGGCTATGACGAGGAGAATCACAAGGACTAAAGGATGCTGATCTTGTGGCTCTAAAACTAGCACGCTTGTTGTGAACCATTGTGTAATAATCAGCATTTGCCATTGCATGATCAAGATTGGAGTCAATTGAGCGACCAAAATTTCTTGGTAGCGTGCCATAGGGTCGAAGTAAAGAACTTTCATATTCAGTGGAACTAATATCATGACATATGGGATTAATAAGAACACCATCAAAGTCTGTACTCAATGGTATCCTGTAACGAAGATGATTAAAAATCAACTCAGGGACACTGTCAAAGGCACCATTTCCAAACTGATACTTTTGACCAGTTTTTTCAGCCCCTCGTAAATTTTTTACGACTATTTCATTGCAGTTGATTTGTACATGAAAGATTCGGCCTTCCCAGAGCAAAGAGAGTATGTAGCTTCCACGAGTGATGGTATCTTCAATCACCAAAAAGTCGCCATCCTGATCTAAAAGAGATTCAACCTGCCCACGTGCCATTGGACCATAAAACCATGGTTGTTGCTCAAGAGGTAAAGAACGACTGAAGTCATCTCTCTCATCTGTATCACAGGTCAACCCCAAACCTGATTCCATCGATACTATAGAAAGATGCTTGTTAGGATTACCATCGTCATCCATAATGCCATGAAATGGTTCTTGTACTTGAAGTGAAAAGTGGTCACAATGAGACCGTGCTGCTTGGTTAGACATAGTTTGTGCTCGTGGATGACTGGGCCTCAACAATGCATCTTTATGAAATGGTGCTTGCTCACTAACTGTGTATGATCTTTGAAGTGGGTAATGTCGAGGCATCTGTGGACTTCCTCGTGGATCTGGAACGTAATCATTTTCAACGGCATACGGTTTCTGAGTCGTTCCTTGAATTAAATCCTCAAAACATGCTGCTGCTGCCTGGCTGGGTAAACTACGTGAAAAGTCTTCCACATTTGTTTTTATTTCTGGTATCGTGTGCAAGAATTTTTCCTCAGATGATGGCGAAGTCTGCACATCTTGCCCTTTTTTGACCTAAGGTATCAATGAGAAAACATTCTAATTGAATTACATGAAGCTAAGTATGTATAATTGGCAATATTTAACACTATTAGTGATATCAAATTAAAAGAAGGACTGAATGACCATACTTTACATTGATATAAAATGCAAAACAGGTAGTTAGTGCAGTTGTTTATGCCAGAGATGGAAATAGTAAACTTAATATTAATAAAAATTTAAAGCTTTACAAAGATAATAGTAAAATAACCTTTTGTTGTCCTTTACTACCACCACTGCCTCCAAGTAGACCTTTTAACCTGAAAAATTCACAATAATGACATTAGTCACGTTACATTACAGTACAGGTCAAAACATTTCAATTTTTACAATAACATATGCATGGCATAACAATACATTCTTTCATAAAGCTCACTTTTTAATATTTAATGCAGATCCTTTTTTAATGAGAGCCCCTATGTGGTGGTGATCATGGCTTGAAGAAGCAGACTGAACTCTTTTATTGATACCTATGGAAAGGAATGCTTTATAAATGTTATAACCAGTGAACTGCATACAAACATCCTTTGAGGTCATACATGAAACATAATCTATACATGTCTAGGTTTAATTTTGCTATATGACACGAATTTAATCATATCAACATGTGAATATAAAATTATACCTTCTGACTTCATGTGGGAACGATAATTGCTCAGACTGCCAATCATTGTGGCTCTATCCTTAGCATTTTGTATTCCAAGCTTCTTTAGATCAACATCTTTAAAGTTAACAACACTCTATCAAAGAAAGCAAAAAAATAATGCCATGACTAGCTCTTTATTGATATTACCAATCACTAGGTGTGCAATGGTATGTTATTATGGCTATGAAGCATTGAAAAAACACACTGCATGTTCATATAAACACCTCCTTTATTACTCAGATACAATAACCACAAAAATTAAGAAGGCCAAGTACATAAAACCACGTTCGCTAAATCAAATAATAGAAAGCGACACTACTAAGATTGACGAACACAAAGTGAGCATCAAAAAAAAATGTTCGCAAACACTGATGACATGCTGATAGTTCACAATGCTTTCGACGTGTACCATTATATAACTATTAAGGTGTGTAAATATCAACTAATAAACACTCTTACATTTCAAGTTAATGGCCAAGTATATACAACAATACTAGTGATATACTAACTACTGAATTGATTTACCTATCACCTATAATGCATTTTAAATAAAACACGTATGAACGTTAGAATATGACCAAACATAGAAGAATTTATATTACTTTAAAAAGTCAATAGCAACAAGATACATATCCCATTTTATTTAATTAGTAAGATGTGAGAAAGTATCTGAAGTATGTAGAGGACGGTTAACTTCACTTAATCACAGATGGACAAAAACATAATGCAATGTCCTGCATAGTACTATCATGTTTTAGAATTTGCCCTTCAGTTATCAATGGCAATCATACACTTTTATTAAACCTGTCACACTGTTATATTGATGCACACTATTATAACACAATAACATCAGGAGAACAAAATAAATCTTACACTTAAGAAACTAACCTTGAGATTAGGGAAGTCTTCAAGTTGGCGTCTGTAGCACTCCATACGCAGCTCCAATAGCCATGTTTCTACACTGATGGAGTCTAGGGCTCCAAGTGGACATTCTTCCATCGCGCAGTTATAGAGCGAAGTGATTTTACCGAGACTCGTCACAATTTACAGAAGTCGACAGTGATAAGACTTGTTTCTTTAAAGTGTGAAGTGAAGAACGTAGAGAAGCAATAGCAGCGATCCAAGATTCAGTAGCCAAGCGAAGTTATGCTGTACTCTGTAGGAGCATACAGGAAATTATAGTTATAACGAAGGCGTTTACGTCATGACACGTTTGTGCCAATTAGTACTACCATAGTACCATGTATAACCAGATATAAATCACATGAAAATTCTTCATGCATTTGATAAGAAGCAAGTTTCATGCTATTTGTAATACTATGCCGCAACAGAGCAGGCAGGCCAGGGAAGACCACATCCAATGAAGATCACTAAAATTAACTCTTTAAAATGAAACCACACATTATTCAACTAAAGTCACAACATGCACTTCAAAAATAGAAAAGTAACCTAGAAAACTGTTCAAGTAAAAATTTAAGACACATCAATGTGATGTATTATTAAATAAAGACAAACAAGAGGTGTAATGGCCTGCAATACCAATACATAATACAACAGGCAAGAGGAAAAGGAATACAACACACAACACAAAACTTGTGGACGAGGACTTAGGAGTTTTTCTGAACATAGCTTTGTGGCACATATCCTTCATCTTTGCCTTTACGAACACGTAGCCATCCATCACCTAGATCTTCAATGATAGTCACAATGTCATTAGCACGACAGCTTAATTCATCTTCATTTTGTGCTAAGTATGAAAATTAAATTTTTATCATTATAAATAATCACATAACAAATATACATCAAGGTAATTATAATATCCAATGATGCATCACTACTACTACCATAATTATGGCATTGACAAAAATAAAACTACATGTATGTACATGTACACTGTACATGTACTAGGACACACACATCCTGACACACACAAAGACAAAAATGCACCCTCTAGACGCACATACGCACACACACACACACACACACACAGAGTCATGTTTGTACTCCTTAATTACCATGTAGCCAAACATGCTGTACTTTAATATAGTAACTGTACCTTCAAAATCATACACCATGATCCAGACTCCAGCATCACCTGACTGATCCTTTGAACCTCCATCTTCATCATCAGAAAACCATTCCTCTTGTGCCTTGACATTGTCAGTACTGCCTTGAGGAGAAGGGTGCTATAAAATGCAGAGAATAAAACATTAGAACGAAAAAATAATAATGCTCACAGCAGCAGTAGAAGAATTATTAGATACAACCTCAATATCAGTAGAACTAAGCTTGCTTGTAGCTCTTGGACGTTCTTCTTTCTTTTCTTTAACCTTTTCTTTCTTCTTTGCAGCAGGAGATTTACCATTTTTAGCTAAAAAATAAAGAACAATAAAAATGAAGCAAAATGAAAAGCAAGTTAAGCAACACAAAGTTGCTACACCACAAGCGTAAGAAATTTGGCCTTTCTTAGCCTCAAAGTGGTGGTGATTATACACATACACTGCAATGAAGTAGAGCTACCTGATCCACCACTTCCTGCCTCTGATAAATAACCCTAAAAGAAAAGAAAATAATTCTTATTAAATGACTTAAGCTTGGATGACAAATGAGACTAACTGCCAAGACAAAATAAAAATATCAAGCAGAGATGCACTTATTGCAATAACAGAACAAAATACCTTGAACTCTTGAATCTCTGATTTTATAATCCCAATTTTCTCAGCATTTTCTGCAAGGCGCTGTGCAACCTGCTGTGCATCACCAAGGCTAGGATTCTGCTCATAAATAGTTTTCATTTTCTCCATGGCAGTCCTAATCAAAAGTAATATCAAGACATCACAAGACTCTATAACAATTCATTACATAATTATATACACAATATAGTAATAGTAGCAGTAGATATGAAAAGAGCGGCACTACTACTTGACAGACAGGAGTGTGAGTGTCAAAGGTAGGAGGATTGTGTGGGATACGAGGGGGAGATAGATTATACATTATAAGACACTACTCATAAATACTAACATGTCAGACGTAGTCTTTTCCATTGCTGCTTCCAATTCACCTATTTTCTTTATCAGCCTCTTCTTCCTCTGCTCAGGAGGCAAATGACTGAAGTCTCTGGCTTCAAGCTACATGCAGATACATGTACATAAACAAACATTATAGTGATTACACTGTAAACACACCATACATGTACATTAGAAATACATTGGAAACTCTCCAGGATAAATAAGACTAATTAAAGTACATGCATAATTGCGTACAGGAATTAAATTGAGCTTTTCCAGAAACAATCTTAAATGCACAACAGTAGGAATTAAGTTGCTGGCAATATACAGTTAGTTAACTTGACAAACTTTTTTCTTGTCATCTTTTTTGTCCTTTTCCTTCTTCTTTATCTTGCCTTGATATTCTTCAAAGTCAACATTACCTGGAACAGGATAGCCAGTCTTCCGTTCTTCGATAAACTGCCGGTTGTCCTACAAAAAAAAGAGGAAAAATGCCAAAAATTGAAATATTATAAAAGTACAAAGAAAGAAAAGAAAAAAGTCTAGAAATGTACATGTGTACATGCACATGCAACTGACTTTGTCAGGATCAATTGCATCAGAACCAGCAGTGATGTTATCAAGGCAAGTATTAATAACAGGGTTGACTCTTCTGTGACTTTCAGCATATGCATTAATGAGAGCTTTATATGTGTTGATATGATCAGTATTCATTTGCATGAAGGTCTGTAATAAAAAAAACAATGAAAAATGTGTGAAAAATAACAGTAATATCTCACATCCATATGCTGAGGCATAAGCTGGGTGTAATGTTGACGGCGATATTGATTAGTAGCCTCTAATTGCAAGATATAATTATTTCGAGATTCTTCTCCAGCTTGATCTTTGCCACGAGAGATTTGTGTAAGCTACAAAAATAAAATTATTAATCATGTGTGTTCTTCCGGCAACAGATGTCAAAGACGTAAATTACATTAACAGTTCATTAATCATGGACTCCATATAAGTAACACGCATTAATGAGACGAAGCAATGCATGATCATTTCATTAATCACAAAACAACACGACAACAAATTACAGACCATAAATACAGCAATATTAGCGTGCTAAATTTTATGCATACCTACAAATTATAATTACTAGACAATAAACAATCATGTGCGGCAATCAAACTATTAGTATATTGAAGTGTTTATGTATTAAGGCATTTACATTTCCAAAAATGAAGTCATGGAACATTTTAAGTTGTAAGGTACAACCACATGTACTAGTACATGTGAATGTACATGTAGATTGAAATGTAGATGAACATGTACATGTACATAGTTTATCATACAATGTACAACAACACAGAAACATATACATGTACAAAACAGATTAGGCTTACAAGACATACAATGTACCTTATCAATTTTGGCTTTGGTAGATTGAGGATCATTATCAGCCCTATCAAGTGCATGTGCAGCAACTTCCTTTTCCTCACTGGCTTTCCTATATATCCGCTTTGCCTACATGTACATATAAAAAATTAAAAAAAATATTAGGACAACAAAAAGCAATACTGGCAAAGCTGGTTCAAGTTTTGGAATTCAAAAGTAACGTGTCATATACTGAGCCATACTAAAATCAGTTGCAAAAACCAATTAATTATTCCATCATCACTGTTATTTGAATAATGACAAAGTACAATCAAAACTGAAACAGCTGCTTTGTAATTGTACATTAAAAGACTGCAACAACTAATTCATTTAATCAATAAATTGAATCCTGCTTGGCCATTGGCTATCTGATTAATTTTTCTGGACAGATAATGATGACAATAATTATTTATTTTCATAACTATAATAACATCAATTTAAAAACCTACATGTATATTACTAATATGATGCCATTGTTATGCACATGTAGATGGCAGAGCAAAGGAGCAAGGCTTGTTCTCACTCTGGCTCCCCTCCAGTCACAATGCAAATACAACATACATGTAAGAAACAAGGAAACTGGTGTTTGCTTCAGCAAAATATCCCAAAACAAAAGTGCATGTACATGAACATACATTTATTTTGAAGCATACCCAAACAAGAACATACATATAGTAAGCAGAGATCAAGGAAAGAAGAGTAATGGATGAGTATACAGATACATTTACTTGTAGAGTCTTGATGTTGACTTAATTGTAAATACAACACAAGATATAGAACAATCAAAATACAGCAAGAGTTATTGAATAGTCATGTACATGTATATAAGATTAATGATACATCATACAAGTAAACACATACATGTACATGTAGCCTGATTTTATCTAATTGTGGCTGCTGGACTGTGATATTACAAGCATTGCAGGATAGACTCTGGTTCTATTACCACAATTAATTTTACGGCTGTTATATGGCTATAAAACAAGGCTTCTATATCAGTATTCAGTAAAGATTTCAAAATTTCAGAACATATCATGTACATGTAGCTAAATGCTGAATTTACATTCGGCCACTAGTCAATAAAATCTTTTCAAACAAAACCATTGCTTCGACACTGGATAAATAAATTGTCCGAGTACAACTACATGCATAACAAATTGAATTAAGATTACTCACATTCTCTAACTGATCCATCGACTCTTTTAATTTCTTGTGCAGCTCTTGACCTTCTAACATCATCTTTCTCCTAACAGCAGTTGTGTTCTTGGCTAGTTCATTCAAGGGCTTGAAGACTTCATTTTGCAAGTATTCAGCTATAAGTTCTCTCTGTCCAGCCAAGTCATTGGTCTCCACTACTAGTTTACCAAATGCCTGAATATTTGTGTACCTAATAAAATTAAAAAATTATTAAATTAACATGAACAGTAAATTTCAATGCACACATGTGATGTAAGATAATTCATATAATGCATAATGCATAACAAAAAAGAAAATAAGATCAATAGTTAAATTGAAAGTGTGTTTCAATGAGAGAACTATACAGTATACATGCACATGTACATGCACATGTAGCAAGAAAAACTGGAATAGTAAAATTTCGGTAAATTTAGCAAATTTATGTCCATTTGCCAAAACTTTAGTCATTAACTTTAGCATGCATATGGTTAGAATTTGACCAAAATTTTAACCTCCAAACCTCTTTTAGTCAACTTGCTACAACTTTAACACCAAATTTTCTAGCTACATGTATAACTATGTGTATAGTACCAGCAAAACATCTTAATGAACATTATCAAGACAGCTGCACATCTCATTAGCTATGCATATCATTAACATATATAAATCATGTACCACTACAAGTTGTGATTGTGTTCCAAAATGGTTATGTGACCATTGCAATTATTATTCAAAATACATGTACCACTTAATACTTTTAAAAATGTACATGTAGTTAACAGACAGTTACATGTATGCCAAACATTAAAACTTCCTTTACCTTAAAAAATAACAGGCAAAGGTTAGGAACAAATGCAGGCACAAGAGGCATACAGAATGAATTGTAAAAAAAATAGCTGTCATAATATCGATCTGCTTCAAACAGTAAATAATAATTTACCCGGTCAGCTCAATTATGTTGCTGAGCATTACCAAAAACAAGGATACAATTATGTTCTAAGGTTGTTTTCACTACAATGCATGCTTATTAATCATAATGCATGCCAAACCATATCTTCCAACAATATGCAAAACTAAGTGCTAACATATAAAGATATTGACAGTAAATGGGTAAAAACACTATTGAGCAACCCTGTTAAGTGACAGACAAGGTCCTAGGGTTAGCAAAAAAAATCAGAGTATACTTATATAGTATTATTAGTAAATATGTAAGGTTTGAGTATCGTCATAGTTATAGTGCATACAAGACAAAATTACATTACAGTCGGTAGTACATGTAAGTGCATCAAATAAAGTGTTAGTGATATGATTATACCACCTTGTCACTACTATTATGATTAATTGACTAGAAAGGAAAAATTCCATTCTCACATTAGTGCTACTATCGTTACATTCTGTTGCTATTACCTCATTTCAGACAAAATTATTCTATGTTTAAATCTACAAGCACTAAGCAATTGATATCATAAATCTTTTTACAGCTTCAGCCATAACAAATGAACAGCAAACTACATGTACTGTACATGCAAAATGTAAATTAACATGTATTTTGAAATTTCTGATAAAAATAGTCATCATCATGATAATATTAATTTATAGCTAGAAGAAGAATGGAAAATAAACAGTTACACCATTTTATCATTTTTTATGAATGTGCCACGTCATGCTTGCTTGATTAAATGCCTGGGAATTTATTTCTGAACAAGTGAAAATAAAGAAGCCTAAAGGTGTATTGAAACATGAACTTCGCGCTTATAACACTGTACATAAGTTACACTATTTGCAACTATCTAAATGATATGGCATCTATACTTCACAAAACAATTACATGCATGTGTATCTACCTATAACAGGAAAATATCCAAGTAATGTGTGTCTATTAGAGTCACAAAAATTTACATGTACTGTATGTGTATCTACCTAGAATAGGAAAATATCCCAGTAATGTATGTCTATTAGAGAATGGTGTTTATTCAAGCTAATAGCTCATTTTAGAACATTTTAATGCCAACAAACATGACTGAGTCACTAATGTAATTCATCAGCAGTTTCAGTAACATGTCAACGTAAAATGAGTAATATCATACAGCTATAGTTCTTTCTTGCCTAACTGCCCAGAAGGAAAAGAAACACCATCTAAAATAAGGCATAGGATTTCCTGCAGCGTAAGGCACAAAACAACATACGTTTATAACATTGACACACATTGATAAAGCCAGGGATGCCATGTACTGGTGTAGTCACAGATCAAGATGGCAACTATACCTAGGGCCTTGTGGTCAGTGTGATCCAACCAGCAAAGCCAAGGTGCCAGTCCAATCAACAGGGATTGATTTTGTTCAGGGTGAGTCCATAATTAATGTGGAAACTGAGAGGATTAAGGTAAAATGAGCCTGACTCAGGCAGAAGATTTTGTCGTTTTTGTAAACCAAAAGCTGCCACTTCAGTTAAGACAAGACCTCCAGGCCTACCGGCAAGGTTTCATGCCACTACACGTAACACAAAATCATGGACAAGCTCCTATATTTGCTAGAACCCATACTAAATTACAAGTAACTCAGAACTATCCAAATAAAGTTTCATAGGGTGAGAGGACAAATGCCTAGCATGTCTTTTGGGCTTTCATGTTTAAATTGCTTTACACTCTCCACAAAAATCAATTTGGCTAATTCTGTGCCAACTTTAAGAGATATTTGCATCAAAGGTCAGACAGCCTACACAATTCTGATTGCTATGTCTATCGACCGTAAACCTAATAATAATAATAATAAGTTGGCTGTTGTAGGTAGACTGCTTGTTTAATGCGGCTACACAATACAAAAACACAGTCAACACACCTTAAGTTAGACAGTCCCCATTGTAATGTAGTTCATAGATTGCATGGTTGGTGAACTGGTTTGCAAGGTGCATTCAATTTGCTGTACATGTCACATACATGTACCGTAATTCTTCTAAAATTTCGCACCTCTAATTTCAAAAATAAATAATTTTTAAGTACTTTTATTTTCAAATTAATTCTAATTATTCGTTTTGTAAGTAATGATGAAAGTTCTTCTAATTTTGCCATTTCCCTCCAATTTCGACAGTCGACAGCATTATAACACATGGACCTGTGCTGGAAGAGGCCGAAAATCATGTCTAACTCACAGCATAGACTCGAGCAGCACTCCGCTGGACAGATGACTGCCATTAGTAGGCCTAAGTTCAAGATTCAGATTGTATTAGTCAACAAAGAAGCATCGACAGACTTATATCTTGTCCAAACATGCATCTTAGTGCCTCCTATTTCGTCATAATTAATTGCTAGTTGGCCATAAAGGCTTAGTTGACTCTAATTATTCGTTTTCAAAATTTATTTATCAAAAGTGACTGTGGCGAATTTTTAGAAGAATTACGGTAGTTATAGGCAGCTATCTGCAATACCACAGGTGGGCATATTTCACATTGCTACAACTACTACAGCTACTACTACAAAAGTACAGTATAGTGCAAGATTATAGAGAACTGTAAATTTTTGCAAATTTATGCCATCTGCCGTCTTGTACAGCAATGATTTGATTTTCGCCAATCTTCAAAGAATCGCAAAATCCGCAAAATTTAAAGCCTTTGAAAATTTCACACTATACAGTATACATGTATGTACTAGATTTCTGTCAATTAACTTTATGCAGTTCTCCAGAGCATTATTTCAAACAATACAAGACTTTGACGCTGCAATTAATTTTTTTGAAGACATTCAGTGATCAAAGCAGGGAAAATATCATGAGTAAATTAATGACTTCAACCAAAACCACAGCATGATAATAAGAGATGATAATACTTTACAGACTACATGCATTTGTAGGGCCATGCACATTATGGCTTAATACATGAAGTACATCAGCATCTGCACATGCAGTCGATGGACATGATTGTACTACTCTATAACAGCTCAGAACCTACATATTATTTTTATTTGATAAAGTGACTGGATTTTTAATTTTTTTATTGTGAATTGCAAATTTGTATTTAAAGAGGTATTATAATTACAACAATTTACAAGAGTACATAGCAATTAAACAGCATCAATATGGCATGACATGCACATGGAAAATGCAATCACTTAAAGAATTATGTCATACACACATGCATTTTACTATGTACATGTGCATAATTCTATTGTGCCAGAAAGATCGTTTAGATGTTAGAGGAGACACAATCCGCATGGTTCTAAAAAAGGCTGTATAACATATGATACAGCTGATTTTAAATGTTTAAAAAAGGTCACTACAGGTCTTTAAAGATCAAACTCTATTTTAGTAAGCTATCAAAAGATGGCATGCTTAATCATAAAAGATACACATACATATACATTGTACATGTAGATCTCGATGTACATGTACATAGTACATGTAGTTCAATATGTTAAAGGTTTTAGTAAATTCATGCCAAATGAAAAGCATTAACCTAATAAAAATAGCATAATATCTACATTCATCACAGATGGAGAGGGCCAATATTTATTGCCTTGAAACTTTGTAGCTATACAGTAGTAGCCACGTACAGTTTATGATGCAACCAAAATTTTCATGCCAAAAAATTTTTGTGGATAGGTCAACTCGTGGAAATAAAAAATTGTGAAAAAACTTCCCACCAATTATTTTTAGCATGAAATTTCCCGATCCACGGTATGACACTAGTAATGATTGATGTATGGACTAGAAACAAATTGTGGGACCATAACCAAACTAAAATGTGACACTTCAGGTGATGTACATGTAGACGACTACATGTACATCACCAAGAGGTAAAAATGGAAGATTTCAAAAGACATACATGTAGACAAAAGGTATTCTAAAGATTCTCTAGAAAATTTCTCCTTGTGGCCATTTTTGGTCAAATTTTGAATCCTGATAATCAAATCTGGTCTACTATACATGTACAGTGTATGTAATTTTCATGAGTGAGTAAAAACGATAAAATTGGCTCAGTGCCCACTAGTACTTGTAATGTTATAATAAATGAACTGATAACTAATAACTTGGGCCAAGCATTAGTTGTAAGTTGTGTATCATCACAAATAGAGGTAAATGAACTCAGCATCAACATGCATTTATAGTATTTCAGGGGCCAATAATTTGAGGATATGAGTATACAAAATGTACATGTACATGGTAGGAGTGAGATATGCCTAAGCTTTAACTGGTGAAAAGATTTTCCACAGATCAGCTGCAATGATAGAGAGCCTGGCAGTGCATAACATAATGGCAGTCCTATATGCTTCAAGTGCTAATATACATGTCACTACCATGGCTGAGGTGACTACCAAACTTTAAACAAAAAATCTGCCACAAATACATGTAACTGGATTACCAAAACTATTCTAACATGCATGTGCATGTAGTAAAAAAGGCCATTCTAAAACCCAACAATTACTATGCAGACGCTATCGCCCAAGAGGCTCCTGTCATGCAGTTTCAGTGCTCTTGTACATGTACGTGTACATCAAATACCTGTCCATTATTAAGTAGTCACATGTTTAAAGAGTAACACATCCAAAAATTTTTGATAAAGTGTTTTAATGCATGCATTAACAAACAAAAATATCCTTGACCCACGCAGCCTTTTTCACTGAGGAGGTTATTCAATTAAGTATCTTTCAAAAAGTAAATACAATGTATCTTGTAAATGAACTTTGATTTCTCATATAAAAGTTCTTTAAAAGATTTGGGGTCATTAGTATCACAATCAATATAATGTCAGTGCCATAATTATGAAAAAACTTCTAAAACATTGCTCAGAAAAGCTTAAATTCTGATCATTAAATCCACTTAGGAGACCTTTTTGGGTAAGACAAAAGAGGCACAGAGGAAGTTGCCTTTTGTATTCTAAAAATAGTAATGCCACTAGCTCTGCTAAAAGTTTCCCACCTACATTCCCAGTCTCCCAAGTACTGCATATGAGGTCAGTCAGATTGCAAAAAGAAGTACAGAGGTACAATAAAGAATTTGCATGCACGCATAATAACTTCACTAAATATTCTGCTCATAAGTACTGAGAACTCCAAAAAGACACATACATGTACATGTACAGTTTATACTGTACTGTAATGAATATGCATTGTATATGCATACATGTACATGTACATGTACTTACTTTGAATCTTCTTCTTCTCTTTTTCTGTAGCTTTTAACTAATTTTCTATAAAAAAAGTTATGAAGCATTAGCATTAGTACATTGTATATGTAAGAATGATCAGCAGGTAATATTAGTATGCTAAACAGCGAATTCTCATACATGCTCAAATCAATTAAAATTAATTCTGCTAAATTATATTAATTTAACAAAATTTTTGTTTTAATAGTTGATACATGTAGCAATTTGGCAAATTAAAACCTGCAATTTTAAATTACTATGCATATGACCACAAATTTGCTAAATTAAAATCCACCAACCACCAAAAACTTAGCAATTTACAAAAATTTTCCCTCCAAAATCACCTGCTATGCGGTAATTATCATATTTCCTCAAATAAAAGCCCCAGCATCTAAGCAGAAAAAATTTTTTGGCCCATTAATGTCACAGATATGTGTAGACCCAAAAATCAATTTGGCGACTTTAATTCTTGTGATTTTACAGTTTTTGGGCTTTTTGAAAAACATTAATCATACAATGTAGATACAAATATTCACAAAATTTTTAAACTGTGAAATTAAATCCCGTGAAATATATACCACCTATATGGTCATTCTTATATTGAAATTTGAATCTCAAAAAATAAAATAAAATTTATGTGGAATCTGAATTGTGACTCAATACAAAGGAGATTTCAAACGCCATAAAGGTATCTGGAAGGCACAAATAGCATTGTAAGTCTAGATTTGTGCCTTTATACTTAAATTTTATAGTGACCCCTGCATTTATTTGTACCCATGCAGCTTCTATTTGAGTCTTTAGATATGGGATAATAGCAAAGGGCATTCATTTAAGTAATGACAGTAAAATCCATCGAACACACAGAGTTATCAAGTATACATTTACATGTAAATAGAAAATTGCCAGTTTGCAGTTCACGAAAAGGTTATGGTAATTAAGAAATTGTGACGTACATGTACAGTATAGTGCCTTTAAAAAAGCTACATTGTAAGTAGTCCACAGAAGCCCACAGGCCCATACTAGCTGCTTTACTTTGCTACTCTTTCTTGCTTCATGCCCAGAAAGTACTGCAGTTCCGCCTAGTCATATGGCTGTAGTAGCGAGCACTCATACATGTACATGTACATGTGTATATGCTAAAAAACCGTCAAAGGACTCGAGGAAGCTCCTCTGGGATGTCTGAGCTCTCTTTGTCAAACCATTGTACTCAGAAGTCTAATTTGGATATTCTTTTCTCCATTCTACCGTCAAACTACTGTGCATGTATTGTCTGCTGGAGACCATGTGTGCTACTACTAATTACGCATTGCATTACGTAATTGAATTACGCATATGCAACAAACTACATATATATGTACCTATGCAAAAGTGAATAACCACACGCACATGTATTTGCTTCCTGTACTATACACATGCAAGTACAGCATAAATTTCTAAATACCAACTTTAAGAACTCTTTAACCCTTAAAAGCCTTCTAGCCCAGCAAAAATCACAAGAAGTTGTATAGACAGTTAGACACACAATATGCACATGGTATGTGGTTACAGTGCATGTGAACTAATTTCTTTTTCGACAAGAAAACATGGCACAGAGTACCGTACATGATGAATGTATAACTACACAGTACATGTACTGTATTGCATATCTCAGACACTGCGACTGACCTTAGTTCCTTAGCGTAAACAGTCTCAGCATGAATACGGTCCTTGACAAAGCTACTAACTCTTCTAATGAATTCAATCTCATGATCTGTATGAGTACATATAGCCTCGTACTGATCCTAAAAGGGAGACATGCCGTAAATAGCTAAAAACACACATGTAGCTGTCAATGGCAGAAATCCATTGCAAGAAATAAAATACATGTACAATACAAGAATTAAAATTGTATAATTTACTTGCACTGTGAAACTAATACATGTCATTTGGGCTTTCAAACATGTAACAATTAATAAACTGTAACAAAAGAACAATGAAACAACTAAAATGTTTTCAAACATCAAATATACATGCAAATGTAAACCACGAGCAAATTAGTAATTTCTGTGCATTACACAAGATAATGTAACAACCAATCGTGTAATAAATGATTGAATATAATGAAGTGAAATGAAGAAGTGTAAATAAAGATCTATAATGAATGCTTTAAGAGAATGTAGACATCATACTAAAAGTTTGTTTGGCAACACAGCCACTTTAGAAAGACAAAGAAATTACACTAAGCACACAAAGCAATGAAAGCATAGTCATTATCTATTTACCATCCACATTCAATATATACATGTACATGTACAAGAAATGAGTGCATGAAATTTTGGTGACTTCAGCTTATGTTAGACATTTCCTATTATATATAGTTACATGTATTTACTCTTGTTACAACTAATGAATCAAAGTCAGAAACTGAGAATAACAATTACATAGGCCTTTTGATTTAAGCTAACATTTCCAATAGGCATATTAATCATATTGCAGCCAACAGCAATAGACAAACCCACAATCCTTATACTTTCAAACATGCATCACATGAAGAACACCAAGTGCTTCCAAAAGAACAATGTAATGTACATAACTTACAATACCATGGGCCCCTGAAATATTCATTGGCTTCAAAATCTAAAAGAAAAGTCACTTTGTCCCTAATTCATTAGTGTGTATAGGTGCATACACATTAGTTATAAAGGTTACTATAAACTTATTATCACATGCATCAAGGGGTTGCTTGTTCCTCCACAACTAGCATGTACACAAAAATTAATTCAGATTTAGAAGAACAGGTAGAAACTAACGAATCTATCTACTTAATGCATACATTGTAAGTCAGCCAATGGAGAGAAGTACTGTTACAAGGTAACTAGGAAAACAGACTGAGCGTGGTTATTCAATCATGCCAATTCTTGTGTAAATGAATACATGTACGCATGTGATGAATTTTTTGTCCTCAAAGTAAAAAAACCTTGTCAAATGGCATTTTTGGCACTCAGTGATGAACAACAGGCTCTCATATTTGATACCATGATTCAAAGTACACCAAATGTACATGAACATATCAAAAAAGTAAAGCTACATGTACAATTGCATTTAATTAAATTTTAAATTCTGATAGCAAGTCAGTGCATGTGTGCAAAACCAATTAAATGTACTTAATCTTGTAAAGTAATAAAGTTGCATAATTTGCAATCCTGTATCATTCCTAAAAAGAGAACTCAACTCTCTTTGCTTTGCAACTAAACGCAATTTGAAGTTTTTCTGCCCTCACAATTTCGTTCTCAATGAATCTAGTGCCTTCAGCAGGCTATCACAGTCTGATTAGAGTTTATTATTTCACTTTCATTTGCATGTACATGTAGAAGAAGAATGTTCATGTGGTAGTTTTATTACTAGGAATGGTGAGCTAGAACTGAACCCAAATAACAGAGTAAACTATCAATGTAAGATCCAGTACATGCATGCATATTATTACCAGATCATTTTAACAAATGTGAAAGAAATTACATGTATATGCATTTCTTGTGTTTTCGTTCCAATTTTAAAAGACAGGAAACAATTAAGGTCTACATTTATACACGTGTAGTCTCTAAAGAGTTTAAAAATAACCCAAGGACTAAAGGGCCAAAAGGTAATTAAAATATTGAAGTTTAATACACTGTAAGCTAGTTCTGTACAGTGCACATGTATAATGACATGAACTGTGGTCATCATGTTTGTTTACATAAACTGCATAAGCTTGAGATAGCAATGCTTCAATATTGAAAATAGAATATCACAATTAATAATTTGCAACCCACTCATGCAAATAAAAACAAAAAATATATTGATACAAATTTACATGTACATTTACAATGTACATGCATGCATATCTACATGTACAAATACATATACATGTACATGTATTATGCCAATATCTAATGACAAAACCTTAACTTCAAAACATACAGCATAAGCACATGCAAGTACAATACAATGTACTAGTAAATTATAAGTGACTAGATGCATGCATGTGCATAATAAAAAATAAACAGAGAGTAAATGTAGTTCCGATACACATTTATATACATGTACTGTAGGTATAACAATAATACATGTAATAATGAAACGCCTTTAAAATATCCAGACCTATAGTAAGAACACAACACTGTAATGTACAGTACATGCAGCGAATAAAAATAACACAATAGATGAATTTGCCAAATGTATAATAAACACTTACAGTACATGAACACATGTTACTCACTACATGAAAGAATCATGAAGGAGGTAAAGCAAACAGCAGTCTATTATTACAAGCAATAAAATGATTAGCTAGCTATAGTTTATGTTTCTATAACACATGCACAACCTTTAGTATCATTCCACAGTTTAGGCTCTAGCTTATAATAGCTGCATTGGCCACAACTCTACTTTCACACTGTTCATACACACCAATAATATAAAGAACGAAGTGATAATCAACCACAAACTCTTTGACATGGCTAACTTATGTATACTGACTTCCCTTTTGTCAATAATGAAAGCAATACTTCAAATAACAATCAATGTACAAAATATAAATCCAACAGGACATTATCTATAATACAAAGATTATACATGATCTAAATGTATAATACAGTTAACATCAAGACATAGCACTATTACAGTTACATTTAATTTCAATGCACAGTGGAATAATCCACAAAGAGGAACAAATGTCATAATTACTAATATCATGGGAATACAATAAACCACACCACAAACACACAGCATTCTTACTATAATACAGTATATTTAAGTGTCAAATTAGAAGTAACTTATAAGCCTTCAATCTGATATCACCAGTAAAAGGAAGGAAAACAAACTTGATTGATTTCACGTATGTCACTCTTGCCAAGACATCAAGAATACGTGTATACCATAATTGTACATAGCTATAATTTTAACTCTTAATGGCATCCTACTTTTCAAAGCTGTTAAAACAAACTAAACCTAGACTAACAATTACGGTCATTATTACACGTACATTAACCTTTTAACAAATTGAAAAAATCATAGAAACCTAACTATATCAATACTCACCCAAAGTTCACTGCCCCAGCTCATTCTTCACCTCAGTATAAGGCAACTGTAATTAAATTTCAGTGTAAGATGACACGACTGAGAAGTAAGATACCAGATGAAAAACTCTGATTGGTTTAGGGTTTGTTAAGTAGCAAATCCTTTCAGATAATAACAATAGAAGGACAGACAATGAATCAACTTCAACGCATGGGATCTCCAATAGCAGAACCACCGACAGTCTAGCCCCGTAGTCCGACAAAAATGTTCCTCGGTAGAATCTCACGTGACGAAAGGGCACACACATACACGTGTAAATGACCATTGATGACTCATGACTTAATGTCATGTGATAATCATGTGCATGCCATTACTTAACTTGGAGCCACCCCCCACCCCCTCTTTAAAATTAAATTAATTTGAAACTGGTCTGTGATGAACTTCCAACTTCACTGTTCACTTTATAAGGAGGGATGGTTTTGAAGTTAAGCTAACTCATATGTAACAGACTGTTCTTCTCAGGTAGTTTTGTAGCTGGTTTATTACTAATTTCATATTGTTGTTTATATAGGGTATGAGTGAGGCAGAGAGTGGTTTTGGTGAGTCAGCCTCCCAGTTCAAATCAACTAGGGATTTCCCATCTTGTTCAACATATTCGACTTTTCCTCAAATGCTAGATGACACTAAAGGATCAACAATCGGACCCTCATTAGCACCTCTTTCTTTCACTTCTAGATGTATTAAACGAAGCTATAATGATAGTGGCACTGTTGTCTGTGCTCACCAGAAAGGTACTTGTATGTTACTGTGCAGGTTGTATTTCGTAGCATTGATGACTTGGCACATATTTTATAGTATTGATGACATGGTATATAATTTTACTGCAACCTGCATGTGCACTTACAATCTCAATTTAATCAATTAATTTTAATTTAATTTTAAGTTAATTCTGAGCAATTTAATGTACATGTAGGTCTTCCATATACCATGGTTGTACCTTCAGTTGTACATTTTGTCTTTTTGATTGAAGATTCAACGTCTCTGTTGTAAAGTTACTTCAAATAATAACAAATGATAATAATAATAAACATGTACAATGACAGTATTTCCTAGTATTCATGACCTTGAAGTACTACACATGAGTTTGTAACACATTTACATGTAATCCCATTTATGCTATACTTTAAAGAGACTGCCTGGTCCAAGTGATGTATAGTTCACTATGGCTTTCATGCCTTGAAACACTGGTCTGTGACACTACACATGCATGTACATCTGCATGTTTTCTGTTCCGGTATGTTTTTATAATGTTTAACCATTTTGGCTCTTTGTTCTGCATGCAAGTAGATAACTTTTATTTGGATGTTTGTGATTGTTATACTACTTTATTTATTCTGTTTTGTCTCTAGCTTTAAATGATACTGATCACTTAACCTTACAAGTACCTCAGATTGAAGATCATTTTAATGTTCTATCAAAACTTGGAGAAGGTTTGTGAGTTGTATATCTGTCTGCTTTAGTTTTTTTGCAGGAACATTTAGTTCTGTGTATTTGGCTTCCGTTAAAACTGATTCTTCTGTAATGGTAGCTTTGAAGCACATTATACCTACCTCATCAACTACAAGAATTGAAAATGAAATTCGCTGTCTCAAAATTATGGGGTATGTATTCTAGTAATTTTAATTCACTGTATTAAATCACTTGATTACAAAGTTTTTTACACAATACCTGAATTTAACTGCACTTGTAACTTTCTGTCTAATGCAAGTATATGTATCAAAATAATGTTTAATGTACAGTAGAGCACCATTTATGTATAATATTTTTAACTTTGTAGAGGTAAAGATAATGTGATACCAATTCATGCATCTTTGAGGTTTCAAGATCATACTGTATTAATATTACCATACTTTTCACATGACAGATTTATTGTTAGTTGCATCCAAGTTTGTGCTCATGCATATACTGTAATGCCATAGGATTACTTACCTACACTGACTGCTGAAGAGACAAGGCAATACATGCATGCTTTGTTTTTAGCTCTCAGAAATGTTCACATGCACCATATCATTCACAGAGATATAAAACCAAGTAATTTTTTGTACCACAGAGCATCGAAAAGGTATGGCACAAGTAATTTTTTTGTCTGTAAAATTATGAACACTTGTGTAGATTTCAGTTAATTGACTTTGGACTAGCTCACCATGAATCAAGTAGTGGCAATAAGTCTGAGACAAGTTAGTGCTAGTGAGCATGCAGTAAAAATTGTAATGGATTTTTTGTTGTAAAGGATCTAAAGGAGACTCCAAGTTGAATAATATTCATGTAGCTGCTGAACCTCTTCGAAAGAGAAAATTATCCAGCAAAAGGAGCAGTCGTTCAACTGATGAACGTGCTGTATCTAATAGTGGTTTACTCTGCCCTACTAGGCATTCGATGTCTGAAGTTTGTGGTTTCTGTCTGGGAAGGTGCCTAAATATAATTGTTAATTAGTAAAGTATTGCAATCTTATACATTTAGAAATGGCCAAGTTGCTGCTCGAGCTGGTACACCAGGCTTTAGGGCACCTGAAGTTTTACTAAAGTGTAGTCACCAAACAACAGGTTTAAATTATCTATTTGTTGTATAATTGTATTAAAGAATAATAGCTGTAGACATTTGGTCTGCTGGTGTGATTCTTCTGTGCATCTTAAGCCAACGTTATCCTTTTTTTCGAGCACAAGATGATCAGTCTGCTTTGGCCCAAATAATATCATTGATGGGATCAAAGGAATGTACAAAAGCTGCTATTGCATGTGGTGAGATATTGCACTTTTATCACTATAATTTACAGATTGCTGTTTATGCTTGTCATAATCGGTTTAAATAGTACATGTACATGTAATAGCAAAATACCATATAGCAGGAAATTTTTGTCAGGTGCTAATTTTCATTTGTTTTGTTGGCCAAAATTTGAAAAAATTTTTAGACAATTGAAATTTAATCTAACTAAAACTTTTGACCCACGACAGATCCTCTTTTCACTACTGCTACAGCATAGAGATCTGTGGCATTATCAAGCTAGACACAAAAAGGCAATTCTTCTCCAACTGATGGGCAGCAAATGTGTTTATAATGTGGCAACCAGGAACCATATACATTCTTACATTTAAACCATACACGTGACACTAATTAAGTGGGCATGGCAGTGAAAATTTATTTTAGGCAAAACGAAAATAAATGGTAACGCCTGCTTGGAAAGACAGCGAAAGTTTCTGGCAATGAAAATTTCCTGCTATAAGGACTTTTAACAGATGAAACTTGTGCTTTTTATAGCAATTAGCATTGTCTGAGAACAAAAATATCCTTCAAACATTGTTAAAGGACAAAATTAAAACTAATCTGTCAATAGTAATGCGTTAGTCTCTACTTATTTAATGAATGATAACACTAACTGATTTCTACAAACTGTCCTGTACAAACATGACATGCTACCTACATGTACATGTGTATATGCAACTTCAAAATGAAGCCTAAGGAAGATTTGACTGTTATTCATTTTTTATAAAAGAAATAGTGAGAGGTGTCGCCAAAAAATAACACCTCATGTACATTTTTACATGAGTAATTTAAATTGTAATACATTATAGGTAAGGAGATGGTATGTTGTCCAGATGTTCCTGCAGCTGATTTGAAATGTCTTTGTCACGCTCTTAGAAAATCTAATCAACAAACTACCTCAAGACCAACTAAGAAAAAAAGGCCATCAAGTCCAGACCCAGAAGTAGATCCAGACTCTTTCCCTAGTAGTGCATTTGACTTACTATACAAATGTCTTGATGTCAATCCAAAAACAAGACTGACAGCTACTTTAGCTTTAAAGCATCCATTTTTTGAAGGAGTGAGATGATAGCATGTCAATCAGCATCACAAGTACCACCTTGCAAAATTTAATATTAAATGTGAAATGTACATGTATTCTGTATTATTGCTAAAATGATCATTTTATTGTCTGATTATAATTTAAACACATTCTATTACTCTGAAGGCTGCTCAATGATATCGGTACTGAAAGCAAACAACTATTAGCTGTCATGTTTCATGAAATTACAGATGCAATTATACATGCATGTATGGCATGAAAAATTGTCATGAGCTGCATTTGTAATACACATATCTTTATTATAAATTTCAAGTACATGTAAATTGTCAGTATGAATAAAAATTTATGTATTCAGATAATTAATTTTTATAATTTTGTTTGTATAATCTGCTTTGTAGCAATATCGCATACATGATAAAAATCACAATCCAAATGTTTTCTCCAGAATGGGCATGATCCCCACACATCAGCTGGATAGCATGGACTTCCTATCCCATGAAAAACTCTAGCAATAGCTCTTCCAGTAAATTGATTATCTGGATACATGCCCATCAATACGTGTATATCACGTATTAAAATTTCATCTGAAGTAGTATTGAAATGCAGAGGAGCTTCTATTCCCAGAGACCGAAGATATTCAGAAGATAATCCAGCATTAAAATATACAGCAATGATATCTTTGAAAAATACTTTGGAGGTACAATCTTGTGACATGAGCATCAGGACTGAAGAAAATTGTTGGAGTCTATGTAAATCCTTTCTTTCCTTCTTTTGAATTTTAGATAACATATCTTGGCATATGCAATCTTTGTCTTCATTGCTAGTTGCTTTTAAAACTCTCGCATAAAAAGATAAATTACTTGACTCTACAATAACATTGTTTCCCATACTTTGCAGCCCTTGAAGAAGCTCCATAGAATTAGACTTCATATCATTAGCAACTTCAGTCAAGGAAAATGACAACTGATTTGTTGTACAACCTGAATTAGAAATAACAGTGTGAATAATAATGCAATAAATACATTGAAAGTGCTAACGTGATATATTAACACATAATTATTCATTGTGTGGCTATTTTAAAGTTATTATAATACAAGAAAACATGTATGCATCCATACTAATATCTAATATTAATATTATTTACTCTTGCTAATATTATGCTTCACAGCAGATTCAATAACTTGAAATTTGTCAGCCAAAACTGCTATGTTAAGTTGTGGACCATAGCATTTTATAGTAACAGTATCATAGAGTGGACTGTAGACTTCAATCCAGTTATCATTCTCCAAGTAACAAAGGAGAGTTGATATGGTTTCTTCATTGGCATCCAAAGTTTTTGTTAGTTCGTCAATAGAGAGAGCCACTTCATACTCATCTAAAATAGACCTTGTATATGAGCTATGTGTACATGTACATGTGTGGCTAGCTCATTCATAGAACATGTAAACATGTATTATGCTTCACAGGGAAAATGCATATGAAGTGGTATTACTGGTATATAATGCTCACTTTTAACACAAAATAATTGTGTACTTTGTTATGAAGAATGTACAATAATTATTTGCCTGTCAAAATAATTATCCATTTCTAATGTCTTCCAAATATAAATATCCATGAGTTTTGCCAAGACACATGCCCTTACAATCCCCTAGCTGATCCCAAGCTGAATGTTTGATTCCCATTTTTGGCATTTTAATTTTATTACATGTATATGCAATTTTTTATATTTAGAAAAGAAAAGCCTAGGTGTATTATCAAGCAAATGGTATAAAACATTACTATAAAGACTTTCCTAGTGTTTGAGCTGAAAAAAGGTGTTCAAATGTACAGGTACATTAAATGTACATGTATGTGAATGATAAACTACATGTATATAATGTAAACACATACATTAACAACATGTAAAATATGCACCTTTTTCTGAGAATGAAAAAATTTGCTGGCAAAGTTTCTTCACAGAAAAATAATCCACTCCATTTCCATGAATATGCCGTTGTAATTCCCTTAAGTCATTCCCCTATGTTAGTGAAAAAAATGTAAAGGCATAATTCATTAGAACTTCGGAACAAGCAATTTTACATTACACTCCAGAACAAAATAGTCACACACAGAAATTTATGCACAGCAAATTACAAGTAACATAATGTACTGGATGTACATACAAGACTACAAGTACATGTAGATGTAAGCAAATACTTGTTCAATACCCATAATACACAAAATGAACATGAACCTTATGAAAATGATACGATAATGCAATTGATTCTACACATCAAAAACTTAAAGATACAAGTACATATTCCTTACATTTTTTTCAATAAAGATATGACAATAAGCAGCATTTCCATCTCTACCAGCACGACCAATTTCTTGCACAAATGATTCAAAGCCTTTAGGCATATTGTAATGTATTACTGCTCTTACATCGGATTTGTTAAGACCCATCCCAAAAGCAACAGTGGCAACAACTATTCGCAATTTTCCATTCATGAAATTAGACTGAATACGTTTTCGAGCTCCCATAGAGAGTCCAGCATGATAAGCTTCAGCAATCATATTCTGCTTTATGCTACTTTTATTTTTAATGTCACTGTAATTCTGCTCCGTGGATATTCTAACAAGTTGTGCTACTTTCTCTGTTGTTTGTTGTCTTGTACAATATATAATGATTGAATTGCAATTATTGAATGGAGCTGACTGAAGTAAATCAAGAAGAGCCTACATGAATTTAATTACTGAAATAAACGAACCAAAAAAACTAAATCACATAAATGCACATTATGTACATGTATATGTAACTGTAATACACTACGTGTCAAAAATGCTGTACTATTCTACTACATGAAGTCATGGACAAACTTTATGATCTAAAAAATCTCACCTGTAATCTATCAGTCTCACATGACACAGAAATGTGAAGATTCTCAGGAATGGCAGATCCTACAATAACATGTTCTGCCTTTATTTGCAATGATTCTGTGATATGAGAGATAGTAGTCTTATTAGCAGTGGCTGTCAATCCTAGTATGCACTGAACTCCTAACTGCTTCTTTAAAATCTACATTGTATATGCACATACATGTATGTATAAACAAAGACATAATTATTAGCTGCACATGTAAGATAATGATACCTTGGGCAATCTGAGGTAAGCAGAACGAAAATTATGACCCCATTCTGATAAACAATGGACTTCATCAATGCACACAAAGGCTATTGGAGGCAACCGATTTGAATACAACAGAGTTTGAATGCTGCTGAATGATCCACTAATTAAAGCTTCTGGCGCAACAAAAAGAATGTTAATAAGCCCAGCTTCGAGATCAGCAAAAATCTGCTGTTTCTGCTCATGTGACAAAGAATTGTGAATGCAAACACCACTAAGGCCACAAGGAAGATTCTTCACCTAAAAAATAAGAGGTAGAACTTGTGATATTGCTTTAATTAATTGCTGTGTAGTGTATGTACATGTAAGAGAGAACCATGATTGGTAGATTTGCTCAAGTTAACAGGCATTTGTACATTGCCAGTTACCAATGCCTACCATCATACAGACAAAGAGAACTACTGTACATACATGTACGTTGTAAGTTGTAACTGGTAATTCTGGAGGAGTCAAATTTTGACAAATTGCTAATTTTTTGGTAATTGGATCTTTTAATTCGGCAAATCTGTGGCTATGGGCCATTTAGCATGCATATCATGATTCAAAATAATGAAATTTACATTTTGGTAAATGGTAATCAAAATTGCAGCTACAATACAGTAGTACCAATGTTATACATCACTCTAATTTTAATGATCAATATCATCAAAATCTAAATCAACTTAAAATTCAGTATGACATATTGATGTACATTTTAAGTCCTTCATATGCACATACATACATGTAGCTAATAAATTTTGTGGAGGCCAGGCCACTTTTAAAAAATAAACTCCTAAATGTCACACAACCACAAATTAAAATGAGCCTGTCATATTTATGGCTAAGGTACATGCATGTACTTACATTTATATCTACATGTAAAGACAAAACTTTTGAATAATTATATAAGCAAGTATACTTAATATAAATAGTTAGATGTACATGTACGTGTACATGCACTATTAATTGACATGCAAGCTTAATCCACAAAAGTACCTGATCATTCATGAGAGATATTAGTGGAGAAATAACAAGAACAAAACAGAGAGATTGCCGTGTATACATATAAGCTGGAAGTTGATAACAAAGTGACTTCCCTCCTCCTGTTGGAAGAACTAACAAAGTGGAGTTCCCTACATGTACACATGTTACATCAGGACTTTCAAAAAGGAATAATTTATTAACCTGACAACACATGGCGTATTGCCTCTTGCTGACCAGGCATAAAACTACCATATCCAAGCTCTCCTAGCTTCTTTATAAGCAAGTCATCTGAAAGTACTAGAAAAATATTTGCATTTGTTAATTTCAAAATAAAATAAGTGCTTACCATTTGTCTTAAAAAAAGCATCAAAAGAATTTCTATTGGAGACTAAACAAATACCTTTGGAAATCATTGATTGGGTGGGTAAATGTTGTTTATGTAAGTCTCCTTGCAACAAAACTTGCTGACAATCTTCAGTAGCTTCTTCAAAAACCCCAGTGACATCATCAGTAAATTGAACACCTTCTCCATCAAAAGTGCCTAGAATCTCAGGAGTGACTTTCATAGTACAGCTTCTAGCCCAATGTCCTAGCTTTCCACAATTGTAACAAGCATGACTCTCTCTCTGTTCTTCATTGTCTCTCAAAAGCTTCCTTTTTCTCCATTGTTGTCTCTTGTAACGTGATCCACTAAGTCTTGAAGATTTGCGAGAAAAAGTCTTTGCTTTCATGTTTAAAGTCACAAAATTGTCACTAACTGATGATCTAAATAAATATATGTACAATGTAATCAAGCAGCCATATAATAAACAAAAATTTAAGGTAGACATTTACATGTACATGTACCTTTTCTTGTATGAGAAACCCTTTGTTTCAGTAACTTCAGTCTTCTCACCTGGTACAGAAATGCTATTAGTGGTAAGACTAATATCAGCAGTTAATTGCTTTTCGTTATCAGATAATTGTACAACTGGCAAATCAAGAATTTCAGCATATTCAGCAGCTTTTGGTATGTGCACATTTACACCTTCATCACTTTCCAATGACAAGAAACAGCTATCAGCATGTGACACAATTGACTTTGCCTCAATCCTTTGCACTGATGTATCCTTGAGGGGACTCTTGTCAATAGTAATTTTAACCTTCTCAAGCCATGTTTCTGAGAGTCTGTGCCCAAATGAAAGAGTAGAATTTTCATCAACAGTGGCAGTAGTAGCAAGTTTCTCCCTAATGCACATAAATAGTTTCATTATCATCAAACACATATAACCCATAAACTTACATGACAGATGTTGAAGAAAAACCATCAACAATGTTCTGTTCACTGCCACATGCAAGTAGATCAAAAGTATCAGCACTCACATTTTCTGCCACTAATAACTTTTCTTTTGGTTCTTTGTTTAAAACTTGTCTCTGATTGACTCTTTTATGTGGTACATTAATTAGAGCAGCAGAATTTTGAAAGGAATGATTTTCTCGATGCTTGTAACACTTATTCAAGGAAGGAGCAAACACATTATCAGAGCCTGGCTGTTTCTTCAAACTGTTGTACCTCTTGTATAGCTCTACAGTAGAACAAACAGAAAAGTACATGTCATTTGATGAAAAGAAAAAGGTTTTATATAAGGGGCAACTTTTTTAGGCAAAAATCTCTATGTGAGGTCAGAAAGTTGGTACCACACCTTTTAATTTACCTATTTTTCGAGGATTTAATTTTTTTTGCAATTTTTTTCAAATTTGCAAAATTCGCAAAATTTTGGGCCACAGAAATTTCTAGCTATACGGTACTATACTTGGACTTGTAAGATTAATGGTTTAATGCTCCCAAAAAGGAGCCCCATTTGTTCATCTTTATCTGATACTCTATCTCTCAGTCATTTTTCATTCCTTCATTCTTCACCACTAACTAGTTATGTTTGCGCTGGCAACAATAATAGTCGTTTTGTGGAATTTAGCAACCAAAAGAGGGTAATTAATTCTCTCAGTTAAGAAGACTGATGTTGTCTGTCTTGAGCAATTTAATGGCATTTATCCTATAGCTAGACAGATTTCATGTCATCGCTTAGTTACAAATGTTAACAGGTGTACCTTATGCTATGATTATGGAAGCGTCTCCAATTAATGCTTTCTAGTGCCATGGGAAGAGCTGCAACACATCGTCAAAGATGAATGATCATTATTTTAATACTCCACTATGTATGAGGCATGAACGAATGTTAAACAACATTGTCAAAAAAACTCACTACTCAGAACAAATGTCTTAAGGAGAAATTAAAATCAACAACCATAAAAGTAGGTAATGGCCTTGGATTCAGAACTGGAGAAGGACAGGTGGTAGATTGACTCAAACAAGAAGGAAGTTGAATGCTTACACTTTAAGAGGATTTTTTGGGAGAAAAAGGTTTGTCTACATGTATAGTTAATTGTTAGTTTTAATATGACACATGTACCTTTAGTGATCAGCAATGAAAGTGGAAAACAGTATTGGCATCAGATACCGCCATTTATTCATTAGATGGTGCCTCAGCATAATGCTGGGATCTTTAAAGACATAATAATGTAAATGTAGCCATCACAAAGGTTACACCAATTGGTTTAAGACATCAAAAGGAAATGTCTATGCAGTTGAAAGAAGATTACAAAGTTACTAAACTGAATCCAGCTCAAAAGTCTGTTTGGTATTCTTGCCTTCATTACATTATCTATTTCAATATTACAGACATGTAGTAATTGGTTTTGACAAGATGAAAATCAGAGAAGGACTGGTCTTTGACAATGTCACTGGAACATCAGAGGTTACATAGAAACAAGGGACATGAATTCAATGTTAAGCTTGTTTGAATGAAGAGTAAAGGGGGAAAAGAACCACAAGACATTGCAATATATATATGTCTGCAGTATGTGTCTGAGGTATTTTTATGAAGCTGGATTGTCTAATGAAGCAAATTGTCCAATGTCTGGGACAATTTGCTACAAAAAACCTTTTTGTTCAAATTTACAGTACTTACATTATTGCTGCATCTGGTCAACAACTATATGACATAGTTTAGACAGCTACAAGGAGATTAATAATTATAGGGAAGGAAGTAGTGGTAGTGGTAGCTAATGCTAAGGGGCTAGTATTTTTTCAATCATCATAAAGATGTGGCTGTGATGCAAGGAGGAGTGAATTACAAAGTTAAGAATATATGATCCAGACAAGTATCTTACATGTATGAATGTATTTATGTAAATGCATGTACATGTACATGTACATGTTCTTATTTAATTAATCAATCAATTGTAGATGGGTTTAGTTTATGTCTAATATACAGTGTATGTCATTTAATGAAGACAACACGGAACTGGTGGAAGTATTCTTGAAGAAATGGCACTCAACATTTAGAAGTGAGATTAATAAATATAGCATTCATGTTCAGGTATAGTGAGTATGGCATCATCTTTTAGAGCTATATAATTGGAGCAGGCAAGACACAGGTCTTTATAGGGAATAAGCTAACATTGGAGCAAGTTAAACTGACATTTTTTTCATTTAGTTGTGGGAATATGATATCATATTCCCACAACTAAATAAAAAACATTAAAAAGTAAAAAAAAAACAAGAGGGTACTAGCAAACTGGTGATACATTAAGCATTGTACCAGACCCTTCCCCTGCAGGGAGGCAAGGGTCTGGCCAGCGAGACTACTCTGTACTTCTTTCCTGCCATAGCTGTCTGGATAACCGAGGGTCCACTGTAGTAGCAATGCCTAGGAAGTTAAAACTGTCGTGGTGAAAAAACTAGAACAAAAAGTTCCTCCTTCAACTATTTGGAAAAAGTAGCAACTTCAACTTGATGCTGATCTATCCACCTCAATACTTTAGGAGCAGATTCCCTAACATTCTGGCATCTCCTAGTACTCAATTGAAAGTCTGATCCGTCAGTAATCTTTTGAAAAGAATCCCAAACTTCACATAATGAACTCTTTTCAGCAGTCATTTTTCTTGAAGATGTGTCCAAAACCTAGCTAGTGCTAATTGGCAGGAGCATAACAAAGATACGTGTAGTTCAGCGTTTTGGGCTGTTTCCAATCCCTTTCCCCTCCTACTCTAATATCTATGATTAAACCCTTTTACTATTTCTATTATGCAAAAAATAAACAGACACGGTTATACATAAGTGGATCATGCGCTTCATCATCTAGAGATCTACAGGTATTTGTCTCTACGTTGACATACCTGTACTACATTAGAGTAGTTGCTGCTATTGTGTGACAGTTGGTATTATGGGACACTTGAGTAATACTTGAAAACTATAGTCTTATTACCTTTCCTTAATCAAATAAAGAATATACAAATCCTTTGCGAAAATAATTTTCTTAATTCATTATTGTTAGCCCCACCCTTTTTTATTAGTCACACGTGTTATAATTGTTTTGTTTACCTCCTCGAAAGTCCTCATCTTTTTTGGCTCTCAAGTGATAAAAATAAGGTAAGTTAAAATCATTTACACCTACTAGTGCTACTTCTTTCTTCAGAATGGCTTGCAAATGAAAGTTATGGTCAGATGACAGTATGGCTGCTGCAGTTAGTAGTGTTGTTAAAGACAACAAGGGATTGAGGGAAACTGCTTGTCTGTATAATATTCCCATTGAGACACTTAGAAGAAGGGTAAATGGATCAGTTGCATTAGACTGCAAGCCAGGACCAACAACTGTTCTAACAAATGAAGAAGACCAGTTGGCTGAATATTTAATTAAAATGTCAGAAATGGGGTTTCGCCTGACAAGAGATGGAGTTATGGGCATGGCCTTCAAAATCGTAAGTAAGAGCCAACAATCCCACCCATTTAAAAATACTAGTACTGGAAGAGGGTGGTTCGAGGGCTTCATGAGATGTCATCGCAAATTGTTGATCATGTCACCTCAGCCTTTATCTTATCATACAGCCGAGCTGTTTGTGCAAATCAAGATACAATCAGTGACTTCCTTGGTAAGCTCGGGGCTATATATGGATGACTTAATTTGGTGTCAAAGCCTATGCAAATATATAATTGTGATGAGACAGGAGTTACAATAGTTTTTAAACAGGGTATAGTCGTAGCAGAAATGAGGAGCAGAAGTGTTTATGCTGTCTTTGCAGCTGAGAAGGAATGTACTCATACCATCCTATCATTTGTTTCTGCTAGTGGTATTTCTTTACCTCTTATGATGACATACCCTTGTAAAAGACCCGTGCCTCCACTGCAAAGAGAAGGAGCAGTCCCTAATACCCTCTTTGTCACTAGTGATTCAGGATGGATAACATCTGAGCTGTTCGTTGAATGGTCTAAATTTTTTCTTCAAAATATACCACCAATTTGACCCATACTTCTTCTGCAAGATGGACACGGTTCACATGTTTTGATTGAGCTGATCGAATTGGCACATGCTAATGACATTCACTTAATTTGTCTACCATCTCATACTAGTCATCTGCTGCAGCCCTTAGATGTGGGGGTTTTCAAATCCTTCAAAAGTAATTTTAACAAGGTATGCAGTAATTATATGAGACAAAATCCCAGGATGAGTTGTTACAGTAGATGTGATTGCTTCATTAGTTGGTGAAGTGTAACCAGCATCATTCACACCTATGAATATAATGAAAGGCTTTAAGAAGACTGGAATGTGGCCCATTAATCTCGGAGAAGTGACCAAAGGAAAAAGAAGCACCATCAAAAGCTTATTCCACTCATTAAAGTACTCCAGAGCCTAGGAATATTTCTGATCAGCTGCAAGGTAGTCCACTGTTTTCACCCAAATTAGAAGCACAGTATCAAAAGAGATACGAGAAAAAATAGGATTTACAAGATGTGGGCTATATTGCATGACTGAAAATCAATCATCCTGAATTGAATGTCAGTGATACTTTGTCTGATAGCTCATCCTCTCACATATCAAGTGAAAGAAATAAAGCATCTTCTGACCTTCCAAAATTGCTAGTGCTGCCTGAAGCGAAACGTGTCACAAGGAGAGGAGGTCTCAATAGCAGAGCAAAATGTATTACTGAATCTCAGGTTTTGGAAGAAATGAAGGCAAAGGAAGAAAGGAAGAAACTCAATGAGGAACTGAAGGCTCAAAGGAAGATTGAAAAAGAGAGAAAGAAAATTGAGAAAGAGGAGATGAAGAAAGAAAAAGTAAGGCAGAGACAAAAAAACAAGGACAGAAAGGAGTAAGATCAAGAAGAAAAGGTACAGCGAAGATACATGTACCTCAAGAGGCTAAACTAGAAAGTCTGGTTAGTGAACTGAAATTGGATGATACAGAGCAGAAAACAGATGCTAGTGATGATGAAGCTACGTGTATAGAGTACGTCCTGGTATTATGAGACAGTAGGGTATTATGAGACACAAACAAAAATCAAGTCGAGACTATAAATTAGGATGAGAAAATGAAATAAGCTGCTTATAGAGTGACTTTAAATTGCTGGAAATAAAAACAATTAAAAATAGTCTGCAAAATAGTCTAATTAACTTGCTGTAGTATTAATTAATTTACATAAACACCTCCCATTCAAGATGGCCAAGCAAGCAAGGTCTGGAGCAATGTGTACCCAGAAATGCAAGAATTGGTTGCAGACAAGTGCATGTATGACTGAAGCAGTAAAAGCAGTTAAAGAAGGAATGAAACTTAGAGAGGCTTCATCTTCATATGGGGTACCTGTAGATACCTGGACCTAAGACAGTTATGACAGATGCAGAAGAAATAATGTTGCGTGAATACATAGTTAAGATGGCAGATATGGGTTATGGTACATGGTTTGTCCAGAGATGACATCATGAGAGTGGCGTTTCAAATAGTTGAAAAGACAAAGAAATCAAACCCATTCAAAAATGGTGCTGCTGGAAAATCATGGCTGCAGGGTTTCTTAAGTCGACATACATGTATGCTAAGTATCTGTACTCCTCAGCCTTTGTCACATGCGAGGGTTCGAAGTGTGACTGATGACGTCATTAAATATTTTTTTGCAAAACTTGGCGGTATTTTTGCCAGATTGAATATGCTTTCTAAACCAATGCAAGTATACAATATTGATGAAACAAGCATTAATGTTGTGCATAAACCTGGCAAAGTAGCAGCACATATCAAACATAAGAAAGTGAGGTCAATTACTTCGGCTGAAAGGGGAAAAACACATACAGTATTGACTTGTGTAATGCTTCTGGCCAGTGCATTCCTCCCCTAATGATTTTTCCAAGAAAAAGGATGAAGGAAGACTTAAAGGAGGGCGCCATACCTGGTACTACGTTTTGTTGCTCCGAAAGTGGGTGGATAAATGAACAGTTACTTCTGGAATGGTTTGAATTTTTTATTGAATCGATCCCACCTGCACGCCCTGTACTCATAATTGAAGATGGTCATGCTTCTCACGTATCACTAGATGTCATTAAGCTAGCTAAAGAAAATAATGTCCATCTTCTCTGTCTTCCATCACATTCAATGCATATTCTTCAGCCCTTAGATGTTGGTGTGTTTAAAAGTCTAAAAGCACATTTTAATAAGGAGTGCAGAGATTTTTTATACTCTAATCCTGGAAAAAAAATTCGTTCTAAAAATCTTGAGTCTCTTCTGTCTTTGGCATGGCCAAAAGCATTGATGCCAACGAATGTGATGAAAGGATTCAAGCAATGTGGGATTTTTCCTCTTAACCCAGGAGTGATATCGGATTGACTATTACACTGTAGCTCCGTCAAAAGTTTTCTCACCTGAACCAAGTGAAATATCAGATTGTGATAAAACACCAGAATAATCGAATACTTCAAATTTTTTTGATATCCTTTCCTTGCCTAAAGGCCTCCATACACTAGGCAACATGTTGCTAGCAACTTCTGTGGTTACTTTGATCTTGTAATCATTTTGTTCCAGAAATAGAACAGAATTCTATTCTTAGACACAAGATCAAAGTGACCACAGAAGTTGCTAGCAACATGTTGCCTAGTGTATGGAGGCCTTAAAGCTCTTTCAGTCTCAAACATGAGCTTCAAATTGTTCAACAGTGATGGTGCTAGGTGCATTACAAATGAGTCATTTATTACTGAAATCTCTGAAGAAACAAAAAGAAAAGAAGAAGAAAAGAAGAAAAGAAAAGAAAGGAAGAAGAAAAAAAAAGAAAGGAAGAAGAGAGAAAAAGGAAAGCCGAAGAAAGAAAAAGATCCAAGAAGAACGTAAGCAACATAGGAAAGAAGAAAAGAGAAAGAAAGCAGAAGTTAAGAGGAACACGGAGAGAGAAAGAGAAGAGCGACAAAGACAAAACGATTTAGAACAAGAGAAGAAGAAAGCAGAAAGAAAAGAAAAAGAAAGGAGGGAAGAAGAATTAAGGTCAGAGGGTAAGGAGACGACACTTCAGCAAGTACTACGAAAGAGACAAAGAAGCGAAGTTGTGTTTGCAGCAAAAGAAGAAAGGTAGAAAGTGATGTGTGTCCATCATGTTTTGGTTCTTATGAGGACCAGAGTGAGTCTCATACTTATATTGGGTGTGATGGTGAATGCAGTTGTTGGTGGCATTTGGAATTTATTAACACTGATAATTTCAAAGATGGTGATTATCACTGTGGAGAATGTAATGTGTACTGAATATTATAATACAATACTTGTCATAAAATGCTTGTCTCATAATACAATACTTGTCTCATAATACCAGTACTTGAGTAGGTAAATTAATTTCACAAGTATGCTACACTAGAAGTTATACCTATGAAGATTGGTCAAAGTAGTGCAAATAAGGTGATTAGAGTTTACAGTGATAGTTTTGAAATTACATAAAAATCTTCTCCGAAAGAATAAGAAACTATTTTGCTGAGTGTCTCATATTTGGGGCGTGTACTCTATGCCCAAAATGTGGAATTAACATTAAGTTACATTAACCCAATAGCATTAAAAAACGCAATGGCTATACGTCCAGTAACCGGATCTGTCTGGCAGAACTATACGTCCGGCAGTGGGCATGTAGGAATGAGCCCTTATATATACTGGGACTACACCCCAGTATAATAGATTTATTATAGAAGTTGAGTATAAATACAACAACCAGCAACAGTGACAGAGCAGGGTTGTGGTGGTGCAGTGGAGAGGCGCATGTGGATTGCAGGGATGTGGTCAGTGGTTCGAATCCGGTCAGGACTATACTGAGTAAAACTATGCTGCATGCAGTTTTTCGTTTTTTTCTTTTTTAAACTATAACTTTTTTGCTATTTTTTGGCTTTCTTTAGGTCAAGAAATAAACACCCTCTCGTACATCTTAGCTTCTGGGGTTGTAGGATTGGGATTGGGGTTTAGTGTTTAGTTCTTTAGAGCATACATGTAGGTCAAGAAATAAACCCTCTTGTACATCTTAGCCTCTGGGGTTGTAGGGTTGGGGTTTGGGTTTAGTGTTTAGTTTTTAGAGCACCCCCTTGTACATCTTAGCCCCTGGGATCGTAGGGTTTTGGGATTAGGGTTTAGTGTTTCTTGATAAAAAGACTAAGTTCCATTTTGCACTATTCTCATGCACACAAGCTGTTTTACCATAGATATTAGAGTAAATGAAAGGGATTGGAAACTTCCGTACGCGGCTGAAAATGCTAGTTACCCCCATACTGCAAGTATTTCAATTCTAATCATAAAACTTTGACATGAGAGAATAATATTATAATCAACTAAAAGCATGGCATAGCATGCATGGATCGAGACCAAGACAGACTAGAGAGTAAGCAAGTTAGCATCACTGTAACAGTCTCTTTCTCAGGCTTTTGGATTTCTGTATGTTTTCTTTTTCCCTTTTTTGCAGTCTTCTACTAGCTCCGTAGCAAAGGCATGGACTTGAACGGTAGCACAGACGGCGAATAAGTAGAGTAGCAGCTCTTCTGTTGGCTCCTGAGTAGCCGCAGTTGGTAAAATTGGTCTCCACAGCTCTATTATATTAAATTTTGTTGACAATGTGGTGGCAAAATCCTTGGGATTTCCGATGTGACACTGGTTGTGTGTTTGAGGTGCTTGAAGCAACACCTTCATTTCCAATTCTATGGCTCTTACAAACTGATAAAACTCATTGTTACATTTGATAAGACCTCCTCGATTAATGGAGTTAATCCAAGTGTCAGCAGTGCTAACAGAAGCTAAACATTCTCATCAACGTTACCTGAGGCTTCATCATCATCATTTCCTGATTCTTCTATGAAGCTATCTAGTACAGTTGCAGAGCTGTCATATGAAGATGATTTGTGTAGTTGGCGTTTGACCTTTGGGATAACATAGCCTGCAATGTACCACAGTGCATTTTCGTCATCGTAAGTTAAATGCGATGTTTCACTAGCTTTATTTGTATTTAATGTAGGATATGCATATTTCCAGAGATCTGTGAAGTAGTGATATGTTATGTAAAGGAGAGAATCGGTGAACAGCTAACACCAGTAGTGGAGTACAGACATGACCAAAAGGTTGTATAATCAGTAGATGAAGTAAACTGGCTAAAGGGAAGCCAGATTTGCTCACGGATAGAGCTCGATATGGGCTTGTTGTCTATCCATAAGTGGAATAAATCAGATAAATACAGTTCAAACGGCTGAATTGCTGTCTCATTCTTTGCAAAGGTCATCCATTTCATCATTTCTGTTGCTGTATGTTTAGCTGTTGCTGCCTAAGGTGATTAAAGATCAAATCCCTTATCTTCAAGTGCCTTGTGCAAAGTACCTGAAATGTAATTTGTTTAGTGGTTATTATTTTTGCAAAATTTAAATTTTTTACTTAGTAAATTGGGATTTCTTTGTGGTGCAACTTGTAAAACAGTGGTTTCATTGGTTTCAGTCCTTTGATGCTTCTGTAGAGGTTCTGTAGCTACATAAGTAAACTCATTACTCCTTGTCCCTCTTACATTTCCTGTATGTGTTTCTATATTAATTGTGTTTACTACGCGTAATATATCATTATTTTTTAGAAACTCCTTAGTAGTGGGGTTTTCATTTACACCTCCACTCTGTCTTTGTCTCCCAAAATACTTTTCAAGAGGATCTAGGAATGATGTTACTCCTGGAATGTTGAAGATGAAATGGATTAAGTCGATAAAGGAGTAAGCGATGTGTATGACAATTGGATTGATGAATATGTAATAATTATTATTGCTTACCCGTAATTCTCAGTCCTAAGAGTGTTTCATCACTCAACATTAGTTTCTTCCTTTCACTTGACTTCATTTCTTGATGTGATTTGGTTTCAATTTCCCATTTCTCTAACCATACCAAGAATTCTGATTTGAGCCACTATAAAACTAGTTGTTAAAGATTATACATTCTATTTTATTCACTATTATTTATACCTGGATTCTAAAATCATTTAACCATCTATATGGTGCTTGAAATATTTTAACTTTGTGTAACACTTGGTATAGTTTGTAACGTTCAGCAAATCAAAGAATTTATCCATCATTTCTAGGAAGTTTTCGGTCTCACTAGCTTCTTCCTTAAAGTGCATTCTTACAGCTGTTGCTACTGTTTGGCTTAGTGTCTATTTTGAAAATAGAATAATGGTATTATTACATAATCAAGACATACTTCTGCTGCAAGATTAACTCTCATCTTTGAGAATGAATTGAGATGAACATGTTCATATTTAAGTTTCGGAAGTGTTGCAAACCCAGTTGTTTTGGTTGCAATCTCATACAACTGCCTGATGTATTTCCCAGTGATTGGTTTCCCATTAAACTATACATGTGAATGCAATAAAATACATGTATTTTGATACAAGTCATTGTACCTGCATTTGTCGATTAGGATTGGAAAGACAGTTACGTGCAGTTTTAAGAAGATGTGGTGGATTGGAAATAAGGTAAACTTCTCTTGTGTTGTCGCTGAATGGATTGCAGAATTTGTATTTCACAGGTAAATCTTGGTTGCCTTGGTTTCCATCTAGTGTTATAGATACAACCTTCAAACCACACCTCTCAATTTGCATTATGGCTTCATAAAAAATGGGAACTAATTGTTCTTCAGAAAGATTTGATGTTGGGAAACTAGCGTATGGAAAAGTGAAACTGTTAAATAGGCCTCGGATCATTATAACCATAACTGAAGTAGCTAAACATGTGCCTTGTGAAGTGTCGTTAGAATACTGTTGTTCCAATCGGATTAAATGGTCGTTTATGTCTCCTAAATTGCAGTACCCAATCAACTCTCCAGTATTTTTATCATATATGAGCCCTTGTTTCACATGCATTTCGTCACCAATGAGGCCTAAGTATTTTTCATTCTCTTTCAAAGATGTAAGCTTTGAATCTTGAAGTAACTGTGAGTCGAGGTCATCAGTGAAACCAGAAGATAAGTCAACGAAATGAGTATAATCTCATAGGGTTCTTTGTGATGGTAGATTAATACAATTTGATTTTTCTTAGTAGCTCATATGCCTTGGATGATTTGTGGCGCAGGTATATATGCCATCAAATCATAGCAGGATTCCAGCGATAACTATTTTTTGATTTTTTTGTGCGGAATCATATTGGCTTTTCCAGAATATGTATTGAAAACTGTCCTTTGGATATAACTGAACAATGTCATTGTGATGTTGTTGCATGATGGTAAATAGATCTTGATGTGTTGTACTGTTAACTGTAATGGCCTGTTTTGTTGCTTTTTCAGATATTATTCTTTCTACATGTAGATAAATAATTTTTTGGTTTTTTTCTTGAATTGATGATCTCAGTGAAGATACGCAGGGTCTGTAATCTGCAATCATTATGAACCTGTGATTAGTTGTAGAAGCTGGACAATCATTACACTTTTTTCGTGATTTTTTATTGCCATAGCTATCAGGTTTGGAATGTATGAAGAACAGGCAGCAACGTGTTGCTTTAACCTGTAGTATGGAACAGTTAATATGGTGTATTGTATTGAAGGGATGTTCATCTACAACAGCAATAATTTGCCCTATTTTAAGACTAATTCAAACAACAATTATTCATGTATAACTAACCTTCACGATTGACTAATTTCCCTCCTTTTATTTCTGCAAGAGCTAAATAGCTGGGTTGTGAAATCCCAGGACAAACTTTCATGTTAGTGATGGAGTTAAGAAGGTGCAATGTGTGTTGAGGTTGGGAGTGTAACTGGACGGTTAAATGCCAATAATGTATATGATAAAGTGGGTAATATTTTAAGTGCATATGAGATTAATAGTTTATCTTTCATTTGCTCAATATAACAGAAGACCAACGAATTTTTGTGCTGTTTATCATGATGTGATGTGATGGTCCATCCAAGTGGTAGAGTGGTCATTTTCAATTCTTTTTCAATAAAGGCAAAAGTAATGTGAGTGGCATCAATTTTAGAAAGGGGAATGGTAACTTTGAATTGAGCACTAGCAACCTTCACTTTGGGAACAGAAATGCTGACTTTGATAATACATTATATGTTTCATGTCGTTTTTGTTTATTTCGAGATATTAACTTCTTTCTATTGGAAAAGCACTTTTTTCTTCCCATCTACAACAAGTAATGATCAGTAATGCTTAAATTTATAATAATTATAATGCTATATGATACCTTTGCAAAATAATTGTCATGTCACTTTGCAAGAAATGATAATGCATGTTTCCTTACTGTTACGCACTGTAAAGTGTGTAGTTATCGACAATAAGGGAAATACAAGCGAAAATAAGTATCTGAAAGAAGTGAACAATTGAAGACACAGAGTTACCATGCAAACCGTAGGTGCCCAGACAATTTGACCATAAATGCTCTAATTATTCGTATGTCAAGATTGTAATGGCTGCTTGCAAGTAGGCATACATTTTCAATAGTTAAGGCTTGCATAATGTTTTATTTGTACAGGTAACTCTTCAATAATGTAGAGGGACAGCCTTTCTACTTGCCCAAGTAGTCTGCTGTGGCAATTATTATGTTTGCAGTTTGAATTTATTGTTGATGAACATTGGCAATCATTAATCACCATATTACATGTTTAATTATACATTTTCTGTAACTTATAACCTATTTGATAGAGAGTGTGCCAGTGACCTCCGGTATGTTCTAAGCATTAGAATAGTGTGATAGTTGATGTCATGTAAGGGTACAAAACAAACCTCTCAAACTGAACACTAAATTGATCATTACAGAACGACAGAATCATATTATATAGGTGGTAGCCTATATGTAGGATTGAGGTTGATTTTTCAAGATGGCGGCCGTTTTTATGATTTTCAAACACTTATAACTCTTTTATCTTGCGTTGTACAGCCTTATAAAAGGCTTAGATGAGCTCTCCTTCACTGAGCAATTCTCCTGGTACCTTTAAAGTGAACTGCAATGTAGTGGGAGCATTTCTGGAAAATAAGCCCAAATTAAAATTTCTACAAAATTCTTCAGACTTTTTCTTCTTCTTGTTTCATCTTCTTCTAGGCACCGGATAATCTTTTAATCCAGAGAACTGCTCAAGTTGCCTTTTACATCACTCCTCTGGGCTTGGGTCAAGGTCCACAAAGGTAGTTTCAAAAAGAAGCGAGGACAGAGAACAAAATGGAAGACAGAATCCACCTGCAGCCACAGCGTGGGTTTGTGGTTTGACGCCATTTTAATTTATGCGCATGTGATTAGCATGAATATAATTAACCTATAACCATGCACAGAATCATAACAGAATGTAGTTTCTTAATTTAAGAAAAAAGAGTGGAAACAAGTAAATAAAAAACATTAAAAATGGGGAAAAAAGTAAGGAAACAAGAAGGTACTTGCAAACTGGTGTGGTAAGAGATCCTACACCACTGCATGAAGATTACTACCCAAAAGCACAGCAATTATCCTCACAGCCAACTATGATAGCACTATGAAGCCTTTATTTTTTATGCAGTGGTGTAGGATTTCTTACCACACCAGTTTGCAAGTACTTTCTTGTTTCCCTACTTTTTCCACATTCAATCCTACTATTTTCCCAATTTTAATGTTTTTTATTTACTTGTTTTTAAATGAAACAAAGTGGGTGACCTCCACCTAGTGATGCTCTATTGAATGATTGAATTAGCTGTTATCATTTGTTTAACACTTTCAACAAAAAGGTACAAAACAAAATGTAGTTGCAACCACTACCATTCAAGAGCAAAAAAATCAGTGTAAGTAACGATGAATGCACCTAAAAAGTTGTCTGGGAATAGAGACATGTTTCCTCTGCTTTATTTCATATCAATCTTGACGAATAATGACACTACGGACTAATGATAGCCTTTGACAGCTAGGTCACAAACAAGACGCTTTCTTGCTAAGTCGGCAGCCGTTGCTAAGAAAAGGGGTAACCCACATCCATTGCTTAGCAATGTACAAAGTCAATGTAGCAACACGGAAGTTTCCAATCCCTTTCATTTACTTTAATATCTATGGTTTTACGGAGAAAAACGGAGTCACACCCCTGAACACACCCACTGCCGGACGTATAGCTCATCCGGTTATTGGACTTATAGCCAATGCGTTACAGTAATTTTAAGGCTTTTTGTAAAGTCTATGATCGGAAGTCGCAATTCGTACGCTGGCTGTGGTTACAAATAATTTTTATAACCATATATTAATTACAATATTCATTAGCTGCGAGTAGAATAGATCTAAGTGAGTATGGGAGATGAAAGAAGATATTCTTTTTGGATGCCACCAGGACCTAACGAGTTGGGTCATAATTCTTACTTTCCTCATCCGTTCCCATATGGCCCCTATTAGCCAAGTCAGACGTCCTTACCTGTCCACAGTGTCCAGTCATCAAGTGAGACACTGGTAGACCACGCGGCTGCTCGGCCTGTCACTCCCGGCAGCAACAACCAGTCGCCATCCACCCCAGAAAGTGCTACTGCTTATGACAGCCCCCTTGAATTTTGTTCTACCCCTAGTCCTACAGATAGTATAAATGTTGACAAGCAGGTTAGTGCATTGTGTACTCACTATTGATCATCATTATGTTGATTCATTGCAGGTGGATGTGGATTATACTTACAGGGTTAACATAATTAATAAAGGCAAGAGAAGTGAATTTGTCACTCGAGATCTAAAGACATTCACAGGAGTGTTTCTGAGTATCAAGGCTTTGAAGCTCAAGATAATTGAGGAAACGGATTCGTTGGTTCCTTCAACTCTTGATTTTCAGGTTGGATATTTTAGTGGGAAACAGAGTAAGAAGAATTGGCTCATTGATGAGTCAGACCTTAAGGATATGTATGATGCAAATGAATCCAGAAAGAGCATATTTTTGTGGTGTGATAGTGCAGAAGAACAGGCGAAACAGGCAAAACGTACCAAGACAGTGTCATCCCAGATTACTGCTGCTAAGAGCCACGAGATAGAAATAGATGAAGAACTAGAAGAAACCGCAGAAAGGATTAAGGCAATGCATGGTGATAAATATTCATACTCACACTATCGAATTTGGGCCAGATTGGTTCAGTCAGGTATGTTTAAGGACATAACTGTTGTTCCACCCATTCCTGCACTTCAAGGCACACCACAACCTTCCTCCAAGAAAGGACAAGACTCACTAAAAGATGTGATTGCTGGTGCTGCTGTAACCTTTGTTAATGCTATGCGCTCTCCTGATTACAGCACTCCTAGTGTTAAAGCTCAAAACTCGGTTGTTATTAATTCTCGAACTACACCTCCAAAAGACAACCCACACAGCACCATAAGTACTATTTCACCTTGTAGAGCCACTGATCTTCGCATGAAAAAAAACTCCAGGAATTGCGTGAACTACAAAACTTACTTGAAAGTAACATTTTGAATAAAGATGAATTTTTGGGGCAAAAGGCCATTGTTTTGGAATCTCTGCGTAAACTTACACATTAATGCATGAAATTTGAATTTTCATTTATCATTAAGGTTCATTTAAGTGTAAATTTCACAATGATCAATCCAATTATAACAATTATAACTAGTAATTTGTGAAAATGCTAACAATATAAGGTTTTCTAGGCATGTGTTACCCAGCTCTAACTCTCCTTCATACTGTTTTAGAAGAGTCTTTACCTTTGAGAATGCCTCTTCAATTGGATTGTAATCAGGTGAATACGGGGGGGGGGGCAGGTTAATTAAAAGAGATCCTGCTGTAGATATCAAGTCTGATATGCCATCTACATGATGTACACTGGCATTGTCCATTACTACAACAATGCTGTGGTGATTGACACCATCAAATGGCAACAGAAGTGGCAATAATTTTTTGCAAACAAATTGATAAAAAGTATTATCATCCACAGAGCATTCTACTGTCTCAAACTCTAAGAGACCATGAATACTGATACAGGCTATAGTACTGAGGTGCTGGCCCCTAACAAGTAACTTATGGCTCACAACAGGTATTCCTCTGAAGCTATAACCATATTTTCTCAGTACATTACGTCTATCGCTACCAGTCTCATCCAGAAAAATAAACATACCAGGATCATACAAAGCCACCTCTGCAGCATATATTGCTCTAGTGAATTCGTTCCTCTGTCTTGCTACAAATCTCATTTTTTTCCCTTGAAAATCGTTGCTCAGACAACAATTGACAAATTGTGGAAAGTGAGAGGTCAGATCCAGTAAGATACAATAATTTAGATTGTACATGTATCTCTCTTAAATAGATACCAGGGTTGTCTAAAACTATATGTAGTACAACAAGCTTGACAGTATCATTCACTTTTCTTGGTAAGTTGCAATGATTGTACAGTCGGTTTCAGTTGAGAAGAAACGGAAGTAAATCAATATTTTCGTCATTGAAACGTCACATGTAGCCCCCGCCCGAACATGGCTGCAATCTGCAAGCTCTGTCATTCTTCGAGCGTTTCTTCTCTTTTAACTTACTTTACTATCTATTGTACCTCTACAGTGATTGCTGCTGCCTCCATCTATCTTTTTCTTGTTTTTGGTGCCTGTTTTCAGCTGGTATAGAGCTCGGAATACGGGTGAATCAACGAGTGTACTGGCAATGAAGAACAACTAAGATTGAGAAGGCTGTGGAGTGATATAGCAAGAATTATCCTCAAGAGAAAGCTCCAGGTTGAATATTAGTAGGTCTAGAGAGCTTGATATGTTTTGTTTTATTTTAAAATAAAAAACATTATTTTTTGACTAAATGTACAGAGATGCAAATGATATTCATCGGAGTGACGCACACGGTTCGTCATGGCGGCTCCTTTCATCTCAAGCGGAAGAACCCGTTTAGAACCTTCCAGAGTACCTAAAAACTCAAAAATTGGTAAGGATTTTCGGAAGAACCCGTTATGCAGCTATACCAAATTTCAATTTGCTAGCATTAGTGACAAAAAAGTTATAAGGGGTGGTGGTGGTTTCTTCTCAACTGAAACCGACTATACTGCTTTTTAGATATATTACCAGTCAGCTCAAAATGACAAACCATTCTTTACGCTGTACTCGTATCTACTCCAAGATTCACAGCAATAGTTTTGTCAGAATAACCTAAGGCTAATCGTTGATACACCATCCTCCATCGTAAGTCATCATGGTAAGCTCTTACTCGACGAGGTTCTGCAGTAGTACTAGCCATTTTAAGTGCATCAAATGGAGTTATCTAATACTGCCACGCCTATGCCCAGCTGTAGTTATTATGGTGGATACTGGATAGCGCTCTACGGATTACGGTTTTGCAGAATTTTTGCAGAAAGCATAAAAATCCCTCTAAAAAAATTGTTCAAAAATGCAACTCCTGTGTCAAGTTATCAGCACTTTTCTGTATGTGTCTCATACCTGCCACACCTACTCTATGTATGCATAATTATAACACATGTACATGTACCTTTGATTTCAAAAGGGCTTTCGACGACGTCAGACTGTTAATACAAGCATGATACATATGTGATAAATAATAATAATCGCCTCTTACCTTAGTCGGCTTGCGTCCATGCTTGACTTCAAAATCTCTTTCCCAGGACTTGAGGCTCTTTTTAAGAGACTGGCGCTGTTCTCCATTATCCTCCATTTACGCCTTTTTTCGAGCTCTTTTCGCCACACTTTCTGCCTTTCTGCCAAGTTTCTGGCCCCAAAAGTAATACGGCTTTATAGTTTATGAACCGGAGTGAATGAATGGATATGCGGGCTTTTACTAGATATAAAATGGCTGTTTCCAGTACAGCCACTGACTACGAGGGGCCCACTAAGGTTGAGGTTCAGCTGAATGCAGATTTGAAAATGTACCAGGAGCAGGTATGGCAATGCTGGTTAGGATTTTATTAGAGTAATTTTTGAATCTAGATTTTTTTTACAGAAAGGGGGTTGGCATTGGTAAAATAGGGGCTGGGACTTCTTGGATGGCGACTGAGACTGGGACTTTTAGTATAGATAGTAGTATATTATCTATGCTTTTAGGGTGAAACTGGGGGCTGGGTTTGTAGCTTAATAGGAAATGGGACAAGAACTGAGACTTATTGGGACTTTTATGGTTAAACTGAGGGACTGGTTAGCTACATGTATTTAGGGACTGGGACAAGACCTTGTTTCACCTTAAAAGTCCCAGTCCCCATCCATGGTCCCAAAGTCCCAGTCCCTGTTTTAGGGTAAAATAAGAGAGATGGACTACTGTACTTTGGGAATTGTAGGGCACATGTCCAGAAATTGCAATGGAACTTGCAGTCATTTTAATTTAATGATGTTTGAAATTACCATAGCAACGAGTAGTGATGGAGAATGGAGGAATCTTGTCATCTCTATTCAAAGAGCAACAACTCCTATCTAGTATGGTGACTAGACTTTATTTGGCACTGAAGGCTTCCTAGAAGTCTTGTGAATGGAACTGGAGACGCTATTTTCACATATTTCTAAGTTTTAGACAGCGAGTGTGGCATTTGAAGCAAATGGCAATGATAAATCTTGCTTTAAAATATTTCCTGGCTTGTAAGATGTTTAGTAGCATTATCCTGACATTCAGTGTCTTTTTCTAAGTCCATGAGTCGCTAAGACACTTGTTATGCAGAGCTGATTGTTTTTCATGCATGGTGTATTGCAACCATGAGTGCAGAATTTTATGATTTTCGAAAGCTCAGGTTAAAAAAATTTCCACTGACTACCTTATCATTTATACACCATTCTGTTGCAAATTAGTTTTTTTTCCGAAGCGGGAAAGTCTTCAAAATAAGTTTTATAGTTATAACCTTTCAAAAATGAAAAAAATTAAAAATTTTAAAAATCTTAATGGAAAGATGGCGTCAATGATAGTGCTATCTTCAGACGGTCAGGTTACAAAGGAATAGTCACTGATTAGTATGATCTTCAGTAGGATAAGAGCTTTACTGTTGCACAAACAATATTGAAAGCGGGACCTTGGAAAATTTCACCACATCACAAGTTATAGGATGCTTAAACGATCCTACCATTGGTACTCTGTATAAAGATTAAAATTTAGTGTACGGAAATTTACTAGAAATTTCCTATCAATATCCTTGCATTTCTGGACATGAGACTATTGGTCAACTTAAATTCACCTCAGTTTATTTAAATACAAATACCTTTTACTGAGTGGTCCAATTACAAATGTACATGTATACTTGACAATTTATTTTACTTTCAGAGTTGATTAGCTATAAGAATAATAATAAATATTTGATGTTCTTGTTTAAGGGGATGTCGCTGAGAGTCACCCAATAGTGTACAGCATATATGAATAAATTTTAAATGATCATAAATCTAAAATTTCCTTTGGCTGCTCGATTAAATGTTGGATTTTTTATTATTCTGGAATACTGATTGTTTTGAATTTAGTTAATTTATAGCAAGGATTATAATATTATAGTAAAAAATTAATTTTAATATGGTGAATAATTGTGGGCTGGGATTTCCTGATTTTTGATTTTGTTTCATGATTGGAGTCATTGGATTTTGTTTTGGGATTTTGGATTGTTAGCAAAGATGTATGGGATTACTGCCTTGTTGCAGGTCCCCTGGATGTCACATAGCCAGGTGTCCTGCCTCTCACAGTTCTTGGTAAACTGTGAGAGGCAGGCCTGCCTTACTAAATGTCACTTGCATACTGTAGCTTATATAGTTTCACTGGCCAGATCATTCCCCAGCCTAGTCATTTAAGCTATGTATGTTTGTACAGCCTACATAATGTATGTGTATGTATAGTGTATAGCTTATACACAAAGTACTTTGACAATATTAAGCAAAGCAACAATAAAATTTCGCTACTGTTTTTGTGCACTATCATGCTGCCATGTACTGTACATGACATGTACATGCAATGCTTTAATGTTTTTATTTTTGAACAAGGATATAATACTAGTTCATAAAGCATGAACCTCGCTAAAAGTTCTTGATACCGTCAGGCATTTTTGTTTGATGAAATGAAATTTTTGCTTCACAATTGTTGCAAATTTACAGTACATGTACTTATAGAAATAACAAAATTTTTATCCATAAAAGTAATTTAATTTAATAATTAAGATTTTGTGAAAATTTTTGACTGACAAAAATTTGAAGCTCTACTGTAATTCTGCATGAGTATGTTCTAAAATGCAAAGTAGGCATGTTATGTTTATTAGTGATCGATTAATTTAGAAAAAAACATGCATGATTATCTATCTCTTTTTTGTACTACTCTGACAAGCACGTAATCATAGTGCGAAGAAAGTTTTGTCAGAATTTTTTATTCAGTCAAATTCTAGCTTGATGCTATTTCTGAGTGTATTCTGTCAAGTCAGGATGCAGATGTCACAGACTTCATTGAAGTAAAGAATGATTTACAACAGTTAATATCTATCACCAAAGGTTGATTTATTTTGTCATAATGTAACTCTAATGCTTTAATATAGACCGAATTTTGGAATTGGCAAAGGAGAGGCTACTTCAGTCAATAGATACATGTGATGATAAAAAAGTACTTTGTTGCACTAATTTTTGCAGTACATATATATTTGCATGTACATGAAAACTTTTTGTATTATGTACATGTACATTTAGAAATTTGAAGACCTTTGTATTGACAAGTCAGCACCACTTGATCAATATGGTGACTTAAAAGGAATGAGATGCCAAGCTCCACTAAAGGAGGTACACATTTTATTCTTTACTATATAAATTACTTCATTTTTAAGTCGTGGGGCACAGCATTATATCATAATGCTATGATTCATAATCGTTTAGAAGGTGGTGATGGGGCTGATTTTAATGCAAGTTAAAGCCGGTAAAATTTTATTTTCATTAACATTTTGTATTGTTAGGTAACTGTTCTCTTCACTAATCCATGTTTTAATTTTATGAAAGTATGTCCTTTTTTTCTGGAAGGAAGGTGTAAGTTTACATCAGAGAACTGTCGATATTCTCATGGCCATGTTGTGTCATTTTCTGACTTGAAACCATATTACAAACCAGATTATAGGTCAGATCTTAACTGATATAATTATATAGTTATGATGTGTTTCATTTGTATTCAAGGGGTGAAAAACTTACATGTAGGTTTCTGTGTAAATATTATACATGTAACACTCCCGCTAGGGATACAGTACATTATAATTGTATGACTGAGCCCGAGGGCTGAAGGCCCAAGGGTGAGGTCATACAAATGCAATGTATCCTGCAGTGAGGGTGTTATCAACATATTTGTGTGATAATTAGCATAGATTGTATTATTAGTATTACTTAGTAATACAATCTATGTAATTAGTGGGTGTATCAAAAGTGCGTGCCAATGCGCATGCTCTGTAGCACTACACCTCGTGGTAAAAATGAAAGCAATGGAGGACAGGAGGCTTAGAAAAAGGTTCTTTATCAATAGATTTAGGCTTTAGGTTGACATATCTAATTTATTTTCAGGCTGTAATATCTGGAAGAGTACTAGAAAGAATGTAAAACATTGAGGGGCTCCGCCTCCAGACCGCACCTCCCAGTCATGCCCAGACGTACGTTCAAGTTCTTGTAAGTAAGGGCTTCGCCCAATAATTTAAGTCCAGAACAGAGATCCAGCACTTGCTAATGGGCCCGTGTATCGATCTTACCTTCCCCGGCCATCTTAATTAGCCATTGAGGTTAAGAAAACCATTGAGTTGAACACAGAAGGAGAGCAGTGAACTCTACCTGCATGAATTATTTGTCTGTGCCTCAATCTAAAGTTGTCTGGACTCTGGAGACCCCTATTTTTCTGGCTTTGTACTTGCTGGTCCCCATATGCTCCCAGGCCAATGCCCAGACTTCAGTGGCAGTTCACTTTCAGCTTGTAAAGCTGTCCATTATGTTGCTTTGTATATTTTTATTTTATAAAACTTTTTTCTGTCAAAACCACAGGGATGCAAATAAAACCACAGGGATACATCATATTTGTAGCATAGGCAGTGCCTTTGATATGCCTGCTCACTATTTTGCAAGCTGTTTTATAACCCGGTGGTGTACTTTGATGTTTTTGTAGAGTACCCATGTTTTTTACCCATGTGCTTCGCAAACTCTTAAATATGTAATATATTTTACCAAGCATGCATAATGTAGAGGTGCATGTACATTATGTGTACTGTATTTACTCCACATAATTACATGTACATGTATGTCAGTATTGCTGCACATTTTAGCAGAATTAAATTTGTAGAATGTACATGTATAATGCATCCTATATACGGTATTTTATTTTAATATCATTTGTGTCTGACTACTAAAGAGCTGTGCTCTTTTTTTTAATTCAGTAACATCAGTGTTGGTACTCGTTGTCTCGTTAAACAGCCCGATGAATTGTGGCATGAAGCAACTGTTAGGTAAGTTTATCATAGTAATTTAAAATGATGAATCTTTAGTTTTATTGAAATTGACAAAGTAGTTGTGAAGTTTGTCACACAAAAGCAAGATGCTGAAGTTCCCTTAGCAGATGTGTTGCCACTTGAAGAAAATTTTAACTCAAGTAAAAATGAAAGAAACTTATCGTATAGTTATTGTTGATTGATATGTTCATGTGTATTAAGGTATTTTTGAAGACTTGGAAGATGATATTGACAATGAGCAAAGTAAGGATGAAGAACATGAAAAAGTGCAAGACATAGAGTTTAATGATATTCGACAGCTGGAGGAGTCTACTGCTAACAGAATTGGAGAGTGGGAAAAGCACACTAAAGTGTGATTGGGCCCATTCCATAGTGACTGATTTCTTGATTTATTGTGTAGGGAATTGGATCTAAATTAATGGCAAAAATGGGCTATGTTACTGGGTATGTATTTTCATTGTTATAGTTACACATTGAGTAGCTTTCTCAGTCAAGGTCTAGGAAAGTCCAGTGATGGTAGACTAGAACCAGTTAAAATTGAGATTTTACCTCCTGGAAAGTCACTTGATGCTTGTGCAGCTATGAGGGAAAGTAAAAACAGACCTAGCAAAAGTCACATCAAGAAGGTGACAAAGTCAGAATTAGAAGTGAGCTGAAGTGTTATGTAACTTTTAATGCAAGTATCAAAAATTCAGCATTCATCAAGTGACACTTTTGATTTTTTAAACAGGACTATTTCTGGACGAAGTGAGTACATGTACCTTTACAAATAATTGTTACAATTACATTACATTAATGTACATAGGTAAGCATGCACATGTTGCGTTAGATCCAATGGCTAAAAGAGATATGAAAGGAGATCTTAATTTACAGGTTCTTTGAACTTGCCTTAGTACTCTTATTGTTGCTTCATTTTATTATTATTTTAAGTGACTACAGAATTTGCCATTGATTCAGAACTATTATGAGAGAAGGAAGAGGACTCTTCCTTTCCTTTTTTCCTTGGCAATTAAAAAATTTTAAAACGTACATACCGGTATTACTGCAGTACTCTTTTATTCTGTAGTTATTCTCAGTTCAAGAAGATTTGAGAAATGTTGATAAGAAATTGCTATCACTTGGCCAATCACTGGGACGAAACCAAGATAAGTATGTGAGAAATAATGCATTAAAGTCATTATAATGCATCATTGTCAGAGACTCGGCAATTTATAGTCAAATTAAACAGAAGGTCACTAGCATACAGAAGCAAAAGGAAGAACTGAGACACATAGAAAAGAAGATACTGTCGAAAATTGAAAAGAACAGCAATAAAAAGAAGTTGATAAACTTTTAATTATTTATGCACCAGTAATAGTACATCTAATTCTGAAAAACCATTTTAATCATAATTAATCTACTAATTAAAATGTCGTTTCAAACTCTATTAAGTGATTTTTGAAGAATAATAGTTTAGTAAAGGATAATTAAGGGATTTTAAAGTGAGTCCTTGGTTGCAATAAGAGTAAATCTACTCTAGGTTGTGTTGAAAAAATAAGTTTGGTTGCAGATGCTAGGTGGTTCCACAGAGAATAGCTTTAATAAGAGCATCTTGGTTCATATCTTTAATAGCAGAACGACAACTGGATGTGCAAACTGTCTTTGGTTTCCCAACTGTAGTGAAAACTAATTCAATAACACTTGGAAAATGAAACTAACCTCTAAGTCTTGTTGCTTTTTGCACAGTTTGGTTTACTATCTTGAGACAATCTAAAAGTTCCATGTGATTGCTACGACGAATTTCATAGCCACGTATAATTTCTCTATTGAGATCATACAGCTGCATGTAAGCCATTTTCATGTTTTTCCTGAAACACAATGAAGGTATTATTGTTAAATTTGTGGGTTAACATGTAACTTACAATTCACTCATTATTCTGGCATCCTCTGCTCTTACTATAAGGTTACGTATAATGCTAGCATGATCAGCAATTTCAGCAGACAGGGTTTCACGAACTTGATGAAATTCTTCAATCTACATAGGTAAAAGTACATGTAAACAGTACTGAACATCAGAACATTTTTGTGGCCAAAAGTTTTTTGTTTTTATATAAATTAACGAAAAAATCAGCAGTTTATTGTGATTCAAAAAGGGCAAAAAGCTATGTATAAAATCACAAAAAATAAAGCCATGAAATAGATTTTTGGACAGGTTTGCAAAATTTTTCACAAAAAAAATTTCTGCTATAAAGTATAATCCACACTTTATTCATTATTTCCTTTAAGTCACACATATGTTTCGGAAATTCGGCCACAGATTGCAAATCCTAAATGTATCAAAAGGAAATTAAAACCAAATGCACACATATACCTAACCTCAATACCCAAATTTTCAGCCATAGACTGCACAATATCCCCAACTAAATCCATGTCATCACTAGTGACAGTAACCTATTAATATGGCATTATAATTACATATGTATGATAATTATATTAATGATATTACTTTGCAGCCATGGATAAGCTTGCTCAGGTTTACATGTAAATACATTTCCGAGGTACATGTACTTAAAATGGAGCAATGGAAGGCAGTTTAGCTATTAAAATCTCATATCTTTATATGACCTTTACATCATTTTCAGCTGAGTAGACTGTAGGTCAAAGAGTTTTTGTCTGTTGCTGCATTTACAGTTAAAAGTCATGATGCTATACAATTAGTAACTTCCAAAGTGGCTGCTGTTTAATAATCCAATCATCATAAAATTAGGCCCATAATTCCCAATAGCAAAGCATCAAATATGAACAAAAATATATGTACACTATACATGTACATCTATGTACAAACAAGTAAATGCATATACATGTACATGTAGCATGTGTACATGTACACATACCTTGTTATTTTTGCTTGGCTCAACCTTAATAAAAACAGGAGTATTAGTTCTTAATGACATGTAAGCAACTTCCAAGTTAGGCGACAACACAGCATTTTCACCCAGCCCATACAAAAATTGAGATTCAATAAAAGATTTAACCTATAATGAGTATCAAAATATTATTGACTTTACAATGTCGTGAATAACCCTGTCTAATCTTTCATTTATGTTGAATACCACATTACCAAGTGGAAGAGGCTTAGTATCAACTGGGCAAGGAACATAGAGACAAAACCTATCATATTATACATAAATAAGTTAGAAGTATAAGTATTATTCATATTACACATATTGTATGCATGCATCAATTGTACGTACTTTACTAGTCTTCTACTTGTTTCAAAAACATGAAATTGAGAACTACAAATGTACACATGCATAATTGACTGTAGTATTGTATTATTACGTTACATACATGTACATGTACGTAATCTAACCTGTTTGGGTTTCCTACAAATGTTTTAATGGCTAGGTCATAAGTGATATCCTTGTCAGGGAGTAGTGGTATTTCTACTTTAGTGGTTGCCTTGTCACTTGAAGGATGACTAGAAAAATATTAAAATCTCAGGCTCAGCAAAAAGGTATAAAGCTACTATTACTTACAATAATGTACAATTATTCCAACTACAATGCATGTACATGTACAAGCATGTACTTGTACAAGCACGGATATTGTAAAGCATGTAAAAGTACATGTACATGCATGTATAGAGTTGTTCGTCACAATTAAGACTGGACCACATAAAACTTACACGACAAAGCTTTCACCATCAAACAAACCATCACAAAAAACTGTTACTGTCTGAATGGGAATATCTGTATGCATAATTTTGACAAATAAGGTCCTTAAATTGTATAGGCTTACTATTTGTTGTTTCCACAATTAATGCTATATGAGGCTATAGAAATGAAAAGAAACATTTAAACAACATTTATTTTTCAAAACCTGTTCATCTTCTTTTCCGATTCTAGCACAAAAATCAGTTTTGATTTGAGTGGAAACTGGTATAACACCAACTGCTGTGTTAACTTTGCTTATTTCAATATCAGGCTCAACTGATTCACCAATGTGTTGGGTTATTTCAAAGTTCTTTAATTCTAACAATAAATTCTGTTTAGCATGAAATGAAAGATCCTAAATGCATCGTACATATAATACATGTATCTCACAGATTTCCTTTGACTAAGCTCTTGCAATAAAGAATCACTTCCAAGAGATTTTTCATTGGACACAGAAGGAACATAGCCACGTAATTCACCATCAACAGAGCAACATATTAGTTCATCTTTACCATCTTGACGATAATCAGCCTAAAAAATTTATCAAAGTGAAACAGTAATTGTTCATGAACATACATCAGTAAGTCGTGGGTCATTAAGACCAATATATTAAACACATGTAGATGTACATTGTACATGGCCTCATAATTAAGTTTTAAATGAGGAAAATAATAGAAGAATGAATTGTTATAATGGGGTGAATTGAATTCTACATATACTACAATGTACCAGTCATGTCTACAAATATTACCATTTACAAGACAATAAGGGACTGAGCCCCCCGAGGCAAGACCAGAAAGTCTCCTAAACTCCTTCGAGACTTAACTGTGTAAAGTATGTGCATGCATGTACATTCAAGCCTAAATGTACAGTACATGTAAATTACACCTGCACACAACAATGTTATACATGGAACACATAAATGCATTAAAAATATCACTTTTGTAATTCCAGCTACTGGAGATGAAAAGACATCCTTATAAAGAATTTGACCAGTATCAAGGCTTCTAATATCAACTTTACCACTTGCCCAACCTGTTACTAGTTCATCCACACCATCGCCATTCATATCATAGTTAGTAACCATCAAAGGAAAGTGCTTTGACTGAATCAAAACAATTATGACAATTATAGCAAAATAATTAGCTTACTTTACTTCTCCACAACTTATTTTCTCCACTAAATGCGCCGACAATTCCATTTGCTAAAGCAAAACCGAATTTGTTGTGTCCTATTAGAGTAATGTTACTAATGTTAATCACTAACACAAAGCAAATGAAAATTTGTCTCTTGTATGAATGTACCTGTACATGTAGCTTTCAGTCAATAAAAGTAGACAATGCTATGGTAAATATAATACATAAAAAGTCAATCCTTTGAGTGCCTTTATATACAGTGTTAGGTTCTATATAAATAACTCACAGCTACAGAAACAAATAAATGGACAGACACACATGTACTGCATGTACAGCAGGGTTAATTTGAAATTTCATGTACACTGTACATGTAAATGTACATGGAAAGCAAGGAAAAGTATGCACACAATGGTAATAGCAAAATTACAATACAGTAGATGAACATGCATGTACACATAGTGACATACATGTATATGAAGACAATCATATACATGTGCCATGACTTGCTTATTATTATTTCTTGAATCATCTTTTATATAAAGGTTAGAGCCTGAAACATGTACGTTTCATTAAATAATGAAGTTTCATAAGACAGTTTTAAATGGTGCATGAGAAGTCATTTACATGTATATTGTACATGTATTATGCTGTCACTGAACTAACCTAATGAACAAAGTGACAACACTGTATCAGCCTCGGATATCTCACATAATAGTTCATCATCTTTATACACACGAATGTCAAAATCCTCAGACCCGATTAACAATTCAGGATGTCCATCAAGGTTAAAATCTAAAATTGAAAGTGAATGCACATTATCTCCAGTTACCTAAAAAGAGAGGGAAATGAGGACAATGTATTGTAAATGAACATAGGTAGTAAGAACAGTACATGGTGGTACAATGATTCATTATCAGTTCAGTTTGACTTACAGTCCAAAATCTGTCACAGCCATCCTTATCAAAGCCTGTAATAGAGCAATTTCCTCCAACATAAACCAGTGGTTCCTTATTACGTAAGTGACTACCAACAAGAAGAGCATTTGCACCATCTGAAACCTGTAATATCAGCCAACATAAAATTGATAAATTACAAAAAGGTTATTGGAAAGAAAAACATAATTAAAAATGCATACAATTACAAAGTCCAACTTACTTCATTATGAAATAGCTCTTTGTTATTATCTATATCATACGCAAGAATATTAGTTTGCGAACCAACTAATAAAACATCTTTTGCTAAAGGGATATCTAAGCAACCTAAAAACATGGACAAACAATTGAAGGCACCATATCATTATTTCGTCCGTATTTCATTTTTGGATACTGGCTTCTGCAATGTTAAAATTCATGAAAATTTTAGTCATGAGGAAATTTTTGTACGTAAAATTTGGCGGATACTATGTGCATTGTTAAGCTCGACACATACATGTATGGCACAATCATTGTAAAATAAAATGGCACAGATCTGTGTCCTTGACATTTCTCTTCCATGGCAGTCATCATATAACAGTCTAATGAACATGATAGCATCTCAAACAATGGTGTATTGCAGAATTTGTTGTAAAATCTTTAAAGTTTTGCATGTTATTAATTTTTGGACAGGAAAACCACTGGGTGAAAACATAGGCAGTATGCACAAAGCAGGATTGGATACAGAATCACACGAGCACAATATCAAGTTTGCCAGGAAATTTACAAAAAAAAAAAATCAAAATTAATTTTCACAGCAAATTTTTCCAATTTTCCCATACAGTTAATTCCCCAGATAAAAAGCCAGGAACTGGCTAATTAAGATTGACTGTAATAGAGACATTTAAAAATACTTGATGAAACTTTTGCAGCTACATTAGACAACAAAGGAGGCTGTATGAGCCTTTATATCTACATTCAGTGGATTAAGGCATTTAACAGTGCTTAGACGCATGTTTAAAAAAGCTATGGCATGCCAAAACAAAAAGACCTTAAGCCAGGATGCCATTACTCCCAAACTATTAAATGCACACAATAACAAAAGCCTGAGTCCACTGTCAGATGACAACAAGTAACCAAATTTCCAAAGAACTAGATACATGTACTTGTCACAAAACTACTGGGCACAGACTACGGAGTCCCACACAGTAGTTTTAACTTAACTCCATTCATTATTGCATTCAAATTATATACATGTATGTAGTCTTAAGAACTACATGTTAAACAGTTCCAAGCAAAATCAGGTGTCTTCAATGCATATAATGTGATTATGTGACCTTGTTCTTAATCCTATTCCATGTATATCAATGGTGAACAGGAAAATACATAAGATTTCTTTGTCTGAAAATTTATTCTATAAAAATCACTTGAAACACAATATTAAAATACGGAAAGGTGGAAAGGTTTTGTGGCCCAAAAATTTTGCAGATCTGTACAAAAATCAATTTCATGGCTTTAATTTTCATGGTTTTTTAATACTTTTTTGCCACCTTGAACTGTATTGAATCAATTTTCACGGATTTAAAAAAAAAAGCAAAATCCACGACAATTTTGTGCCACAAAAATTTTCCGCTATACAGTAGTAATACATACAGGTGCATGTTCACTGTGAACATACTGTATGTGTATATCTACATGTAATAAAACCTGTTCATGACTGCAAAACACAAATGTAGCATTACAAAATAAATATAGCATGAAATGACTTGTAGACTATAAAAACAGGTACCTACATGTACTTGGAAAGTCAAAATGCTGGTGCTTTCCCATTTCTGTGGAAGAAAACTTTTCGGTAGCAACAATTAATGTAATTTTACATGTACTTTTAGACAGCAGCTCCAGTTCAAAAATTGTCAACACAAAATTAAAAAGATCTTGTAAAAGATCTTACAAAGCACTTTGATTTGAATGGCTACCACATGTATTAGTAGACTTACTCAGCTGTGGAAGACTTTGAAAGAAAGAAAACAGCACTATCATTATGATGAGAGAGTACCCCATATTTTGCAGACATGGGGCAAGAACTTAAGCACTTGTGCTTATAAGCACTTTAAGCACATTTTTTGCAAATGCTTGAAGGTGCTTGCAAGCATTAATCATATTGCAAGCACTTGTGCTTGACTTGTACTTAAGCTCTTTTTAATGTAAATGCTTTAAAGCACTTTTAAAGCACTTTTAAAGCACTAATGCTTGTCTGTTTTATCAGTTGTCACTAATATAGCTGTCATGCATGTGTATGACATCTATCATAACATAGGCATGAGACCTGCTGTCAGTTTAACTTTTAAAGATGGCCACAACCACGAAGAAGCTACCAGATTTTATTACTTCAATCTTTTTGAAGATTTGAGTGGTGCTTTGCCTAAGTGTCGCAAGTATTGCCATAACTTATAGATTGAGTGCTTTACTTGTACTTTAAGCACTTCTAACAGTGCTTTAGGTACTGCTTGATAATTACAGCATTAGTGCTTGTGCTTGTCCATATACAAGAAGTTAACAGATAGAGAAGGAGTCACTATTGGTAAATGGCTCCACTACATCTGCTAAAGAATAAATGAATGGCATGAACGCTAAACACACACTCTTATTGTCATAACAAAACTCTAACAGTTTCCATGGTTTTTACTTGAATTTTTTTACTAAGTATTCTTATTTTGTGTTCAAAGAGATATGACTGATGTCCTGTGACATGATTTAGATTAAAGAACAAAGTATAAACTGCAAATATATTCTGACCTACCGTACTTGCTTTTGATGTACATGTATGATTAAATCTACATTGTGTACATGTACATGTACCTGCACTAAGGGCTGAAATATGCTGCCCAATATTTAGAAAGGTAATATCTGATTCAATAGAAGATAACAGGCGAGATGATGGATGAGAAACTGGATCACGATAAGGATTATGAACAAAAACCTAACAAGGTACAGTGGAAAATATAAAGAAAAAATAAAATTAGTGCATATACATGTACATTGTGATTATCGAGAAATAAAACTTTTATGCACTATGAGCTGTCATACATGTACATCACTTATAAAAATCTTTCCTGACACACACATGTAAATTACAATTTCGTGAAATGATCTGAACTACCCAATTGTAGCAGGAAATGGTGGTGTTACAAAAGGAATGCTTTTTCATCATGGGGACAATATAATGTAAAATACAAATTCAGGCTTATGGTCAATTTAAGTGTTGTAAAAATGATAAGGTCCCTCAAAAGTGACACTATACCACATGTAAATTTGGGGAGTTAGTGAGCGCCACCAAGACAACAAATACAAGTATCAAAAAATTTTCAATCTGCACTTACATGCAACCCCATATCTTCAAGTTAGATTTACTATGCATTGGCAAGGTGCAATAATAAATTCAATTCAGACTACCTTAAAGCCACTTGTTTTTAAGTAGACAAATATTTGCAATTTGTTAATGGTATTGATTTAACATGTACTAAGTTTTGCGATTTAGCTCATTTTTTCAATTAATAACTATTAATAAACGTCAATTATTAATAAATGCAAGTACTAATATTTTGCGATTTTAAAACCACTTGCAAATAAGCAAAAATTAGTACTCGCAATTAATAGTGGCCTTAAGGTATTTCTATTGCAAGTGGGAATGGCAACAAACAAATCTAATGGTTACCAACACATGGGATGAAGTCATGACTGATGACTATACCGCGAATATAGAATGTACCTGAGGGGTGAAGTTCAATTTAATAATATATCTCCCCAATGAAAACCACCCATATTGTGAAGTCTACCACCATTTCGTGAAACCAGAAATGGTCCCTTAAACGGTATACAATTACACCAGCCAGGCAATGAGAACATCATTGGGCTGGTAAGACAGCCAACTCTAGTCAGTAATTGCAGAGTTACAGAACATACATATGCATGTAGGGCTTATTGTTAGCATTAAACTTTCCAAACTCCTATAAATTCACAGGCTCTTCTTAAAATTCTATAATAAAACTACATGTATGAAACTTTCAAAGAAATATATGTGTAGCTGTAAATGCCAAGCAAATTTCTCTTTCGGATTGTCTGATTTGACTTCATATATTACTCAAAACATCTAAAACCAATGATGCAATGTCAGACACTATTAGCATAGATATTAGAGACTACGTATACGGGATTGGAAACAGAGATACACTCTGTGTCTTATTATCATGCTAGTTATGAATAGTTATTAAAAAAATTAACTTGGTTTATAAATCTACAGTACTGTAAAGTGCTGTACAAATGAAAACATAAATAGTCATAATTAAGAAATAGAAACAAATAATAACAACAACCCTCATTGAATCAAGGTATCAATATTATCTTTAAACGAAAGTAAAATCTTTATTTCAAACAAATCCTTCCTTGAAGCAAGAGAGGGAGACAAAAAATGTATGAGTCTGCGAGCTAATTTGTCTCAAAAGGTGGAGGATAAAGCTTGTATGGATCTGAATTCATAGCTTAAGCAATGGGTTGAACCATTTAGATTGTAACAGTGTCAATTCAAAAGTAAGCCAAATGAAGCTGTGTCCTAGAGAGGGAGACAAGGCAAAAATGAATAGAAACTTTTTTTTATAGCGAAGCTATTGTATAGTCAACGCAAGAAAGGTCAGCTACAGTGACTTACATGTAGACAAGCTTGCATACATGTAAGTACTGAAGGTAAATTAGGACAATGAAATGCAAATTAAAACTACATACCATATTTCCTCAAATAGAAGTCGTCTTTCAAATAGTAGCCCCCTCTGTGCTTACAACTATTGTAATAGTAGCCGCCTTCTAATAGAAGCCACAGTTAATTAAATTTTCATTAATTAATGTGCCACGTGTGCTTGGTCGAGTGCATGTTGTCGTTCTCTGGCAAGACCTATAGTTTCTCTCCTATTACCGGGTTCATTATTGCCTTGTGGACATGGTGTCTTCTGATAAAACTCTTAATTTCCATGTCTAGCAACATTTAGCTCAAGTTTGCTTGATTTCTACACAATGGTGCACACACATGGAGAGTGACGGGTGCCATCACATGCAGGCGTGACTGGCCACGTGTTTGCTATAAAAGTAATAGTAGTCGCTCTCGATGGTGACCACCCTTGAATAGCAGCCCCCGTCGACTTCAGCTGAAACTTATAGTAGCCACGGCTAGTGATCGAGGAAATACAGTAATCAAATCTGATACAGTAGCTATGGGTTTCCGTGATGATCTGAGAGGTTTTGCAGTGTCTCATCACAGACACAGCCCAGAGTTACTTTAGCCAATCAGTAGAAGTAGGATGTACTTTAGAACAACTCCTGCATAACCCAGATTGTTTCAGGAAGGAAAAACTATTGACTTTTTGTAATAATGCATATTTTTGACAATTTTTTGACATCATTTAGATGATTTAGTTTTCATAACATTAGTCCGTTCAAGTTGAGCTACCCAAGTACAACCCCTTATAACTTTTTTATTACTGAAGCTCGCACTTTGAAACTTAGCATAGTTGCATAATGGGTTCTTCCAAAAATCTTTAGCAATTTTTGAGTCTCTAGGTACTCTGGAAGGTTCTACATGGGTTCTCTTGCTCTAGTTCAAAGGGAGCCGCCATGATAAATCATTACATTCACACTAGTACATCACACTCGTGAATACCATTAGCATCTTATTATTATTTTGTTTATTATTTTATAAAATAAAAGCAAACAGTTAAGTTCCTTTAGAAAAGCAGGTAGTCAACTAGCAGTCTATAGTACAAGGACACAATTCCTATGTGATAATGTCTGTCTGCAGCCTTCATGATAGCTGCTATTCTTCATCATACTCAATCTATGTTGCTATTTTCCGTATCTGGGGTCATCCTTATGAGCTTTATGACAAAGAAAAGGTCCGGTTAGTGATAAATAAAGGTAGTAGTATCCAAAGTAAGGATAAAACAGACAATAAAAGGTCTTAGAGGTGAAAAAAACGCTCAATAAAAGAGTTTGCTTGCACTCTGCCACCATTCTGGGTGTGGCTAGGAATGACATTTTGTGTGTGGCTAGGACTGACATTTCGTGATGCAAACATTGATTTACTTCCTGTGCCAACTCAACTTGAACCCTTCGAATACAACACATTCTCCTTTAAAAATATCATTCATACATGCATCAATATTATCCCTTTTAGTGATGTGCCATAAACCGGTTTTGCATAAACTATTATAACCACATATTACTTTAATAAAAAAAAATTGTTTCACCACAACTATCACAGTACATGTCTACTTAGTAATGGCAGCAAGGCAGGCAATCTCTAGAGTCTATACCAGGCGCATCAAATGTGGCTTGATCTCAAAGAAAAACACAAAGAGCTGCTTGTGGAAGGGAGTTTGATATAAGGTCAGATGAAAACGGGAAAGTCACTGAAAGTGAGAGAGGGACTCACGTGTCTAAAATGTGGCAAAGGTGTTCAAGCAAATAAAAGTAATACAACAAACTTAATTCAAAATTTACGAGACAACCATCCAGCCATTTATTCTCAGTTAGCACTGGTCGAGATACCAAGTAAAAGAGGAGAATCTTTTGCTGATAAGCAGCCTAGTATGATACAGCTTACCTACAGGAAACATTAAAGAGGCTACATCTAAGTACAGTACTCACAGTTCTGAGGTAAAAGAGTTAAATATGGCTGTAACTTACTACATGGCAAAGGGTGCTTTGCCCATTTTGACTGGTACTTAGCCAGGATTTAAACGTTTGTTGTCAAAATTAAATCCAAAGTATGAGGTACTGTACAAAGGAGAACACACTTCTCAGAGTATGATATTCTGTTACTGTATTCTGATATATAGTTCAGCCCGCTGTTACTAAAGCTTCCTTTTTCTCTGGCACAACTGATTTGTGGACTAGTGGGTCATGTGATCCCTATTTAACGTTCACCATTCATTTCATAGATGCTAGTTGGAATTTGACATATTGCTTGGATACTGTACCTTTATACGCTGATCATACGGGTGAGAACATAGCTGAAACCACGACAGATATTCTGGAAAATTGGAATCTTGATGTGACTAGACTTGTTGCAATGACATACAGAAATTTAAACATTCTCAGAGTAAGCTGCTTTGGTCACAATTTGGACCTTGCAATTAAGAAACACTGCAAAAACGATGGTGGGTTATACCCACCATATCTGTGGAAGGTACCCACTTTTTGGTTTTCCACCAATGTGGGTGAAACCCCCTTGTGTTATATTCCCCCCTAGCCCTTTGGTGGAAAATACCCACCATCAATGTGTAATAATTACACTCATAATAATAATGTAATAATTAATCTAGTAATGCCACGCCCACTGCGCATGCGCAGTTCAGTTCCAAATTAATCCAGCTGCAAATGGCTTCCTTCTCTTTGTCCTCCATTACTGCCAGTCTATTTTTTGGCCGTTTAGCTCTTAGTTTTGCCTCTGTATTCTTTGAAATCCCCAGAAAAGTATGGTACTACTTCTGTTATGTATTTATTACGATAGTTTTGCTCATTTTATCGTAGTTATCTCATTTTCGAAGCCCGCTTCCATGTCAGCAGCTATTTCTGTGACTCTTCCTTCAGGCTGTCCCCTTAGGCTATGATTTGTGTCTAGACTGATTGAGTAAGACTTGATAT